TTATGCTTTAAGATTATATTCTCAGAACAGAAAGCATTAGCCTCTTATGGGACACAGTGCATAGAATTTGCAATTTCAATTTTGGGAGAGAAAGGGTTATCAAGCTTCCTCTGTGCAGCATCACCATGGGCACCAGTCTACAAATGTCCATCAGGAACATGGCAACTCGTATTGTGTTTAAATAATTTTCCCAAGATGGTGAAGAACAACAATTGCATTACAGATATACTTCAGAAAAATCAAGCAAATGTCCATATAGTGTCTATTAACTTTTATTTATTTTTTACAAATATCTAAACTACAAAGTTTACCAAAAAACCACAAACATACATGTTACTTGTGATCCTTGCTTCAAAGCAATAATCTCACAGACATAGTTGGACATTAACCTGCCTTTCCAAATTTCAAATACTAACTAAATTAATTTGCAATTTTAAGTGTAGCTTACATCAAACCTACAGTAACAGACAAAATTAACAGCTACCTCCACAAACATACCAGGTTACATTATAACACAACAAAAAATTGAACAACACACTTTATACTGTGCTTTTAACTAGTACAAAGGTATCACCTAAACAGCAAGATCATCAGATTTTTTGTGGTCTAAAAGCATGTTTTCTTTTTCATTTTTACAGATTTGCTAGTTCTGAAAGCTTATGCCCCCAATCATGCCTAAACCCTGTTCAAATCAGTCCTCAGGTTCTGGTAGAAAATATTGTGTAGCCCAAGTGCCTTCAATTCCTTCTACTCTGACAACACAATAAAAATTTTGTGAAAGTATGTCATCACTGTCATCATCTAATTCTCTGATGCCATATGCCTTGTCATATTTGATCTCCAAAACATCAACCTGGTGAATAAAGAACAACAATCCACTGAGTGAGTACAAAGAAAACTATTCAAAGAACTATAATGCCTTTTGAATGTCATGTTACTAGAACACTAATAAAGTTTATGATACACCTGGCAATAATATATACCCATTGCTACAAATTTGATTGCAAGCAAAAGTTAACAACAGTTTTTTATTAATAGTTAAGGAGCACACTTAAAAACGTTTTTACACTGGGTGTGGAAACCTTGCCTTCCCTCTTTATTCCTAGGACTCAACTTAAAAGCCATGTGATTGAATCAGGCAACCTGATTGGCTGCCTTTACTAGCAATTTACAGATGAGACAAGAAATAACAGTATTGGGTACCCTGCATGAACAATGTTAATGAATGAGACCTTGCACTCAGCAACTTACCTGTGTTGTATCATTGGTATCTCCTATCATGTCAAATTTTGTAATCTGAAGAACAGGTAGTTTCTTCTCCTCAAAATGTGCTTGAAAAGCTTCAGTGACATCAACCAATGTTTCCCTCATTTCTCCCATGAAACAGAGTTCCATTTTCTTGGGGCTGTCTTTTTTCTTTAAGACATAACCTGGAGTATCTGTAAAATTTCAAAAATAGTATTTTTAAGCCTGATGTATAATACAAACCTTGTGTAAAGAATCATTTCTTGCACCCATGTATCTTCCATAATACAATTCCTAGCAAGCTGACAAGGCGAGTTTTTTTTTCAACAATTAAGGGTTTCTTTCGTTAGTGATCATTTCACTTATTCTCCTGACCATAATGTGATTCAGGGATGATACTGAAGGAGAAATTAGAAACTAGTTGCCCTTAAAAGATCAAAGGGTCAAGAAGAGAAATTTCAGAGGAACCATATCACCATAATAACTATTAGGTCATAACAATATTTCATGTGTACAGGGTGGTATTTCAGATCACTGCTAGGTCTCCAGAGTTAATATCAAACAGATCAAAACCCATCCTCTAATTCCTTTGAGTTCAAAATCGTTGGAAAAGTTTATCCTAATTTTAGCATCTCTTAATGTCTTGATAAAGGTATTCTCAAGTTTATCTTAAACACAAATTTTGCTTTCCCCAATTTTAGATCTGTGTATTTGGATAATAACACATTAGGTGCTAAATCTTCAAACGGTATTACAAATGTTATCTCCTCTGAGTGACTAAGTCAAAGACTTAAAATTATATGATTGAAGCTTATGACGTCAGTGCAACGATCTACCCACAGACTATTGGTAGATGCCACACAACAGAGTATTTCATCTTTAATGCCTTCCTTAATCACATGCATATAAGTAAAGGATGATATTAATGAACTTACAAGACTAAGACAGCAAACAACTATTTTTCGCTTATCCGTCAAAGATATAAAGCTTTGAGATAGAATAACGCTTAATTCTTTGTACTTTGGCAACTTACAATCAAACCACTAGTTATTTGTTTATAAATTAAATTTGACATCAAGAATCCAAGCGGAAGTGGTTTAAAACACAAGTTTATCAGCTGTGCCGATAAAGAATAGCCAAAATAACCAAAAGATCTGCCAAATCATGAGAGCGTTCCCCACTACAGAAAATCTTCCACGTGCGCCGCGTAAACCTGACAAAAGACGGTTAGGAGACAAAAGGGGATTCAACAACACACAAGCTAAATCACGGAGAATTTCTTTTTTAGGTTACGTATCGGTCTAAACTTTTTTCTCCTAATAATGATCCGGCGGAAAACATTTATCTCGAAAACACGCTAAACTCGAGCTCAATATTTCAATCAAAATCTTGTAGTCGTGTTCTATCGCGCGCGACTGAACACGCGATTTGATCACGAAACGAGGGATAATAGCAATTTACGAAGCGCCGTGGAAAAATTTTGCAACCTTATCGGAAATTAAGACAAAAAATAGCTGAATAAATAGATAAAATACCTGACGTTGGTTCCTCCAAATCAGCCAGAATACATTCAACTGTATCCGGTTCTTGTTCCTCATCTTCGACTTCTTCATCGTCTTCGTCGTCATCTTCGCCCTCTGCTCCTCCAGCGCCGTCATTTTCTTCCTCTTCCTCATCATCTTCATCACCTTCCTCGTCTCCTTCTTCATCTCCTACTCCTTCCCCTTCGTAATCTTCATCTTTGTCGTCGTCCTCCTCCTCATCCAGGTCATCTTCTTCGTCTTCATCGTCGCTCGCGCCTTCCTTAGCCGCTACTCGATCACGTGCCTCCACAGCAGCGCGCCGCTTCGCTCGAATATTATTTTCAACTTCTTCTGCCTCCTCCTCTTCTTCTTCACTCGAATGCTTACGCTTCCTTGGCATTTCTAGAATCGAAGAAGCACCTAGGGTGACGTTTGGAAGGAAAATGGGACGAAATAGGCTTGGAAACTGCCTCGAGGGCAAGGAACAAAGGCTGGAAGTAATTAGAGCGCGGAAAATGCCGCGTGGGGGAAATCAAGAAAATTTGAATCTGGACAAAGGACGCCAAATGGACTCCGGGATTAACGTTTCGGAACAATACTTTTTGCACATGTGCGTGAAACAAAGAGCAGTTGTTCATTGAGAAAATTTTTAGGTCAACTGATCCATAGATAAATAGCAAGGAATTGAGAAAGGAAAAAAATAAGGGAGTGAATTTATGATGAAGACAGTCGAGACCAAAAAAGTAACCTCAGTGAAGTCTGGGGCGATATATTTTCAACGGGTATTCTTTCTTTAATTACAGTCAGGCATAGGAACTCTTGTGTCATGAGAGACAATTGTTGTGGGTCTTAACAGAAGGATAAGAGCTTTGCCAGCTGAGGAATAAAAGGTTTCATCGACTCTTCGGTTCAAGCAGATGTTTAGTCAGTAATTATTTGCATTTATCACAAGGCCGATAGAGAGAAAACTGAGGGCGATAGGACCAAAGAAAATAAGAATTAATTAATTAAAGTTTCCCTTACTATATCGTTGTGGTCTTTGTAGTGTAGTGGTTATCACGTCCGCCTCACACGCGGAAGGTCGCAGGTTCGAGCCCTGTCAAAGACATATTTTTGTCTTCACATTTGAAGACAAATTGTTTTTAGCAAATTTTTTCAGTTGTTTTATTTTGTTTTGTTTTATTTAAGGTAAGATCAGGAGTAGTTTTTCCCATGGTAACTACAACGTGAAGCTTTCAAAAAAGAATCTAAGTTTAGGAAGGAACGAGAATTCATAACTTATTGGCCACTTTGACTCACTCTGGCGAAATATGCAGTGAGATCGTATATATTTGGGTACAAGATCACTGAGAAGAAATCTGCAGTTGTTGGACCTATAATAAAACTCGTTAGGCTCTAAATAATTCACATCTGTCCCAGTTTTGTTTTTAGATAAAGCGAGAGGTTGAGCTATTCCTGTTTCTAGTTCTTCGTTCTCAATGAACGTGGGAGGTCTAGGTACGAGCACGGAAGTAAACGGTCTGCCACTTTGGTTCAAGTCTAAAAAGATCGTTGGCAAAGATGTTGTTCACACTCAATGGGATGGCGGAAGCGGCAAACGCGATTCTCCCACATTCACGAAAAAATTAATTAAATTGAGATCTCTCTACACGAGACACCGTCGGCTCCAAGTTTAAAGAGAGTTGTCTCATGAAGGAGCCACCTCAACCGGGTTAACAGATTCATAGTTGATTGAAACATTTTTTAACTCAGGAATACAGATTGGGCATCTAAAAGAGACTTCCTAAAAAGTAGTGTCCCAGAGCTGAGCTTTCAACATAAAATGGACTTAGGGAAAAAGTACTAGATTCCCAAAATCACCTGCTGTTTAACCCCCTCCCCCCTCAACGCCTTTGATTGGACACGATGTTTGAATAACATTTTCCTGCAATGTAATTAGAGGAAAGCGAGGGAGGGGGTGGTTGTTGATGGGGCCATAACAAGACTTGGTTCTGGCTGGTTCTCATTTCTTTGGTGTCTCTGAAAACCTGATTTTGACTCTTGAAGAATGCAATCAAGATTACAAAATCCTTCCACAACTGAAAATTCAAACAGACCAACACCATGCAGTGAAAACAAATAAACAGTTTTGTTTGATTTGACATGAAGGATTAAATATAAATAACACTCTTTTGATAATTATTGACAGCGTTAAACAAGTCACATATTATTATTCAAATATTACAAATGAAGGCAATGTCTTTAAAAACCATAACACCAAAAAGTCATGAAGAAAACAATATTAAAGTTAATAAATCCATTAATTAGGTTATTACACAAAGTTTGGCCCTCGTACATTATTTTAACATTGCAATATTTAAACGCTTTCTTGTAAGCTGTATAATTTTTCAACCAAAGATAGTTGGGATATTGATATATTGGTTTAATTTTGATCCACCAAAAACAGTCTTTTGCCTTTACCTTGTGAACACAAAGGAGTAAGTACCATCAAACCAAATGAAAAAGGAAAAACTAATGAAGTCATGCTAATTAGCCCATGGAGTCTTTCTCTGCATTCCCTGTTCGCAGATGAAAGGGAAGCTTGTAGAGATTTTTCAAAATCTGAATGCCACTGGGGCAGCTCAATTTATTAGAGTCGTGACAGCCTGGCAGATTCTAACCAATTATCATGATAAAAAACATACTCAAAGAAACTTCAAGTAGTATTTCACAATATAGCCAATACTGGATTCCATAAAAGTTTCAGGATTTAATAAATAACACATCATTTTCATTTTAATAGTTTTAGTGCAACACAATACAGAGACTTTCTTGATCAAGGGTTCTGAACCTATCCAATTCTGGGATTTCATTATTCTGACCACCAATAACAATTATCACCCAATATTTTGTAATGTCATTAATCAGCCATAAAAAAGTTATATTCTATGTCACTGAAATGAGGGTATACTCTCAAAGTTATATCCTCTTTGACCTTTAGTAGCTCTGTATATGTAAATTATGTGATATCCTGCAAAACAAAAGAATTCACAAATTTAGTAATACAGCGTTAAGGGCCCCAGAGTACAAAGTAAAGATGGAAGTGTAGGTATAAAGTTCATATAAGGGTTGAGGGCAATCACCAATTACCTCCAGGGAGAATGCAAATAGCAGCACAAACAAAAAATATCACAATCTTCATTCCTGGATAAGACAAACCAAAAAAATATTAGTTTCATTTGCCCATGATTGCACATCAAAAAATAACCATCAGTGGTAATATTAAGCAATCAGTGATCTTTCTGCCTACAGTAAAAGAGTTAATGAAAAGTTTCTTTTTCTTGTTTGACTTGGTCTGTTGGGATTTTTTACCATTTTAATAAGTTTTGTGTGTGATCAAGTTCAGAACCAATGATCAATTACAAATCATTCAGACCAAAGTGCATCCTTATTTTATGACATGCTTGCAATGCATTGCCCTGTTTAAAGTGGTCCTTAAATAAAGTCTTATTGTGGGGAAGAAGGGTGGACTGATAAGAGCTATTTGAAAATCATAAAATTACAAACCATCCTCTCTTGTAGCAGCAAGGATTATTCCAGCTAACAGGAAAGCTGGAAAAGAGGAAGAAGAAAGGGAAAAAGGTAAATTTGCATTGTATAAAAACAAAACAACTTTATCAGACAGATTTACTGTTGGCCTTGTAGTTGTCACTCAGGCCCACTGATTAAAACTGCTCGCCACAGATATTACAACACAATTACCATAATAAATCATAAAAGGCAGGAGGTAAATCAGTTTGCTATTTACAGACATGGTTGAGGAGTTGAACTAAGGTTTGCCACCCCCCTCCAAAAAAAAAACCAAAACAAAACAAAACAAATTCATCTGATGGTGAAAGCAGGATGCAAACCCAGGATCCACTGATTGAAAGCCTACCATGCTGTCCACACCATCAAATAAGGGTAAAGCAGTTTGCAAGAAAAAGGCAATAATGATAGTAAATAGGATGACCCATGTTATTAAAATCATTCTTTCAAACCCAAAAGTTCTTACTTATAGAAAGGACACAATATTCTTTAAAATATTAATTAAAATTGTTCTTACTATTTATTTCTCTACCAACTTGAACACAGTTTGGTTAATGAAGACTTTTACTTTTTGAAAAATAAAAATAATTATATACACACCAATTCCAGCCACAAACAACAAAAAGGCAGCTGTAACAGTCTTCCAATTTTCTTTAATTCTGGGATGTCTTAACCAACTGCCAAGAAAACAATGCAAGAGAATATCCGAGTTAAGTCTAGGAAACTATTTCACAATTAAGTTCTCACACTTGATATACATGATGCCAACAAAGTTCACAAGTTAACAATGGTTCAATAACACTCTTTTGACAATTATTGATGGTGTCAAACACTTCACATATTTGAATGAAAGTGATCTTCGCAGTGATGTGCACTACTTAGGCAGTAGTGAAAATAAGGCCTGAAAAAAATTCAGGCCTGTACGGGATTTGAACCCATGACCTCTACGATACCGGTGCAGCACTCTACCAACTGAGCTAACAAGCCAACTGGGAGCTGGTCATGATGGTGGTTCTAAATAAACCCGTGAAGTGATGAATGACGGTCTTTCATTCATGTCTTTATCCGCAGTTCAAATATATGACCTTCATATATTCTTAACCGTCTATTCATCACTTCACGGGTTTATTTAGAACCACCATCATGACCAGCTCCCAGTTGGCTTGTTAGCTCAGTTGGTAGAGCGCTGCACCGGTATCGCAGAGGTCATGGGTTCAAATCCCGTACAGGCCTGAATTTTTTTCAGGCCTTATTTTCACTACTGCCTAAGTAGTGCACATCACTGTGAAGATCACTTTCATTCATGTCTTTATCCGCAGTTCAAATATATGACCTTCATATATTCTTAACTGTCACTTCACATATTACAATTCAAATATTACAAATGAAGGCAATGCCTTTAAAAACCATAACACCAAAAAAACCTTACTATACTAGATTCATCATTGGCCAATTCAATCAGAAACAACTACACATTTTGCAAATTATATGACTCTGATACAGATTATATATAAGAAAAGTATATACTTACAAAAGTGTTTCTTTCTTGAAACCACTTACATCTTCTTGAGAATCAAATCCAAACGAACTTGCACTGTAAAAAATTAAAACCTAAGTCAAGGCGCAACATGATAACTATGACTGACAAAAAGAGTTGTTATTTTATATTTGAGGAAACATGCATTGATAAGTTTTTTTTTCTCTTGCTATACTTTATATTAAACTCTCTAAATGAAACTGGTTTTTTTTTTTTAGTTTTGTTAACACATAATTTCCTCTTTTTTATTGTAATCCATAAGAAAGCCCAAAGACTACCAACAGTTGACAACCAAACCATATTTCTTTTTGGAAGTTATTATGGTTCAAATAACAACTACAAATAGTCCTGAGAATGTTTTCACTTTAACCCACTATAAAGGAATGGAGAACAGCAAATCAACCATCACTTTTGAGGGTGAGTTTGAATTAATACTTGTAGATAATTTCACTTTTTGTGCTTTTTCATCAATTTCACACATACCCAACGCTTTCAGTCTTCCTCCTTTCAGAACTTGCTCCAAATGAACTTGAAGAGGCTTGGAACTATAAAAAAAAATAGTAGGATCACACTAAATGATAGTGCTACCAATATACAGTTATTTTTACATATTTGTCAGATGGTAAGCTCACTTTAAACCCATTACTTCTCAAGTAATTGACTGATTTTACAGACCTCAGCAGCCATAAGGTTACAAGGCACGTAAAAAATCTCAGCATTGATCTAAGTGCAACCAAGTGTTCACCACAGTAATATTGTATATGTTGTGATTCAATTTTATCCTTGGTTCAAATTTTATTTCCCTTTGTTTCAAACTCATCATCATACATTATAGTACTCTAAAATAAAAGAAAAGAAAATTTGAACCAAGGATGAAACTGAATCACAACATACATACACTCACATACACATTCAAACTCATTATCATGCATTACAATACCCAAAAAATAAAAGAAAAGAAAATTTGAACCAAGAATAAAATTTAACCACAACATATACTACTGAGAAGACCTGAAACAGTCTTCAGCAAAATAATTTTTTGCTTGAAATTGAATTCTGATATCAAGCCAATTATTTGATGATAGGAATTCATAAGGTATCACAAAGGAAAACTAGCATTTTCATTTAAACTGAGATGGTGTGAAAATTATGCATAGTATCCCTGTAAAAGTACAGATTCTCTTGTGGCTTATTAAACACTGAATTCTGATATTTCATTTCATTTCATAATTTTTACCACTGAACAGAATGGGAGCTTATTCTTTCATGCTGAGAAGTTCTAGAAGACAAGTTTATTTTGAAAATGCATTTTGATCAACATGTTTCTTTGTTATGATCTGCACATATTGAACTAAAAAAGTGTGTCTGGTATTTTTATTTTAATATCTGATTATTTTTTAATCATTTTTTAAACTTTAAAGTAGTGCTTTTGAACAAAGTTTTTATTGTAGATGCTATATCTCAAGAAAAAAAGGAAAAAATCTAAAATCCAGGACATCCTTTTGGGGTTCATTACCTATACTTCCAACATTATCTTCAAGTTTCACGAAAAACCAACTGAATATCAGCCAAGAATAAACTGTTGAGAGATTAGAACTCAAACCAAAACACTTAACCAGGAAAAGAAACTTGAAATTTCATAAATGTGTCTACACTTCACAACTGGGAAGGCTGTTTTGCAATCACATTGAAGCAAGCCCTTTGACACTGTTCTGCTTGTCAGCACTGTTGCATGCTAGAGAGCAAAGACCTAACACAATTTGTAAGGAATTATGTCGAGAAGGTTAAGTGTAGCACATGTGAATATGTAGCTATCTATGTCGAAATGGAAGGTGCTTCAACCAGCAAAAAGAGGAAAGAAGAGATCAAGCAAAGGAAGGAAAGCTTCACTGGAAACACAACCCAGCTTTTCAACGATTGATGCTTGAAGTGCAATGCTGCCTGAATGATGATTTACTACTGGCAATATTTTTCGCAAACTTAAGTCTATGGCAATTTCGATAGAAATAGACTCTGGCCACTGCAACTCTGAAGTCTGATAGGAGACCCTATCACTATCAGTGAACAATATTCTGCTCCAATGCAAACTGCTAATAAATTTTCCTTTATCCACAACAGCAAAAGGGACTTGTCACTTTTGGACATGACAACAGCTTGAAAACAACACTTGAGTAGCAAAAACAATCTCTCTAGCTTTTGGAAAGAAATGATGTAGACTTGACAATGAATAACCAATTTTGCAACTGTACAAAACTGTATAGTGTGCATAGTAAATCAGCAGTGGAAATCGTTGGTTACGTAATGACATTGACATGAAGTGTCAACAATCTAACACCTTTTGTTCTACTCTCAAATTACTTCTTCCTTTTTATCTCCTGAAGTAAAAAAGATACCAAAATAAAATTTTAAGAAGTTGAAAGATCTTTTTCATTTTTAGATGTTATATTTTCAAGTAATTAAAAAAATGATTTTTACCTTCTGTGATACCTTGATATAATAACATAATTATACATTTTGCCTCTTTCATTAAATGCAAAAATCTATTATTTGTCTTTCCAGACATAAGACCAAAATGCAGTGAAAAAAATTAATTAATTAAATACAGAAATAATGTTTCAATACAAAGCCAAGCTTACAATGCACAATTTAAGTAAATGACATATCTCAGAATTCTCATTATTTATTTAAAACTAGCATCATGAATTATACACAGTATTAAGAACTGAAAGTATAATTTACCAAGAGAGGGATCTTCACTGAAAAAATATTGTTATGATGCTAAATGCTTAATATTAAAAAATTTTTATCAAATATTCACTAGTATTAAGTTCTGGATGCCTCCTATCTGTTTGCTGGATCTTATTAACAACTTATGTTCTATAGTCAAAGCAAATTTTCTAAAAAGGTTTTTATCCTTTAGGAAAGTAATTATAATATTTAAACAACTAAAATTTAAATTTTCTTAATACACACTGCTCCTAAATGGTGAAAATCTGACTTTTCCACTCACTTTATTTAGTCCAACAATTATGTAAAGAAACAGTCATGATTTTTCTTTAGATTTTCACACTATTGCCATGAAAATATTTTTGAAACTGTTTTGTTTTTGCTGTCAGAATATAACTGTTACCATCACTGAGACTATACTAAATAATAATTTAAAATTTTATGATAGTTGTATTAAATTCAGTCTATAACCTGCACAATCTGACTACACTGAACTGTCAGGCTGTCAATAACACATGCAAAATGTGTTATGTTGCATACTAAGAAATTCAAACCCTGGAGGAAGTATATTCCCTTATTTGTGCCACCTCTCCCCTTTTAGCTCCCTGTGCTTGATACCTTAAAAGGTTGCTATGCCATAATGTGTACAATTTTTGTCTTTATCAATGTCAGTAAAAAAATGATAGGATTTTTAACTCGAACAGATCATGGTTTAAAGACCATAAGCTGCAGACCAATCTTAACTGTTCCCTTCTGGTTCAGCAGCAGTTGTGCAAAGGCATGGAGTGAAGGCAAGCAAATAAGTCGAGGGCAGTGGGGAAAGAGCTACCTTTATTATCTTTCAGCCAGCTTTAGCTACCGCCCACTAGGATATCAAGAGAAAGGGAGGCAGTGACACATCTACAGCTACAAGGGGTCTAGGAGTCTCCCAACCAAACCTCCCTTAAAATGTGCCCCTTCAAGGATAATTCATCTTACTTACCCTGGTGTTTCTCAGACATTATTACTTTTTTGTCTTTTTGTAACCTTTGAAGATGTTGTTGTAATCATGACAGAAGGTACATGTAAACAGACAGTAGGCCAATCTTTTTAAATATTTTCATTTTGAGGAGAATCAGATGCTTCCTCTAGATCTAATAACCTTTAAAGAACAAGTTCTGGTTGGTTTTGACATTTCCTATTAACTACGGTTATGACATTTCCTAGTAACAAGGTACTAGTGTGGTTAGGGCAAACCTAGTTTTTAACATCTCACTGAATCAATGTACTCTCTATTGCATAACTCCACATTGTTTGTAGCATGTTACCAAGGTGGATCCTGGAGCTCTGTTCCCTTTGGTAACTCTCTACTTAAGACACCTCAGCTTCAAAGGAGCAAAACAAAGTGAGATATCAACCCACACAAAGAGGGACAGAGAACAGAAATGTTAATTTTATATTTACATTTTGGTATGTTAATTTTAAATTTACATTTTAGTATGTTAATTTTAAAGTTTATTGAGAATTTAAAATTAATTTTATCATAACAAGAGCCAGAAGACACAGAGCCAGCAATTAAGGTTCAACATAAAAGACAATAATTTGGTGGAATTGACCCGAAAAAATTGATGACTTTCGGTTTCCAGCGATTTTTAAGTCTGCTATTTTAGGTTTGCGATTATTTAGAGATAGAGACTTGCTTTATTCTTAAGTTCTTTGGATTATCACACAAAGTTTGTCAGTCATAAATAAATAAAGATCACTGTACAGTGTGTACGTGAGAGACCAAGTAAGAAACCAGGCGTTGGATATTGGTGATGAAAAAAACGGAGACAAATGCATTGGAGCATCCGTGCAAAAAATGTCTGTTATCCGTTACTTTAAGTCACACGCGCGCATGTACGAAATGTTGTGTCGAAATCGTTTTACCTTATTTGCTGACCATATATCTCCATACCCTAGATCCTTGTCTTCACTTACTTCTCCGCTCTTTCCGGCATAGTCTTGATCATTTTGTACCTGGACGTTCGGCTCAATCGGTCTTGGAATTCGCCCCTTTTTCTTGAATTTTTTCGTTCGCAACGCTATATCGGCATCTTCTTCGTTGTCTAAGTCCTCCGAACTCGAGTTCAACAGTTCGTTTTGTTTGCTATACGGCACATTTGATGCCATGGGTATCGCCACAAAGAAGATCTACCAAGCTAGACCATGATTTACGCAATAAAAACTTGATTTAATGGACGTCGCTTTCCTCTCCGGGAAAAATTTTAACGACCAATCTTCTTGTTATCATTTGACAGTGGCCTCTCTTTGGTGTATACGCCTTTCTGGCTGAGAGAAGGTTGGGAGTTGAGAAAGAGCCTCTTTTTCAGGTTGCAAAACTATCAATTTGTAGGGGTGGGCTGGAAGTAATGACTGAAAGTTCAGCATGGCTTCTTCGAGTGATAGCTCTGAAGAAGATTTGGCAAAGTTTGCTCTTATTACTGACGTTGTTGACTCAGGTATGATGAAAAAATTAATTTACCTGCAGGAAGAAATGGAATTTTGCCTCTTAATACGCTTATGGTCCTTTTTCCAGAAGTGGCGATGGTACATAGCACTTCTCCATCTAATTCCAAGTCCAAACCAAGTCTGAGGTCAGTTTTATCGTTGGTACATTTGCAAGCTACTTGAGCTCGTAGACCTCTTTTTCCTGTAAATTACTATTTCCAGTAGATTTCCTTTAAATCCTTATTTCCAAAATAATAGTTTGCGAGGGAAAAAACCGCAAAAAATTGAAAACAAAGCGAAACAAAGAAAAGAGAACAGAATGAAAATGTGACATTTATTATCTTGTTTAATCTTCTCCCCACTATAAAAAGTAACTTTTGGCACGTGGCCTGTCACAATTTTTTTTTTTCATTGAAGCTGACAAGTTGAAACCCCATAGATGCAATTTTCAAAGGTGCCAAACAGTTGTGTCAGAGTAAATCCTCAGGAAAACTTGTACAACAATGTGTTGTGGTTGTAAAAAGGAGACACTGTATACTCTTTCCATGTTTACATTACCACACAAATCTTACGCCAGAAATACAACTTTTTTTTTAGATATATCCTGGAAACTTACCTCAAGACATTTCATTGTTAAATACGCCTGGCTTACCTTGGTCAGTATGCCTTTAATTACTCTAATTGTTTTTATTTTAGACATTGGCGAAAGGAAGAGGATATTACCTGTTCTTCAACAGAATTGATAACACCTGAGTTTAGACAGCATGTTGCAAAAAAGCTTTCAAAGTTTTTGGACGAGAACTTCATCTGGTAAATATTCAATCCATATTCAATTATGTATTGTATTTTTATTGTTGGTAAGAGATCTTATGCATTTTTACGAGACTTGGCTTTACAAATGTCCTATTTGTTATACCAGCTCTGAAGAAAATACTCATTTGCAAGATGACCATGTCAGCAGTTCACATGAATCCTTAGGAATCAAACTGCTCTTGAAATCCAATCAGTTACTATTGGGAGAATCTGTGAAGGAAGTGCCTAGCTCTACTGTTGCTAGAAAGAATACAAAATACTCAGTTAGCAGTGAAAGGTAAGATTTGTGCCATTCAAGTGGACTCAGGGCTATTAATATTACAAAAATCAACTGGCCTTTTCATGAATGGTGTAGAATATAAAACTTACAAAACTTTGAAAGTCACAAAACAATCCTGGCAGGCAAACTCCAAGTAAAGAATGTGCGTAAGGAGGAGGGTCAAATGATTCAGGCTTTGATAGGATTCCAGCACATAGCTGCCAGATTCTGGTTGAGCCCCACAGCCAACTGAACTGAAAGCTACATCATGGGAGTGAGGCAAATTTAAGCAGGTTCTTTGTTTACACAAAGGAAGAGTTTATTTTCCTATAATGATAAGGTAATTAACGAGAATCCCACAAGCATTAATGTTGGTTATAACTTTCTCTTATCCAACCACAGCAAGTCATGTGGAAAATGTGAAAAATCTTATAAAGTTTATTTTGCAAGAAAGGCTCATCATGTATGAGATCAGAATGCATACTCTGCTAACTAATTAAGACTACTGAGTAACCATAGCAATGGCTAGTTTCTAATATAGTTATAGTTATTCTATGCAGGCTTTTTCCGTTTCAAACAAGTGAAACTGAAATAATTTTTTTACCGAGCACATCAAGTATGTGAATAATGAATGCTTATTATCAAAAGAAGTCTAATTTACCCTTGATATAATGGCACAAATACTTTGAAGGTTTAGCTGATCATAACTCTGCAATTGTAATGTTCATTAATCCAGTTTTGTGTATTACTATAAGCTATGTCTTCTAATTGTTTGACCAGTATTTCAAGTTGTTATGTATTAACCCTTTCACTCCCAAGATCTCATTAGCAATTCTCCTTACTTTCTGCCAAATGATTCTCATTATATTGGTTTGGAGAATTTGGTATTCTCTTAGTAATTAGTATTAGTAATCCCATAATTGATATTTTTCTTAATTCTCATCACTTGTCTACATGATATGGCATAGATATTGAAAGGAGAAATTCTGTCTTGGTCACTCACAAGAGTTAAAGGGCTACAATGTGTGACGAATCTCTCTTGTTGATTGATTTACATTCTATTTTGATGCCTCAGAGATTTTGGGGATATAAGTGGGTTGTTGTGACAGTATAACCTCCTTTTGGTGTGTTTGTTCTGGTTATTTTACTGTATTCTGTAAAATATATATATATATATTTCATGTTATCCTGATGATTGAATTTTACTTATCAGTGATACTGATGAGGAAGAATTGAGTCGTTTAGCAGAAGCAGCAGTGTCTGGGCACTCAGTCATTCAAGAAGGTGATATTAGTGTATCTTGTAGTGACTCATCTGTAACTTGGCATCCTTGTTCTTACCTCAGCAAAAATTTACTGCTGCGCATTATAACATTTTAAGTTAGAATCTGGCATGCTTTTAGGATTCTCAGTCATGTGATTGTTACAGTAGTCTCTTGGTCACTCTGAGGACTGTCTGCTAATAAGTTTTTACCACAGTATCTTTTACACTCGTTAGTTTTTCACATTCTCTGAGGAGTGTGTTTCATTCGTTCGTTTCTTAAGCATCTTGCACAGAACTGTTACAAGTTGGTTGGCTAACAACTTAGATGAGTTTCCCAACACCTCATAGGAATTTTTGAAGAAGTCAGAGGAGTTTACCAGTAACTCTGGGCAGCTTTGCGACAATTCAGAGCAATTCGCTGACTACTCAAAGGGGTTCGTGGACTACTCCGAATAGTACGCTGACATCTCAGGGGAGCTTGCTAACACTTTTGAGCATTTAGGGGATAACGCAGAGAAGTAGAGCGACAACCTTGAGCAGTTTAGCGACAACTCAGTTCGCAAACGACTCAGAGGATTTCGACGGCAACTCACGGGGGTTTGCCGACAGCTCTGAGCAGTTTGCCGACAACTCTAAGGAGTTTGTTGACAACTGTGAGGAGTTTGCAAACAAATTAGAGTAATTCGTCAACATCTCTAAGAAACTTGTTGAAAACTTGCACCAGTTCGCCGTCAAAGGTCACACATCAACGCTATAGAGAGAGCTCCATATTTAGAATGTTTCCCTTCCACGCTAAATAGCAAAGCTAGCGTTTTCAAAGTCGTTCACCCTAAATACCATGTGTGAAAGGGATGTATAATGTATCCGGATAGTTATGGGTAATAGACTTGACTGAAAGAGTGATGCTGCGTTTTTCAAATTTATATCGCTTAGGCAGTGATGAAGAACTAGAATTGTCGGTGGATAACTGACGTGCAGTGATTCTCTTTATCGTTGACTCTGCAGGACACGGTGGGGGTAAAGAAAAAGCTGCAGACGAGCCTGAAACCAAAAGAAAACGGAAAAAAGAGAAAAAAAGAAGCAAAGAAAAGAGGAAAAAGAGTAAAGGGAGCGAAGAACTAGAAGAAAAGAAGCACAAGAAACGCAAAAAGGAAAAACACAAGGATAAAACGTGAAGGTTATGGGTGGTTTGGAAGTGAGACGTCTTTTGAAAAAGATATCCGGCGAATGGGGATATTTTAAAGCCAATCGCCAAGTGGCGATAACATGTCGCTTATTTAGTAACATGTGGCCAATCCGAGTGTGCTTATATGAAGCCACCAGATGCGCTCTAAACTAAGGCTTGCTGCCTTCAGCGACAATCGAGGGCAAAAATCGTATGTCTCATCCGTAAGCTGGCGTATTACTATGCCGAGAAAAAAGCAATCACGGGTTGCACGACTATGATCATCGGCTTGATTCACTTCCAGAGAAAACGAAGAAAACACGCATCTGTCAGCAGAATCCCTTTATACAACCTAGAATATGTTATATGCATCTGATGTCAGGAGCCAAAGAAGATTAGTAGCCGTTGATCTATGGACCATGCATAATGCGTGTTTCCGAAAACATCGAACAAAAAATGCGTAGCCCAGGGAGAAGATAAAACGATATGTGTTCGAGAATCAGCCGGGTCCGCCATAGTTTTGATTGTGAACCTAGCGATGAGGGTTTTCCCAGCGCATTTCTTTTGAAGCAATTTACCATTTAACATTCTCAATTGGAGTTACAACCAAGCAACCAACCAACCAACCAAAACTGACAGAGGGCGTGGGTAGGGGACCCCCAGGGTATGGTAAATGGGATAAGATGATTTCCCTGCCCGCCGGGCAAATACCTTTCCTCGCTCCAATAACAAGCCACGAAAGGGTCCAAAATGGTAAAGTGGATGTAGGCCTATTTCATTCTTCAATCTTTGTTACGCTGTGGGAGGATTTTGCCGTTGGTGAATTCTCCTCATTCTCATCCCCGCGCGAAGTTGACTGAACAATGTGACAACATTTGACAGAAATAACCAATATTGAAAGGGCAAATGAGGCGGCCCGAAACCTCTTTTGACGGGTTTTTACTAATAAAATTACTTACGGCTCGTCTAAACTTTGTTGTTATAACAACAATTGAATATGATGTCAAGTCAGTTTCTTCGGAACTGAACAAATTGCTACCAAAGTCGCGGTGGGGGGGAGTTTTGGCCTTGTGATGCCCTGTGCAAAGGTAGAGAGACACTAAGCAATGCAAACGAAATAATGAGCGGTGTCAATTGATTCAACTTCCCTGCAACTGATTTGCTCTTAGAATAGTGCCGAGGGATCGTAGGAGATTTTAGGAACAAGCAAAATAGGCATTCACCCAAAGAGTGAAAGTGGATATCTTTTTAAGAGTTACTGGAAGAGGAATATCTTTTTTATATTTATATCAATTCAGTGAACAACCACACTTTTTTTTATAACCTCGGCTGTGTTCGCTTGTATAGTCAAAGGAATATTAAGGTAGAACTATAATGAACGTAAAATTTGTCGCATTGAGTTTTTGGGAACAGACATTGAATTTCGGGAAGCGCAGCGGAGACACGTGGTTGTCTGTCTCACTGTGAGAAACCTGGAGGAACCGATGAGAAGCAAGGATAAACTCATCGTCAAATTGGTGTCAATGTGATTTTATTTCGTTTCATGCATGGTGCTCTAACTCTTTTTTTTCTGTCAGCCTTTACCCTTCTTTTGCCTTTATTTACATATTTTGATTAGAACTTGAATACGTTCTATTTAATTCATGGAGTAATTTCTACTTATTGATGTATTTCTAAGAATAGAAACGACCTAAAGATAGTTGTTTGATCATCAAGTAAACTTATTGCGTTACCCAACAATATAGTGGACAAGTTATCACCGTCTAACAGGTCTCAATGCAACGAAGTCAAACATTTTTCACAGGTCTTCCAGTGTGCCTACGGTGATTTAGTTTTAACTACTCCATAATTACCCTGTGGAGTGAACGTTTTCGCGCAATTTCAATTTCTTCTTCGTTGCTATTTACGCTTGATAATTAATTTACTCGTCACTTGTCATTCACAAGTCATATATTAATATATTCATATATTAATCTTTATCACTGAATATTATGGTCATGTCTAAGGTGATCTTTATCACTTTCAACGAAACCTGAATTCACATCAGTTTTCGTTATGTTTGTCAGTGTTGCATGCGATTGAGCACGTTTGTGCCACGCGGAAACAGGTGCGTTTTGAGTTAATACCACGGGTTGAGTCAGAACAGTTTGTTTATGATGTGTTTTGCGCTCTCAGTCTCTATCTCCTCTTTGCCATCTCAAAGCAGGGTTATTAAAGACGTGTTTTCGTAGATTATCAAACCGGTTATTTTTTATCCTCTTCTTCATGGAAGATGAAGTTGCCTCCTTCGTTTTCAATCCCAATCTCAACCAGCGTCCGCACGGAAGTTTTAGCAGTAGGAGGCGGTGAGGCTAGATCTCCGCTCTCAGCACTGCTCTGATTGTTCTGTACATATAATGACGACCCTGCGATCAGCTTGCAGTTTCTCAAAAATATAGTGCTTCTCGACCGTCTTCTGTGAGGAACTTGTCTAGGATTCACGTAAGCTAATGTACATCCAAGCCCAAGATCCACACATCTAAACAAATACTGAAAAATTAACCATGGCCACGGCTTAGGTATGATGGATTTTTCATCGGAATACATGTTGTGCATGAAAAAAATCGAGTACAACTGTAGTCCAACGCTAAAAAATCCCAATAACACTGTAATGTAAGTTATCTTGACAAGTTTCGCAACATTCGAGGGAGGACTGTCCTTGCTGTGAAGGCTTCCAAACCGTCGAACAGACAACCGTGTTTCATGCACAGAGTTGAGAATTATTCTCCCACTGTAGATGAAACTCGCAGACAGAATCAAGCTCAGGAGCATGAAGAACGTCTCGCAAACTATGCTGAATGATCTCCAGTCGGCTGACAGTGATATCACGATTTCTGTGATTAACACAAGTGTGAAGTGGAAAGTAATCACACAACTCACAAACTTCACACTTTGTAGTTTTTCAGGGTACAGGGTAAGCTTCGACAGCTGGAGAAATGCTAAGTGGACCAGGAAAAACGAAGCCGTGATGCACGGAAGCGCAATACCGAATAATGTTCTGGTCAATATGACCGGACAACTCGTCGGCAGAAAGCATTCTTTGGACTCGTATGGGTTGATGAAGAAGAACGCAGCTCTCGAGGAACCAAACAAGAATAGAAGTGAGCTTATCGCCATCGCAAGAAGAGGTTTCCGTCTGTGTTTCCTTTTCGCCAGGTTAATTAGTGACCAAAGAGCGTACAGCGCTATAAGTGCGAAAAGGGACCCAAATCCAGCCCAGTGGAGGTCCCAAACCCATTGCCAGGTTTCTTTTGCTTGGTCCCATTTTGGTAGGGGTTCAAACGCTACTTTTGCAGTAGGTTCCTCGTACGGAATATCTTGGCTTACACTTGATTCAGGCTCGCTAAATGGAGTTGTATTGCTCATCTTGAGTAGGCGGTCAGCTGTGGAAAAGAATTGTGTAAGGAAGAATTAGTACGCGAAATGGAAATGTATAAGGATTGTTCGAAAAATAAAAGGCTTTTTCAAGCATCTTGGAAAACGAATCCTCTTGCGAATATAAAAACTTTACACCAGGGTAGAAAGCATTTCTTGCACTCTCCCCTTTAACATATTCGTAAACGAAAACCCGACCAAAGATTTGGTTGATTATCGATTAATAGTCTTAAATATAACTTAATAGTAACCAGAGTCGCAAATCAATAGTAAAGTTAAATATCGGCATCAAAAAATAATAGAAAACAAATTCAATTCAGGAACTGAAAGCAAGGCTCCACAGTGGATGATAAACTTGGTGACTCTGGCGACCAGAGTTACAGAGGTGACAATTATAGTCGAAACCCTAGAGAAGAATACTTACGTAATAGTTTTGTAAGCTTATCGATTAGCGCAAAATATTCCGGCAAAAGAGCAGGTCAAAATGAAATTGAATGATAGTTATTTGTCTGTTACTATTATTTAAAGAAGCAGGCAAAGGCTCTTCGAACGTGCAGTTCCACCACTGTACACTGACCCCTTACGGCGACGACAAACCAGTTATAAGTTTCATGATAAACCTGCGATATTCAAAGAGGTCGACTGATGATTTCCAACTGAACAACATGATGTTATCATATGCGTCAACATCTAAGATTTTCTGTTAAAACAGTTATTATGTCTAATAGCCCTAAGCACATCACGTTTGAGAGAAGTGATTTGCAATTTTTAGTGACACAATTCTACGCAAATCCTAGTACAACAGCTGCCCATTGAAAGTGGGGTTACTCAGAAACATATCATGGATTTATCACTTATTTTCAGCCATCGAGAATGAAAAGCACTCTATTTTTTTCGCTAGTAAGTATAAAATATTTGGTTAAAGATTCACAATTTTCACATAATATTTGTTCCAATACGAATTATACGTAAATTTCCGGGCCTCTCTTTGTCAATATAACATTGTAAATTCAAAGATATACATCCACACTTTGACAGTTATGTTGTGGTTCATTTAATTAATTATTTCAGAGAGTAAACATTTTCAGATGTTCCGACGATGAACACTTCCTTAAGATATTGGGTCTCTAAGGAACACTTCTTTAAAATATTGGGTACATTTTCGGGATGAAGTTCGATTTTTCTTTAAGAAGCCAAAACAGTTCGTGTACAGCCACATGCAGGAGCAAAGTACGCCCTTTCTCCTTATTTCATGCCGTACTCCACCATGAAAACACAAAATACGAGACTCACCCCTTAGCTGTTTCATATCCTTAAAGATGAGCCAATAATAGATTGGGGTTAAAGTGATCTGCTAACAACATATTAGAGGACTATAAGCCACTGTAAACAATGAATCAAACTCCTGAGGCTACAAAAAAAATTGTCTCCGTATTTCCTATGCATCTCCTTTTGGCTATCTTCACGTACAAACTCAAACTAAATTAAATAGGGTCTTATTTTCAGAGAACGTAAGGATTGCTATCAAGTGAACTACAAATACAACTGCGTTCTATTCCATAGTTTTTTAAGAATTACCGAGTATTTCTTAAACCAACAAGAACTTCCATCCTTCCAAACTAAGGTGTGGAATTTATGTAGACTCTATTCACCATTAGAGTATTTAATTGTCATTTATTTGCCTACAGCTCAGAGACTTATAAAGTACTGCGGGTATGTTTTTGGTGTTTCCCAGTTCAAAGTTCATGCAGAGCAACACTGCTAATCAAGTTTATCTTTGTTATGTTTCCTTTGCTCCTATCTCTTTCACCACAGCAGGCCGGGAACAATTTAATTACTTTTCTTCTACAAATGAATAAATAGAAAAATGCTGCGATCTGTTGCTTGTCACTTACATTATATTTTACTGACATGTTCCATAACAGCGAATTCTAAATTTTCTTTCCTATATTTAATAGTTAAAACGGTTGTAATAGTTACATTAGTGAGTTTTAAAATCTTAGAGTTTACGTGTACCAGAATAAATATGCTCAGATTTTATTTATTCCCCATATGCCTGAAAGCAAACTTTGTGGAAAAAATAGGAAAAAATCTTCCGATCACAGCTTTTGCAAATATTTTCACTCAGAGAATTTACAGTTGAAAGCAGAGAGATGAAATCTTTTCCTTCCATTTGTCGCAAACGTTATCCTTAACCTTACTCTTACCAGGCTTAATTACAGACGTTCGCGTATTTCATATACGTCTGAGTCGGTTCGTCTGTTTTTGCTTTTTGTCTGTCAAACTCACCTTTGTGTATTAATTGCTAAAGTTCTCCAGAACTGAAATCCTTTTGCTGCTTTCACAAGACTAGAAATGTTTAATAAACGACATCATCGTATCCGTTAGTTTCTAGGCAAAATAAATTAAAATGCGTTTCTGTAAAAATTCTGTGAAGGGTATGTTTATTCTACCCTCGCGGAAGAATCCACCTGCTTCTCTTCTCATCCACTAAGTGACAAATCAAGACACCTTACTGGCGGCTTTTCTTATGAAATTTGAAAATGGCGAATGCCAGTAGGAATAAACTTTTCCATATCCGTGTGATTATCACCCCAGAAAAACATATCGCTCTGAATCGGTTTTCTCAGTTTTTACAACCACAACTGTTTTTTTAGTTATTGCTTCGATGATGATGTCTAAAGATACTCAATCATCGCCGATTCAAGGTGGCTCCAAACGTAGTTTAACCACTTATCTTTTTAAAAAATTCGCAGAAAGCTGACGAATTCGTGAAGCTTATTGCAATTTGACTGTAGAAAATGGGTCGTCGCATTTCTGTCGGAATTCAAGGCACATGAGGCTAAAATGAAGGGTGTTTCTAAAGGCATCAAGTGTTACTTTTGGTCTAATATAAAAAAAATCGATTAAATTAAAAATAAAACAAACTTTCTTAGCGATACTCGGGCTTTTTCTCCATACTGTTGTTGAGAAAACAGCACAAAAGTGCGGTAGTATCAATCTATTATAGCATTCGTGCTTAAAAATAACGAAACTGCTGTTAACCAGGGCAACCCTGAGGACACCCAGAAGTTTAATCATTCAAGAAGGTTTGGAGGAATGGCCCCATCTTTTGGTAATCTTTCAATTTCCGTGTATGATGCTCACAATTATAAGCACGAATCTCTTTTTTTCTTCAAGTTCTTCTACACGAACAGAAGAGAAACTTCGAATTGAACATTTTGCATCTCTTTTGTTGAAATGTGTACGTGATCCAGCTACTGAACTCATAAAATAGCCAAGTCATCGTTTGTTTCAGTAATGGACTCTTGTTTGTGTATTACGCTTTTATGTCAGCTTGTTGCTATCCATTCTCAGCCATCCTGGTTTTCCCTTGATTCTAACGAACTAAGCAAGTATTTTGTAGTCTCCTTAAATAATAAGTTAGTTTTACATGGTTCAAAAAAAGAAAATAGCAAAAGAATTGTAATTTTGCGCTCTCATCTGTTTTTTTCACTAAAATAGGATTGAACTGTTTAGGCAATTTAGAGTATCGTTTCGTTACAATGGTAATGACTACTAGTTGAATGACTAATGGTAAGACGAAAGGAAAAGTAAGACCTATCTAATTGCAATTTTCGTAGAATAACTTACCTGGTTAAATTCTTGAAGCTTTACGGGTTGGCCGTAAGTGTAAACCCTTATGCTTGTTATCACTGCGTTCGTCGTTTTAATTAAATCAGTAAGTACAGGTGAACAGGATGCTTTTAACATCTAATACCACCGAACAATAAGGAATTTATCCACCTGCTGGTATGTTAAACTCAAAGAGGTCGCGTAAATTTAAACGTGGCATGGTCTCTAAGTGGGAAATCTTTTGTCATATCGTTTCTCATTGTTGTATCTCTTCTAGAATTTGTTTTAGAAATTCCAAGTAATTTGGAAAAGAAATATTGTAACGAAAGACCTGCATCACGTCCGGTTCATTAAAAATTCTCAGGAACTGTCATGCCTATTGCATTTTTAAACGTTTTCGAAACTTGACGGTGCATTTTGGTCCAGTTGTCATGTAGAATACCAGACGGGTCGATCGAACTTTTAATTAAAGGTGAGCTTTAAAAGAAAAAAAGGAGAATGGGTGATGGAAAATTACGAAAAAATACGCAGAATTAGAAATGGAGAATGGGGAATGAATTTCCAATTTTTTGAGCTGAAATTGCTGCAAATCTAAACGCGTAAGAAATCGGAACAGATAACTCAAATTTTTTTAAAATTTCTTTGCTTGAATTGCAATTGTAACGTTGATTGGAATGCCACTATTAAAATTGTTTCCTTCAGACGATTCCCAAGTGCCACTACCAAACGGAATACCGCCGGAAACCGGAAGGCTTGTAAATTGACTTTGGTAGACAGCTTGTTCGCGCAGAATTTCCGAAATTTAGCCATGTATACTCCTTGAAGAATTTTACTTTTCATAGTGTAGAGTTTATATGATAAAGGAATGTCTCGGTGGATGTTTGTCCTCTGATATCATAATAATTCCTAAAACTAATTTCTTATGGAATTATGTGACCGTCCAGTTTTTTAACCATTTAATCTAGCTTCGAAAATATTCAACAGCCGTCAATTGATATCAATCATTCATTTACAAGTACACGGAAAATCACGTATAGAATGATCAATTTGAGCCCTTGTAAGTTAGGGTGGAACATTCAGATTTTGCTTGCAAACTAGCTACCTGTCATGCGTCAAAATATTTATCTTCAAGACAAGGTTAGCAGAAAAAAAAGACAAGGCGTCAGAAATTTTTTTCTCCAAATCAAAGAATTAGAAACATCTAGAAGTTTTGCATGAGAACAAAGCCGATATGAGCTGATATAAGGTGCCCCGGGAAACTTCAGCAACCGCAGCAGCGTCGGTCACGCAACAACACCACGTGATATTGTTGTTATCTTACCTCAATGGCAAAACAGCTCATAAACATTTGCAGATAATTGGCACAAAAAGTTTTTCAACAGACTGGAAACATAGCGTCCGATTAAAAAATTAATGCGATCAACAATCGAAAGAATTATTGGTCTTCTGTGATGGAAGGTGGCAATATATTTAAAGGTTAACAGGTACTTGAAACCTGTCTACCACAGCCACTGAAAATCGATTTTCTGATTCCCTTGATTTTTAATGTTTATAATCCCTGGTTTCTTTTAAAAATGCTTAAAAAATCCAAAAGGAAGAACGAAAAATTATTCCATGAGGTGTGAGAGACAATTCGATAAAAGCATTTCCGTTCGGCCATCTTTTCATCGACCCTTCTTTTAGGAAGGTCAAGCGAGTTGCAATGACCAGGCAGCAGCAAAGACATTCACAGTAAATTAGGTTTGCCTCAGAACGTTTAAAATGAAACGCGGTTTTAAAAATAAAATGATATCAAATACAGCTGCGTACCTCCTCCTGCAATCAGGACTCAAATCTCACATCTGTATTCCCCAACGATTATTTGTTCCTGATTGCGAGTTCCAATGACTTTAGAGCGTAGACGTAGAAGAAAAAACACCCTTTTAACCGCGTATATTCTTGTACAGCCGCTCAATCACGCAACTTTGAAAACCTGACTGTGCAAGCTTCCAGAAATTGTCAAAACAAAACCAATCAACATGTTCGTATAGCGTTTGTGAAATGTGTGCAACACCCACACAAGATGATGAGTATATAGATCGATATGTCAGATCTAGTATTGGTATAAAATGATGAGAGTGTTTAAAAATTCATAGCCAATATCTGAGCTAGGGGTTTAAATTTGAGTGACGATTAGTGACCGCGAAACTGCGGTTATCGCCTGATTGCATTTTAACGCCGGTATCTCAGTTGTGGGGTAACTCGTTGCAGTTCAAACAGTTTCGGAGATTTTAAAAGCGATCACTTTATAGATCTAATGCACAGAAAAAGTGATGAACATCAAAACCACAGTTTGCACTTACCACATATGTCTAATTTATAAGAGGCATCTTCATCTCTGAACATATCAACCTTTCTATAAACCGGGTTTTAAAAGTGAAATAAACGTGAACTGGAAGACGCTTCTTCGAAACTGAAAGCCTGAAGGTTCCACGCTTTGCCAAGCCTTCTTATAGATTTCCACCCACCGAACGAGCAGAATTATTTTAGAGCATGGCGTAATGAATCGGAAAACGATAAGCAAATATACATTTATAATGTCGTGGACCTCGAGAAAACTTGACCGTATGTCAGGGAATTGATTTTTAACTTTCACAACAAAGAGTCCTTAAACTGAGTGTTGTATAACTTTGGTCTGAGCTTAAACTCCTGTGTGATTGATTAAGACGCTGAAGTCAATCAACATCGAACAATCTAAGGAGATTGATGATTCGTTCTTCCTGGGATAACTGTTAACTCTTTCACTCCAAGGATCTTATTAGTGATTCTCTTTTCTGTCTACTATACAATTCTTATGATTTTAGTTCGAGGAATTCCGTATGGGATCAACTAAAAAAACTCGTATTCTCATCACTTATCTGCTTGATATTGTAATGATGTTTTAAGGAAAAATTCTGTCTTGTTCACCCATAGGCGTCCTAGAGTTGACGCACAAAGGAATATCATATGACTAAGATGTCAAAGTAGAAACGTCTGGAAATAAGCCGCTGACCAAACTGATTTCCAAACTTACAGCATAAATAAGCCTTACAACCTGTTGTCAATATGCACAAAAATACGTTAAAATCAGCCGGAATATATCATGATACATAGGCCAGCCATCAACACCGAAAGATAGAAAACTTGTTAACCTGTTAACCATAAAAATTGTATTCTAACATCTCTTACCAGCTTCATAAGTTAGGTTTTCAACTTAAACGTAAAATTTGTCGGAATCGCCGAGGTTTTAGCTCTAATTAGTAAAAGTGAGGCATAGAAATAATTTGTTAGGGTAATAGAAACATATCATTTAACTCACATTTGTTTCAGACTAAAAAACAATGGCTATGATATGATCTGATTCGTGTTCTCTTTTTTCCAGTTCATTGTCTCAGTTAAAGTAGTTTGGATGAGGTTTGCAAATACTCGATCAATTACTTCCAACAAAATTTTTTTGTGGTTGGTATAACGTTCACTTGATAGAACCTAACGTATTGATTCACAAGTATATCGAGTCACGAAAGATGAAAGTTCTGCCCTTTATCAAAAGTCAATAAACTAACCCTACAGATATTACTCACCTAAACAAACGTAACCGACAAACCACGTACTAAAAAGATAAATAATCTGATTGATTGAGAGGTGAAGTTAGTCATGTGATAATCTCCAAAGTTGAGAATTGTTTGATCATCTTTTATTTCCGCTGTTTGTTTTGTTTGATCCTAAACTGCAAGCATTCCCTTGCCGTGATAATGATAAACCATTTAAGGTTCGTTATTTCTCTTGAAAATGCCATTAAGGTAAATGAGTTCCTATCTTAAACTTATGAGTTAAGTTTTCTTGTAAAAAGCTAAATATTTAGCAAAATGATCTTGGCGGCCAACTGTGTTGTACGACGAATATACTTGCATGAAATAAAAAGGCAATACAATAAATGCTGCAGTGACTAGACTTTTGTGAAGCGCTCGAGGTTTTTTCAATATGAACGATTAAAGCTTAATTTTCTGTCGATTTTTCCCCATCGTGGAATCCTTCATAAGTTTTTAATCTTTGATAACGCCCATGGTTCATTTTTACCTTTTGTGAAAAACTCCTTAGTTAATCATAGGGTACTAAGGAAACTCGCATAAGAGGCCATTAAATGAAATCTATTGAGTAATAGGCTCTTATATTAGTCAAGAGAAATTTCATTTCCCACAGTTTTTATCTTAAGAACTTGGCACCGGAAAAAGGTGCCCTATTCTCGACGTCAAGCTTTCCCAATGAAATTGAAACAACAATTCATACAGTTCATACTGCTGTTTTTCAGTTTGGAAGGGGAGGGTCCAATGTAGACAAGTCAAAAACGAACTTAGTATCGCTTTGAATTCATTTGCGATCAAGGAACGAATTGTAGCAATTGTAAAAGATACATTTAAAAATCCAAGGGGTCAATATACCGGATGTTAGCAGATCAGTTTGAAACCTTTTTGACCGCAAACTCGGAATGTAACATCAGTTTAGGGCAGTTCGTTTTAAAACTCGCCGAGCTAGTTCTAATTGGTGAACTCGACAAACCGTTTATCTCTCACCGACGCCAGTTTTCGGATCACCTTGCTCGAAAGTTTAAAAAGCTGCTTCTATTTTGTAATTACTTGTTCACGAGCTTAGAATTTAAGGAAGTTGTTCATAAACTCGTTTTCTTACCTCCAATGAAATGCCTCGATTTTCGATCACGTTCAGACTGAGTGAGTGATCTATTTTCCGTGTACTAGCGAGCGCTAAAAACGTATTCGATCAGAGTTTGAACAACACAGTATAGAGAGCATCTCAGTAAGATGGCAGATTCAATAAAGCTTTCTCTGCCCTCATCGTTAACGTAGAAAAAGCAAAGTCTTTCATGTTTTTGACGAGCATCGTCCTAATGAACAGACGTTTTTAATTCAAAGTTTTCTTGTTTTCCTACAATTCTTCACTGAATGTTTTTATAATTCAGTATACATGTGTCCAGGAGTGACCTTACTTTTGATAAACCACTGTAAAGGAAACGAGCATTCCACTGCAAGAAACGGCAAACTTTCACTTACCTCAACACTTGGTCGAAATCCTTTTATAAGACTATACTTTGCAGTTGTCACAGAACCAGTTAAGTCTTAAAATGATTACCTCGAAATCTTGAATACCGAGATTTATATTCATAAGGTTGAGAGAATAACACAGAATTTGCTTGTGCAATTCACAATTGAGCAATATGTGTAGAGGAGCTTGTTAGATTCGAATTATAGACGGATGTCATATATTGTCTTTCCGGTCTAATACACATGAATGTAGGCCAAGATTGGTTATGAATTTTTTTTAGCATGTCGTAACGTATACTCTTGCATCTAAATAATCTGATCAACGTTTAACGTTTTTGTCTTTCGGAGCAATATAGCGGGTTAGTAAGGTATGGCTGAGTTGTTTGGTCGACTTTTTTTCTTAATCATGGGTTTAGAGCTATTTTTGTCATCAAGACAGAAACGCCTCCACACCCCATGAGATGAATAGTTTACCTGTCTAGAGCTCCAAGAAATACAGTCCTCACCCGCTTCAGCGTGGGTTCTGTCTCTGTCCAAGAACACCGACTCGTTCCACGTCAGAATCTAAGGTTAAAAACAGCAATACAGTGATCATTACTATTTATTTTAGGAGTTCTTGTGAAAGTTCTCACAATAATTAAAACATTGCCAAGACAGATGGAAGTAACAAGTCACTTAGCATTACTATTTTTTAAAAATAGTAATTTTTCTAAAAAGTTTAGCTATCTCTATTGACCTGAATAGCCCGTGTGGTTGACCCTCAAGTGAAATCCGAAATAATCTATTTTTAAACCACAAAATTGCTTCTGACACGTACTGTGTGGACAAAATGCTTCAGCGTCTAAAAATCCGAGCTGTAGAACGATCAATTCATGGCGATTTCAGCACCGAATTACTGGTCCAGCAATTAATTTTCTATAATCTACGAGAACATCACAATAATGCTTTATACCTTGAATAAAAACTTATGCAAAACACAGGAAATTGAAAGGGACATGGACGGGACAGTTTGGAAAAGGTTTAGAGAAATGACAATTGCCGCCCACCACTTTTCTAAAGTTCATTTCAATTTGTATGTCATTCTGACCGGTGATTTGTTATGACGACGTAAGTCTGGCAACTCCTCTGCCAAAGAACTCAATTACTGTTTGTCACTTTGTTTAAAATAGTCCTGACGTTTCTGTGGGCAATCAGACAATCTTTCGTGTTCCCGTTTAAAGTGGTAGCCCTCCCCCACACACGCAATTATTAAGTTGTATATACCAGCTTATAAAAACAAATTTTTCGTCATTGCCATGGGAGTAGGTGTCCTTAACCTCCCACAAGATAATAAGATTGCGAACAGGTGTGGAGTATATCGCTCTTAAAAAATTCCTCTTACTCAATATTCAATGCAGTAAATTTCCTTCATGATCTTTGAATGAAGCAAGCAAGAGGGGGTATCTCTAGGATGATTGCTGTATTATGGACTACTATCGATGTAAAGTAGATTTTTCTCGTATATTTTTCACAAAGGAAGAATTGTCAAATCTTGTGAATAAAATAGTTTGACGCCCAGTTCCCTAGTATTTACGCCAAGGCGAGGTTGATGTGAACATGGTGTTGGAATCTGAAGGTCTGTTTTCAAAACAGATGTCTGAAGAACCCCGATACATTGGTTCGGAACTAACAGTCCAAAATTGTCTCTCGCTAATGAATCAAATGGTATTCCTCAAGAACAGTTCCTCACTGTAATGGACGTACAGATGACTTATCGATAATTTATCTGTGTGGTAGCTTCAAAATTAAACTTTTTTGTTTTAATTAAATTCAAGCCGGGTTCATTACACTTCCTAAACAGGTCAGATGAGCATCTGTAGATCTTGTGAAGTATCTTTACAACTACCTAATCTCTGGTATTTGATTGAATCTTTTGTAAAAAAAAATGATGCTTTCACAATTTGATTTTTATTCCATACTTCTCGTCTGCACCTTCTCTTATCCTTTTAGCCAATAATAGGCATCTATAGCATATTTTTAATTAAGTTGGAAACTCTTCATTAAAGTCTCGGCTCATATATTTTGTTCATCAGATAAAATTATTCTGCCGTGTACGTTTTCCGAGTACAGTCGATTTTTGTAAAAATGTTGATTACAGCAAAGATATCATCACACACAAATATATATATATATGATTCACTCTTCAGGCGTTTTTAAAATCCCCTGAAGAGTGAGTTAATTACGAAACAAACTTGTCGGGATAAAGCGTGGTCTCTTTTTTCCCTCTCTATCTTTTTTTGCCTAACTCAATACATATCACGCTCTACTTCCCAGTAAGTATCGAGCACTGTAATACGAAAAAACCCAACCAAAGACTTCTTATATATATAGATATAGATATATATATGTATTTGTATCTTACGATTATATTTTGACTAGAAACGTTCGTAAATTAATTTACCCAGCACTTTTGTTCGTGGCTTTTAGAAGAGGGCAGCTGGGCTTTTGTGATTAATAACCCTTGTGCATAAAGGAAAATTTTAGTCATAGTGCTTCATTTTTAAACTAAAAATCTAGTCTTTTCCACTTGCAAAAATTATCCGCCTAAGCCGCAAAGAGAAAAATGGAAGCAACTTTTACACAAGCAAAAAATTTGTATCATCGTAAAGATATTAGAAAAGTTTTTAAACACAAATATCGATTTTGAAACGATTTCAAATAAATATTTAAACACATTTGCTTAATACTTACCTTTTTACTCTCCGTGGGAAGATGCAACGAAAATATCAATTTTGAAGATTTTGTGGTTGAAATTGTTTCCTAATAGCACTATAGATGGGCTGCCGTAATGTTTCACTGGAGACGAGTTTCACACAAATATAACTGAAAAATCAGGGGGACGACATAAGCCGTACGGTGCATATCGACGCTTTTGCTCACAAACGAAATAAGGACAAATGTTCGTCATGGGGTAGCATATGCCCTTTTAAGGAAATGCTTGAGGAAAGATCGGATGATATTCTGACCAACCAGACGGGACGTCATCCTGTTACTTAGCACCTAAGACAAAAGGAGGTATGGGAATAAGAACTTTATTTAATAATAGTTTGCAGATGTTAATTTTCCAGACATTTCTGAAGAAGAAAGTCAGTGAACAAATATTGGTTCCGCGGCGTCTTGACGATGCTGTGATTTTTTCGGATGAAATAACAAGTGGAATACAAATTTATGGCAAGACTTATGCCAATGACAATAGTTACTTTGGGGTTCTGACCCTCTAGTTGTAAACGAAAGACTCAGAATACTGTTTCTCGGTTTCGATTCGGTATGTAGTGCCTACCAGCTATAGCATTCAAAAATGGTTATGATAAAATAGAGGATAAACATATAAGAAAGTCGACATGTGTCACGTTACTTGGCAACCACGAAACCGAGTGGTTTCGGGAAGGTATCGGTTCTTCACGAATAAATGGTAAAATTAATTTTTATTGTGTTCAAGTACCATCTGTTCGTAGGCAAGTAGGGCCTATCAACTCCGCCATCCCCATGGTCTTTGAGCCGAAACTTCAGTGATGGCAGAATTATCAGATAAAGAAGGACGTTTAAAGCCTTCAAGCGGATGAATCACGCTACAGATCGGTTCCAAGCTTAGTCGGCTAAAGTTCGTGCGAGTTGTTTTGTAGTAGCGAGCCTGTGGTCGTACAGGAGACTTCACGGGTTCTCTTGTTGAAGAAAGCGAGTAGAATTTCTCTAACCTAAATTCCTGCATAAAGTTGTTGTCCACAGGTGTAACACCAAAATATGGCGAAGAAGCATAAGCTTGATTAATTTGTGGCAGGTTTGAGTTACAGGGTGGAATGAAATACAAATTTGGTAAAGGTGATGACTTCTCTGCAGCACTGGGTCCATTACAGTTTGCCAGAGTGAAAGAATCCAGTATTTTGGGATAAAGAACGCCGCCATCACAACCACTACTACTTACAGAAGCAGTGCACGCGGGCTCATCTAAACTGGCGTTTACTGACTTTCTTGGAGCAGGAGCGATGCGTTTGTATCGCGTTTGTTTTCTGTCCAGTTGTTGTTCACACTTGGAACCATTCGACAAATGAGATCTAGAATATGTTTCAACAATCACAGGGATAGGATTTTCGACACAAGATTTTGTTACCACGGTGGCGCCCGCCCGACATTCAACCGTAACTGTCGGCGACTGTCGGTAGGTGTCGGTAACTTTCGGTGTCTCATTTATTAAGTCGGTAATGAGAGTATTCCCGCTACTCTTGTTGACCGCAAAAGTAGTTACTGTTGCATGGGATGTTGATGCACGTCCACTGCAATGAGACGACATTGGAAAGACACAGGACCCTACAGTCTTTTGCTTATCAGTCTGAGGGGTCAGAGACACTAAGGTGGTACAATTTGATTCTGCAGAACGCTGGCGAATGGAAGAATTTATCGATGCTTCTTCTGTTTCTTTACACAAAGGAGAGTCGCTACCTTTTGAATGCACTAATTCGTTAGTTGCTTCTAATGAAGCAATGTTAACTGTTTGGCTATTAACAATTTCGGTTGAATCTCGGTTGCCCAACGTATTTGTCCCAGCTTTTGAACACAACGCAATCAATGCATCAAGAGAAGAGCCTGTAAGGACCTCTGTCCTTGAAGAAGAACTGGTAACAGTGGCCAATGGTTCTTCAGCTTGAATACTCACCGATTGTGACGCGTTCTGACCAATCACAAACAAAACTCCTGTTTTAGTCCTTACACTGGATGGCAATACCGCATCTACGTAAGAACTGAGTGTCTCTGGTTGATGTGAACTGTTACACTCGTTAGGTGTCCTTCCGAGTTCTTCTGAGCACCTGGAAAATTCAGATTGTCTTGTATCTTGCGCGCTATTGGTGTTACTCAGTTGTGGTAACTTAGCGCCCTTTTTGTTCAAATTGTTTTTATCCACTGCTTCACCCTCGATTGTTTGTTCCTTGTCCTTTGAAACTAAACGGGTGTTTACTGAGGATAGATCGTCCCTTCTTTGAAACCTTCTTGGCACGTACTTTTTCCTCCTGTTCACGCTTGCTTTAGTTTCATCGCAGAAGGGCTCTTTAGCGTAGGAGTTGTTTTGCAATCGAATCTCATGGCTGGTTATCTGACTTCCTTCAGTGAAGTTTTCGAATTCATGTCTCACCAACATCTGTTGGTCAAATCCCCATATCCACTCACGGGATTCTTCACACATTAGCTTCGACTCACTGTCACTAGTTTCACTTGGGGTTTGATTTTGATTGACTAGTGACACAGTGGATAGTTTTTCCTGGCTAATCACTCCCGACTGTTCCTGGATATTTAACTCGGCTTGAGTTAAGCTGGTTACCTCTGGTACAGCTTTACTGATTCCTGTGATCAAACAGAGAAAAAAAAATTTAAGTTGCCTATAACAGTTTACTCTGCTTGTGCTATAGAGGACTAGCTTACCCTGTCTTAATTGAGGTGTGAAATTTTGTTTTAATATTATAAGAGTACCACAGTAAAAGTAAAGTATACCTAAAAATTCCTTGAATACTTTCAGGAAAAAAAAGAATATCGCCTATCCGGAAAATTCCTGCTGTACGTGATGAGATGAGGGTCAAGGTAACTTTAAAATTTGTGCATATTCATGCAGCCTCTGAGCCTCATCAACAAAACTTTGTAAAACTTGTTGAAGCATTTAGCATGTAGATTTAAAAGTAAACTTTAGGCGTTACCAAGTTCGCTTTACATGGAGTTGTTAGCATTTACAACAGGAAATAATTGTCTTAGACGGACATAATTATGGTTGTAATAACAACTCGTTACATCAAGAGGTTTGTCATAGCATTTTCAACGAAGTTTTCAACCATCACTTGTTAACATAGCAAAATAGTTGTTTAAAACGATAAAGCTTTAATTGAATTGTGAGGTAACTTAAGTCTATTCTTTCCGTGCCTGTACAAAAGCAGAATCAAGACTGAAAACAACGGAGCTTAACGTTGGAATTTGAAAATGGTGTTTTCTACCAGAAACCATATAACGCAGCGCGAACGCAAAGCTGACTTGCAGAAATTCTAAATTGCAACAAGTTGATTTCATGAAGATACCTTTCCTTTCAACTAGGTAATGGTACCATGCTTCATACCTTCCTGACTGGGTGAGAGTAAGTGTCTCCCATGCAATTGCTGCTCGTCAGAGATGAAGCTTTCTTCTGGCGAAGATTCTTCCGGATGTTCGTTTGAAGAGGATAGGTTACTTTCTTTATCCAATTCGTCTCCGTTGACGATGGAATCCTGGACACTTGAACTATTGGACGGCGGACCATCATCTGAGGTTCTCTCATCCTCGCATACAACCTGACCTTCCATGCGGCGTCTATTGTCACGTGAGCATATTTATGAGAGGAAACATGGGACTAAACGTTGGCATGGTAGTAAGAGGCGGGGAAGCCTAAGCACGCTCGCGATTCAGTTTAGATAAACCTCCTCTAGCCGAAGAGCGCCTCGCATGCGAACATTTTTCTCTTGGATAATTAAGACCATATACACAGTTAATCCTTTGGTATCGTTTAAATTCACTCTCTTTTTTACCTCCACGAATAGCAAGAACCACTTTCTCATCTGAGTATGAGTATTACACAACTGGAGTGCCGGGCAACATCGTAAACTTGCAAATACGAAACAAAACATACCTTTTAGCTTGACCATGTAATCCGTCTCTTCTGTAAGCCGACGCAAATGGATTGGCGTCTATTTTGAGTTTAGTGATCTTAAAAACGAAAGTAGAGAAGTCTGTCACTGAGGCCTTTCAAGTTATGTGCAATCTGTTAAGCTGTTCGTGAAGGTTAGGGTTGGGGTTGCAGCAACTCATATTACTCTCAGTAGTGCCAACCCGACTACTGTTTAAATTCGTCTTGCCGGGAAGCTCAAGTATCTATACTAGGAAAGTATCATGAGTATATGTAGAGTTCAGGTTAAAATGGAAAAACTTAAGCATGATTAAACAAAAGATTTGTAAAAAACACATCCTAATTCAAAATTAACAACAAATTGATTATCAATCGACTCAACACTCAAAGATAGTAGCATGAACTTACATTCTTGTTTCTGTATTGAGACACGGCTATGAATTCCATCTCAGAGAAATAGAACTCTTTCCTCAATTTGTAATCAAAGTAAATTCCATTGGGACTTTCTAGTACGTGAATACGGGGTGTGTAACGCCGCATCGTGCTGAGAAGAATCGCCTGTAGTAAGGACAAACACATCACTTACGCCAAGAGAAAATGGAAGGAAAGAGGGGGGCAATGAGGAAGTTTGCAATGGCACTACATTGCTTTGAAGTAGTTTGTGGTTCTATCTGTAGTTCTAATTTGTAATTCTATTTAGCAAGACGTCAGCATAGTAAAATCTCGCTCTAGACTGAAATACCATTCCTCTTCTTCTGGGAAGAAAATTCCACACTATCCGTCCCTACGTGGCTTTCACTCAAAACAGTGGGTCGAGGTTGGCCTTTATTCAGACCTTTCGAGAAAAAAAAACTTCCGTTCTTATTCCAGGTGAGGCTATCTACAGGGAGCCAATGAGAACACCTTACTGAAATCAAGCACGTGAAACGCGTATGACCTGGTGACCCTCTGTTCCAAAAGCAGTCATGAATTGTAATTTGCTCTTGCTCTTGTATCTTATTAGCTCTAAACTCGTGCCACTTTTTCACACAAACAAATCCAAAATTAAACCCAATCACAGCCTTATTGCTCACGATTTCCCTACTTTAGACAGTTTGCCTTTTTGTTTTTATTTTGAGGTCTCATTTTCTCCCCAATCGAAATGCGTTCGAAAAGACCCTTACTTGTGATGATTTCTCCGCCGTCTTAGGACTGTTTGTGAGCTTCAGCGTTTTAAAGGTGAGCCCGTTTGTCATGAGAGTAGCTCCATTCCAGGGCGTTTCCGCGTGAACAAACACTTTAGCGCGGCCTTCCTCAACCGGCATCTCGCGACAGTACGGTAGCCAGGTATTAGTTCCCGCGTCAAAGGAATATCTGAACTCGTCCATCAATACAAAGTCTATCATAACTGTGTAAAATTTTCTCGGAGTAAGGTCTTCGAATTTCAGTGAGATAACTGGACACATTCGCCTACAAAGAGATAAAAGGCAGAGCCGAGAACACAAATCATCATGCAACATATGCAATTTGTGATTTTCATCCGCACAAAAAGAGACAAGTTGAAAGGCTCAAGTGAAAGTTAAAACTGGATGATTAGATGAATCAAGTTAAAACAGCCATTCATGCCTTTTTTCGTGCTTTTTTTTCCATTTCCACCGAGTAAAATCTAGGAATTAACTGATGTGTGCGGACATTTCCGACAATTAACAATGTTCTTCCTTTTAATTGACAAGTTTGAAACCCAGCTACTTTAAACTTTTGATTTTGAAGATGTAAAATTTGATGGAAGCGAGTAACAGTTTGACTTTGTGGGCGCGGAGACACTTGACCAAAGCCCAAAGCACTATTCTTGGTTACCATTAAGGAGGATGCACTTGGAAATACTTATGGGGAAAAGTTCCCCTAATCCTAATTTTTTTGTGCGAACCAGTCGTCGGAAGTTAACAACAAATAGTAGATAAACTCCATGGATTTCTCTGGAAAATTCAAATTGGCGTCGAAATTAAAGTAATTTTAATTGAGCGTCGAAAATCGTCTGGGATTGCTTTGGGTTTACTTTATTTCCTTATGTGATTGGTCCAGAAAACTCGCGCTACTTTCTCAACCAATCAAACTCAAAACTAAAAAGAATCGCTATTTGGTCACTCGCGTTTTCCTGAGCTTAGGGCAGTGCGCTTGTTTTTATTATGAGGTCTCATTGGGCTCCTCGGCTCCAAGGAATATTTTCCTTGCCATGACTCAGAGCAAAAGGTCAAGTCACTTGAAGCTTCGTTAATTACCTTTCCCACAGACATCGAAAATAGAGCTTCTCGAAACGTGAACATAAGGTTGCCACGTGATCGCATGCGATCTATCGAATCTCAAGGATCTTTTCCTTACTCGATTCGTCTCAAACGATTTCATTGACTTTGCGTAAAGGATCTCCTGAAGAATTTCTAGCTCCGATAATGTCTAGTTAAATAATTTTTTTAAGTAATTTTGTTCCTTTAAATTGTATAGTAAAAATCATTTTTATTTTCAATCGAAGCTCTTAACAATTGAATATGTTGCTTTTAGTTAACATGATTTTCCCCACTCATGAGCATGCACTTGGAAATACTAATGGGGAAAAGTTCTCTTATCCTAATTTTTTTTTTGCGATACAGTCGTCGGGAAGTTAACTCCAAATTATAGATAAGTTTCACGTATTTCTCCTTCAAATTCAAATTGGCGTCAAAATTAAAGCAATTTCCACTCATAAGCGAGCGTTTGAAGGCTGTAGTTCTGTCGTCGCCTCCAATGATTGTTGTGTAACGTCCATAGATTTTTTTTTTGTCATTTGTTGCATAATAGATAGGTATTGAAGCCTTGTTGTTTAATAAGTGCCAATAATTCATTTGTGTCTCGTTTAAAAATAGCGCGGTGTCTGGTTTTTATCTTTCATCGCTGACATCACCTCGACAAAGCAGATGTGACCCGTCTGTTGTCATCATATTTTCAGGGGATCGGTGATGGTGCGAAACCTGACAGCAATAAGGGCACCTTGTGATAATTAAAATTCTTCGAGTCCAAACTTGAAATAACCCCGTGTCAACTTTTCGAGGGTCATCCTCTCGGTGTTTATTGAAATAAGGAAGCGTTAATGCCAATAAATCTTTCAAGCTGTGAACGAAATCATTTCAGTTTTGCCTGCATTATGCAAGCTCAGTGGAGATAATCTGTCAACTTTCACCAACGTGTGATGGCAGAAGTGACAAGTAACATTGCACTCATTAATAATTGGTCACGTACCTACTAAAAGCCGTCCAAGGCTTAAAACCCTTACATAATAATTTTACTTAGCCGCAAAGGCGGGTGAGATACACATGAACTGCGATCAGACGATACTGATTGATCGAAAACATTCGGTCTCTAAGTTTTGTAAAAACTCCAGTTAAGGAGTAATACAGAGAAGTGAGGTGCTCACACTAGATTACGCGTCTTATTCAGACTATTCATAGACAGTTCCAGTCAGTTGTCAGTTGTGTACAGAAACAATATTATCCATCTTGTATACCTTCCTTGAGAGTTTGAGACTAAGAGAGCACACCCACACACATGGAGATTAAGGAACCAAGATAACGAGTTTTTAAGTTAGCCTCTCGAATCTGGTGTTCAAAAGTTTAAAACTGAAAGCGGGGATAAATTTTCGCATCAGTATGGAGATTAACAGACTGCGAATAGGCTCATTTAAGAGGCTTTTCTGAGTCGAAATGATCGACAGAGGCGACCTTTCTCAGTTCAAACATCCTTTGTCCCCAGATCAAGAGAGCTTTCTCACAACTCAGACTAGAATACAACTCTGCCATACCTTCCGGACTTTGTGATCATCATCTCTGTCTGATGTTGTCTGAATCTCTCCCACAACTCCTTGTTTTGAAGAAGAACTTTCATTGCTTCTAGTAACAAGCTCGAGTTTGATACTAATTTGAGGGGAATTATCACCGTGACGTTCCTAATGATAAGTTTCGCTGTCACATGAAAGGACAAACCGAGAAGTCAGGAATAGACAAACTTAACCAGATGAGATGTGAAAATCACATGCAAAAGAGTGTACTGGTATTAAATAACGCAGCTTGCTATTGGAAAACAATAGGGAGGTGAGACGTAATGTTGACAGCACCGGAAGAGCCAATCATTGAATCAAACATCTGTTTTCCATTTTGATCTTGACAAGTAGGCCAGTCTGTAAGCCAATGACATTCATCGCTGAGTTGTCTCGAGGATGTTAGATTAGTTAAAATAAAAAACCGGGAAAGGAAGACCCTGGCGAGAACAGGTCACGAAACTTTATGATAGAGGTACAATCGAGACTCGAAAAACAGCGACTTGTTGGCAACTTACCCGCAACAGCCTTTTTCCTCTTATTTTAACCCGAAACGACAACGGTCAGAACAATGCGTCCCAATCAAGATGTAACCTTCCTATGATGACCAGTTAATGACGATTGCAATTGATGAAGAAAACTCTTTAATGCAGAAATTAATTGACAGCTTTAATTCATTACAGTGAAAATATTACGTTCGTAATGGACTCTAAGTGGAAGACTCACTCCCTCTCAGGCTAGTTGTTTTCTTGAATTTTTTTTTTCTCCGAACTTAAAGCTTTGATACTGAACGGGGTGTTTCTGATACTTTGTGATCGTATTACGTTTTTCTCTGTTACACGAGAAGCATTTATGTAGTAACCCTTGAACAAATGGTGCGAGATAAGTGTCATACTGAACCTCTAGCTCCCTGTAATGTCCAGCTCTGTGCGACGGCCACTCCTTTATGTCTGCACGTCGGCCGTGGTGGAGCGCTTCGACTGCGATAAAAGCTATAAGTATTTTCAGTTGAATTGGAAGGCTCATTATTTCAAATAATCCGCCTCATGATAGAAAAACGACAAATCGCAAGATACTTATCAATTCAGGAGAAAGTCAATTGTCACCTTGAGTCTGAAGAAATGTTCAAACAAGATACGGCCAAACTGAGCCGTTTCCTTGATCCTTTACAAGAAATCAGCTCAGTTTGAAAAAAGGACGATGGGATAGCAAACATCATTAAAGTGCTTTCACATCAATCTTCCTCTTCGTGTACCTGTGTATCTATCATTCTATCTAATGGATACGGATATATAGATTGTTTCTCTAAGCGTCTAGAAACATAGTCCTCAGTAGATGACTGTTTCGTACCACAATGAAGTTTCTCCGTCGTTTTCTTTCTTATTTGTCCCAACTATAATCTCTTCTCTTCCTTGTGGTCGCCGGCAAAAGAACCAACTCAGAAAAAAACTTATAGCGGTGATAAGTTTGCAGCCAGTCATCACTGCGAGCAGAACTTGAGCCAGCCCATCATGGTCGTATTCAAGGCAAACTGACCCCGTGTCACCGCACCTTAAAGTAGAACCGAAAGAACACTGGTTCAGAATTCACTGGCATTGAGCTGTAGACCCCATCTACACAACAGATGACTTCTCTGACCTTATAAAGATTATTGTCCACCGCTAATCATAGCAGGATACACAAGGGTTGCAATGAAGTTCCAAAAATAACTGGGATTCCGCGGGTAACGGTATTTTTTGAAACAGCTCTAGGATATTGGTACTCAAATCAGAGTAGATAGAGAGGCCAATTTTGGATACTGGTGGCTGGTTTTGGATTTTGAACATGAATGGCCGATATTTGAACCCTGGTTGATTTTGAATTTAAAATTTTGAACACGAGTGCCTGATTTTGAATTTTGGACAATAGTGCTTGGACACAAATAGCCTGATTTTGGACACTAATGACCGATTTTGGATTTTGGACACTAGTGACCGATTTTGGATATTGGACACCAGTGACCAATTTTGGATTCTGGACAATAGTGACCGATTTTGGATATTTGACACTAATGGCCGATTTTGGATTTTGGATTTCGGACACTACTGGCCGATTTTCGATACTACTAGCCCATTTCGGAAGTTGAACGTTGGTGGCCGATTATGGATTTTGGACAGTAGTGGCTGATTTGGAATTTTTGAACACCAGTGCCAGACTTTGGATTTTAGATTTTGGACACTAGTGACCGATTTTGGATTTTGGATTTTGGACACTAGTTGCCGATTTTGGATTTCGGAGACTAATAGTCGATTCTGTATTTTGGAAACAAGTGGTCGATTTTGGATTTTGGACGTTTGTCGCCGATTATGGATTTTGGACGCCAGTGGCCGATTTTGGATGTTGGACAGTAGTGACCGATTTTGGATTTAGACACTAGCGGTCGATTTTGGATTTTGGACGCTAGTGGCCGTTTTTGGATCATGGACACTAGCGGTCGATTTTGGATTTTAGATACCACTGACTGTTATTTGGATTTTTGACACTTTATGTCGATTTCAATGTTCGAACTATATCGGCCGATTATATACTTTGGACATTGGCTCGTTTTTAAATTTTGGACTATATAGGCTGATTTTGGATTTTGTACACTTGTGGCTGATCAAGAAACCACTCCCCACCCCCTGCTCCTCTCTTAGTGCGGTCCCTGTTCATATGCATGGACACCGCACTGCTCAGATTTTCGACTAAAAGGGAGAGTTTCGACTAAAGGAAGAGGAATAGAGATTCTCTTTAGCTCGGAATAAATTTTGATCATCTTTATTGCCATTTTAGACCTTACAAAGACCTCTTTAGCAGAGGATTATATTAACTATCGTAACCACACTACACAGAGAGACTCGCAACCGATATGGCCACAGGTACCTGTGATTTCTTAACAGCCTGGCGGGTATTTTTTGAAATGGCTCTGGGACATTGATTCTAAAATCAGAGTAGGCAGAGAGACGACTCAAAGAAAGCTATAGGAAAATTGCCATTCCTCTGCGGAAGAAGGGAAGGTAAACTTCGGCCTGCTGATCGCAGTTACAGCGCCGTGTAAAAACACACGAAAATTTTCACCACTGAAGAAAAGTATTTCTACCAGCTCAACCTTGTTACACAGTAGACTCTAAAATGAGTACCTTGAGCTCCAAAGTATGCATGTCTTGTCCAAGAGGGCTCCAAATACAAGAGGTCCTGGGATGGCCCCAAAGATCCTCATGAGGTCATTCTGGAGTCCTAACGCGTACGACTGCTGGCCAGTTAGTACACTCCTGAAATGAAAACATGCATTTTCTAATTAGACCACCGAGATCACAAAGTTATAGATATTGCACAGGACACTCTTATAACCATAACAGTGTACAGTGCGTATCATACAAGAACCTGGTGTACAGGTTGGCCCAGTTTCCTGCGAGTTTCCTGTAGCTTCTTGGTTAGGAAGTCTAAACCGTATACCAAAAGTCAAGGGCTCGATTACAGTTCAAGAACTGAAATATTTGCCTTCCTCTTCGCAACGGGTTAATTTGACATTCTTTTTGAGATACGTTGTCTGTGATGATAAATACTGTTATTCTAAATACAGTGTAAGCTCTTTTGACAGACTCTGGTAAGCATACACCTCAGTCTACCTACCACACTTGCCCAATGGAATTCTCGTAACTAATTTTCAAGGCTTAAAAATTAGTTACGAGAACCCCATTGGGCAACATTAGCTCGAGGGGAAATAAAAAAATCATATCTTGGAGGTTAAAGGGTTAAAGTAGAGCACAATCAAACCTTAATGTGACGATGAACGCCGGAGTGAAATTCATAAACGTAAGAAGCGAGACCAGGGTCAAAAATGCCATAAATAACATCAACTTGAGTCCGCAGTCATCGCCACAGTTACCCATTTTCAAGTTTCCAGAGTTGTATCCAGATTTTACGGCGCAGGCGCAGTCAGAGTAAAGAATCGGACCCTTAAATAAAGCATATTGAAAAAATCAGAACAGTTTTATCAGGTCATCGACATATTTCCCCAAAATACTGCCTGTGTACACTCCATGTTTAAGATAAGTGGCGTATATTTAGCACAGTTAAGAGTTTCTTCTCAAAATCAACACAAAAATGACAGTTACTAGCACAGCTTATCACAAATAAATAAAGTAACGCTAGAAACTCGTTTTAGGGTACGCCATATGCCATATATTATACCTTGCTCGTCGTATTCGCTTTTCTGCAGCCTGCGTGACACGGTGAAAAATATTTCAGCGATCCATCACAAACAGGAGAGTAGCTCACTCCACTGCAGTTACAGGCCTGGTTACATGGTGCTGATGGCTGATGGGGATCAGAGCTATTTAAAATTAAAGATCTGTCATTATCATTTAAAAGAAGCTAGGCAATAGTATAATTGAATTATAGGGCGTTAATTGACAAACGAATCGTGCTTCTCGAAAATAAGATGATCGATAGGTCGGTTCAGTGTTGCGTGTTTTCCATTTACGGCTCTCTGTCACACAATTTGGTTAAGTTTTTCTTTCTCTTGCCTACAAGAGAGTCACGAGTTACCAACAACTATTTCTCTACTACTATTATAAGAAAGCTTTTTTTTTCTTTCTGTTCTCACCTGTTGGGATATGGGGTATTAACACCCGTTATGCTTGGAGTGTCACATTTCAGGAACAGCATACTGCTACTAACGAGTCCAAAACAACTAACAAGAAAACACATTTTGGCGGCTCCGGTCAGGTTGAGTTTCAGACGTTTGTTAATGTATGCCCCTGTAATAAAAAATAGGTCAGCAGTTCACGATATGATTCACGATGTACTAAACCTGCAATCAAGATAGGTGACTCCTGGATAAAACTTAAATGATTGTCTAAAAAGTATTGAAGTCTGTTTGAAAACTACCTCTGTCAGTGATGACTTGATATTTGGGGGAAAAAAGGTACCAGGCACCGGAATTTGATTTGATATTAGTTGTTCAAAGGCCGATTAGCGCTAAACTAAGATAAAGTTAAATACCGGTTTCTTCATTCCATTGTTCATGAGCCTTTTGATGATAAATTTCTCTATTCTTTTTAAAGCATCCAATCATAAAATTGTTGACAAAAAAAAAATTGTACTGAATTTTCTTTTAAAGCTTTCAGATCTGAAATCAGATTTCACACTAACAACGGGTTATCTTAACCTAGCTTTGAACGACCCGGCCCAGGATAGCATGACGATAGCATATAGCTCTCGTGGCAAGCACTTGGTTAGAACGCCTAGAACAGAGTTCACGGTCGTTACGTCGCAATAAGATCTCGTCAGGGTTTTGGGCGAGATTCCCGCCGGGATCTTTGGATTGGTTATAGCTCGAGGCGCGCCTCACCCAGAATGTTTCCAACTAGTGCAGATGGTACTACCATCAAGCCGTAAATTAGAGCGGATTTTTCTGGCGCCTGATAAAACTGAACTTCAATCACTTTAGGCATGAACACTGCGGAAACTGCAATGACGAACTCCTCCAAACAGCCACCCAGAGTAACGAAGACAAACGGGAGACTTGAAAATACCAGTTTTGTGGCTTTAGGCAGATCTCTCAGGCTCGAATATCCACTCCTCTCCTATGAAATAAATTATCAAAAGGTTCTTTGTTAGACTGAAAAGGAAAATTAAATCAATATCAACCATTAGGATCTTTATAAGACAAAGGCCTAAGAATTCATGCATACAACACGGCAGTCTAGGCGAATGTATAGAAGGCTGCTCTTAGGAACTGTGCCTTTTTAAACAACCTGACCATCTGCACCCTCTTGTTTTGCGTTGAAATCTTTTCGAGTTTTTTGTGATTTTTTTTCTATGATTGACATTCTCATTCTCTGGGTGAAACTCCCCTGGCATAAGGAAATTTCCAAAAGAGAGCGTAAAAATGGGCGTTTTTGAGACAAGGACGGTAGCCAAAACTTCAGTACTATTTTTCTTAGAAATCTTCTTTTTGAATCATCTTCAAAAGGGTCTCTACGGGTACCTTAGTCCACTTAACTGTTCATAACAACTCAGCGTGGTTCCACTGCACTCATTCGATTTACAATAAAAACCAAAACGGACTCACTCCTTTTTGGGAAATACCTCCAACTCCTGTGTTACTTTTTACCGTAGAAGGATAAAAAATTTACCTACCTTACCGATCACCGTTTTTGTTTGAGATACTTCCAATTCTCGTCGTTTCTTTGTCAGAGGAAACTCCTTTGGGAATCCTAGTAACCAAATGCTCCAGAACACGCAGATCGCACCAAATATGGCAAAGCCTATCCACCAGTTCCCCACCCAACGTTTATCCTGTACGGTCAGAGAGGTCTCGACACCAGGTTCAACGAACATCAAAAGAAACCTGGAGATCAATACAAATCCGACAGCAGCGCCTGAGAAAATAACAAAGAATTTCCATTGAGACAAAAATTACTTTTCTTAGTTCAGCCTCCATGTGTGAAATGTAATTCCAGTTACCATGGTAACTTACCAAGAATCCCACTAGCCGCAAATATGCCCACGTACATTGGCGTCACCTTAGCTTTGACATTCTCATCCATGTATGGGATTCCCAACGTGTACATTGGGGTACAACCTGCTCCAGCAACAACCATTCCCAGCACGAACAACGCATAGTAGAGAGTGTTTCCGCCTTTGGTTTCTTCTTTACATTGGTTATTTCCAAGTTGATCGGTGCGATTTGCCCAGCAAAGTCTGGGGTCAGTGACGCTTATGTCATCAATACTTGCGTTGGAGTCTGTAATGAAAGCTGGTGCGTGAAAACAAAAAAAAAAGACGATGTAAGGTGGAAATATATAGATCGTTTACATTCTTATTATATCATGTCTTTCAGTTCTGGTACAGCTCAAAAATTCTCTGTGGTAAGAGAGCATAAACTCACATTCTACTGTCTGAGAAGACTGAATAGTTTTTCCCTTGAGGATAAAAGAAAACGGATCACAGAAGACGGCAGAGGTCCTTTTATAGCAGTACTTTTTATGAGAAAAACCAAAAAGTAGTGAAAGAGGTCGAGAAAAAAATGAAGAAAAGAATAAATGATGAAAAATCCGTTGATTTATTGACTATAAATTTGCCCATCCGAGTGCGCCTACCTGTGGCTTCGAGTGGAGGCGAAACAAAATGAGGCAACATGAAGATATAGAATCCAACTCCCATAGCGAACAAACCCCAGGCACAGAACAGCGGTTTCTTTCGTGAGCCACCGATGTAACTGATCAGCGGAGTTAGGATCGTAGCTGCTATGTCATAACTGCTTATTATCATGCCCATCATGTAACTAATACGAAAAGAGAGAATACCTTAGAACAAAGAAAAGTATCCAAAGGAACTAACGAGAACTCAAAATTCGGGGGAAAACGCGAATAACCATTTTCATAGGAATCTCTACATTTACTTAACTGTTACGCTCTTAAAACTGGTGTTCTCCAGGTTAGCAGATTAATTTTGTAAACCCTCAACAACAACAACAACAACAATAACAACAAGAAATCTTTGCGAGAGATGGAACCATGCAGTGAAAGAAGATGTTTGCCCTGCAGGAGTTTCACATACGATAAATGGCGTCTTTCAAATCTACTGTGTTTATCAATTACGTGGAAATTTAGTATCCCAACGCAATTAAACAAAATGGTCGGTAATTTTTTAAAATATATTTATTCACTGTCTATGAACTCACAGCCATAATGAAAATGTGTGGCAGCCAGGGAAGAGAATTTACAGTCAGATCTTGGCAGTTAAAGGATTAACGTCATAAAAATTGCATTTGATTGAATTAATCTTGAAGTAATTTCTTGCGGGAGGAGAGAGTCCAGACAGGGTTCCCAATTGATAAACTTAAAATCTTAGGTTAAATGTTTGAAGATAGATAAACAGCGACGCTCAGCTCAGACTAATGGGTAGCAGCCCATTCCAGGGCATTCTGTAATGCAACACTGTACTGCATTCGGAAAGAGCTGGTAAGGTCGCGCAAGTCACGCTCTGAATGTCTCTTAGCACAGGTGCGCTTACATAACTGTTTACCGCATATAGAGTAAAGGGATTGATCACCAGCCTTTGCAATGTAGCTGTTTGTGTAGATAAAATGAAACTTAATTACAAGAGCAAAAAGGTTTTTAAGGTTCTGAAAACTTGATTAATGAAAACATTATTTAAACCTTCCGTGTAGAAAACATTTCGTGTAGAATAAGCCATCGATTTTGTTGCTGTTCCCTTCGCTTAATGAAGGCGTCCGTTAGTAAAGGTTCGGACATGGGCCAATGAACGTTGTATGCAGGGAATTTACTTCATACAATTTACAGTCAAATCACCGAATTTTAAAAACAATCACACTGACCTGGAGAAGCCAAACCGCCTCTCAATCGTGCTGATCGAGCCCGGGTAGACGCCATTAACGATGATACTTTGGGTGAAAAAATACTGACTCAAGGAAAAAAGAAACCATTTTGGAGTGTTGAGAAACTGCAGCCACGACGGACGAAATCTAAGCCAGCCATACCGATACATAAATTGTTTGTCTTCATCCACCGACATTGTTGTGTCGCAGGGTATTGTTAAAGAAGTATCTTAAGCCCTGCAGATACCCTATCAGTAAAACGTCCTTTTCAAGTTTTTTAGAAAGCGTTTCTGATAATCCTCCGATATTGTGCTGGTTGTGTATCTGTCAATAAAGTCTGAGTTCGAAGGTAGTCTGTTTTGAGGCTTTGTAAGCGCTGGAGCATGATCGAAGTACATACACTAGCCGAAGAAGTAACTCGACCATGGAGAATTATGCGTATCATCGAAGCTCGCATATTCCTGAGAATAAAGGAAATCGGAGATCACAATAGCTTCCGATTGATCTTGAATTAGAAACAAAATCACGCGTGATTTATGCCAAGATTTGCTCACAAAGAGTGTTACAGGTGATTGAGGCGCAACTCTCTAGCTCAGGTCTGGCTAGTCACACGGAATCACCTATTGAATAAAACAAGAGTGAAGCGTTCTGTTTACAATTTCAAGAATGCAAATTGGTCGGGCCTAAAAAAATTGCTTTTGCATACCCCTAGGCCTTAGGACATGGTATTTGTTCCTAACGATGTCGACGAGTCTTTTTGCAAATGGTGCGACTTCTTTATCTCCGCTGTTAACGACCAGATTGACGAGGCGAACCTCCTCAACCGTTGCCTCCATGCTGTATTCAGTCCACCTGACTTACATCCGTCTACTGAACTTACAACCTTATCTCAAGCTAATCCCAGCCACCTATCTAATGTCCAGTTGACGGTGGCTGAAGTTGCGGATGTGTTACGCAACTTAGACCCCAAAAACGCGTATGGAATAGTTGGCATACCTGGCCGACTCCAAGTTATATCGAACCATGGACATGCCAGATGCCCATAGCTTCCTCCAAAATGATCTAGACTCCCTCAACAACTGGAGCCGGGACTGATCTATGGAGTTCAACCCAACTAAGAAAGTCATCCACTGGAGCTGACAACAGGAACTACAGTATTGGTAATCGACAATTTGAGTGGGTTTCCTCCATTAATGACCTTGGTATTACTGTGTCTAGCGACCTTTCATGGGCAAGGCATATTGAAGACATCGCTGCGAAGGCTAACAAAACTCTCAGCCTTATCAAGAGAATATGCCGGAACTTCTCTCAGCCCACCATCAGAAAACTTCTACACTGTGTCCTCGTGAGACATAAACTGGAATAAACCTGTGGTCACCTTACAGAGTCAAACATCGAAAACTGTTAGAAGATGTCCAGCGTAGGGCAACCAAGTTCATTTTGAGCTATCCTCAAGACATGTCCTATACTGAGAGACTAAATAAACTGAACTTACTACCCTTGGAACACCGCAGAGAGATTTCAGACTTGTTACTATTTTTCAAATCAAGAAATGGTCTGATAATTACCGATATTCATGGCCTCTGATCCTCGTTATAAAATTTGTAACTATATCCGAACAACTATAATGTAAAATCGTTTTTTGTACAGTCTCGCTCTCAACATTTTCATCTAAATTAAATAACCTATATTTTTCTAAACTCGTCTCATACAGACCTCCAATTTAGTATTTTATAACTTAAATTGACTTGGTTTTTTGTACACATATTCTAGTCTATTTAGTATGTCTTTTTTTATCGTATTATAGGGGTTAGTTCTCAATTGGGACAAAAGTTCTGTTCCTCTCTCCTGCCACTCCACTTTATTTTTTCTTTTCTTGTAACAGTGTAATGTAGATTAGTGGTTTGTATTTGTTGAACCGTGGCGAATAAATTAAATAAATAAATAAATAATGGTGATTGAACTGAGTGGAATGCAATTTGGGCTGAAATTATACGCGTGATTTCAAAATCGAACGAGCGCGCGGCGCAAGTTCGATTTGAAATCACGAGTATGATTTCAGACCAAAATTGCACGACACGAGGTTCAATTACCACATTATCATATCCATTTTGCCCAAATTGGTTCATGGCTTTAAAAAGCTGACATGCATTGAAAACATAGCCGTGCTCATTCAATGCCAGACTCAGCATTACTATTTGACTGGGTTGGCTGAGACATTTGTTCTGATAATACTTGAACTTCCTCAAGAAGTTGACGCGGTTGCTGTTCTCATTGCTGCGCCATTTTGCCCGACCCCAGGGAACGAAAACACCCCGAGGATGAGAGAATTCCTGCCAAAATACACTCCGCTCAGAAAACTTAAATCCCTAAACTAATCCGAAAACTAATCTCCCTAGCGATTTTTTTCCCACGCAACAATTTCTCCTCCTCAACAGTAAATATTCATTTCTCGACGTTTTGCTTCATCAGTCTTTTTCTCGATCAATGTTTTTCCATTCTCGATGGGCAATAAAATCTCGCGTGACAGTTTTTAATTCTTGTGCAGTGATTCGATTTCTCACGTATAGATTTTCCAGTATCACATATCGATCAATAAAACTCTATAGGTAATTTAAATTCAATCCAATTTTGTCACATTTGGCTAGCGTTAAATAGGTGATTTAAATTCAACATACTTTTGTTATGTTTGGCTTACCATGAATGCACCATTCCGTGATTATACGTATTTCGTTAATGCAATTAAAGCCATGGTGATCTCCGATTTCCTTTGTACTAAAGCAATATATATCATCGTCCTAAACCAGATGAGCCCACGACATATCAGCGGCATCTTGTAGGAGTATCCGCAGTTTCCAACGTGACTTCCGCTTTTTCTTGTTGACTCGTACTCACAGTGTACTCGAGTGTTAGGTAGTTCGCGTAGTGCGTTTGAGCCAGTTTCTGCCAGATTTGAACAGAAAAACAGGTCCTTTGTTGGACTGTAATGATACTTTGATCGATGGCGCTGTTAACGAAATGTTTGGCCAGTTCGTAAGTTGTCAACCTGGTTTCGGTCGATCTGATTGATTGGCAACACCTCTTGGAAATCCTACACACCATCGACCTAAGCCTCATAGCTGCCAAGTGAGCGGAAGAACAATGACATCAGAATACTCGAGAAAGATAAGTATTAATTTTAATTGCATTTGTGTTAAACTTATATGTACAGAAATTTCTGAAGAGGTACTTAATCAGAATTTGGAGCAACTTCAGAATACCCCGCAACTCATTTACATGTCATTGAATAAGAATAGCGTCTATTGTGTTATGCCTCGATCTTCAAAGCCTCCCGACACATGTAAGTGAGGCGGACAAGAGTTGCGGGGTATTCTGAAGTTTAGCCCAGAATTTTATCACTGACATGATAAGCCTTCAAACTTGTATTAAATAAATTGATGTACATATTTCACAATTTTAAGATGATTGTGTGATGACAGTACACCGACGGCCAACATTCGAATATTCAGCTTGAGCTTCCTCCTAAATGTTAAGTATTTCAATTTGAACTTGTAGAATATAACCTATGGATTAAATGTGGGTCTATAAGTATCATCCATGAAATTCTTACAGGCAATTTTCATTATGATATTAAAGCACCACAAACTCAAGAACAAGGAAAAATAAGTTACGCAGAAAACTGACGGAGAAATTCATAGTTTTCATAATTTTGAATTCATTCATAATTTTGAATTACAAATCATTCAGACCATAGCCAATATTTGTGTGGTTACTGCTGATGATCAAACTTGACTGTCTAGATAATACATAGGTGTGGTTCGAATCAACTACAATAATATTTATTAGTATCTTGAATTTTAAGCTCTTAAATGAACCCTTTAAATTCTGATTGAAATAACATAAGGGAAGTGATTTTTGGATACGTTTTAATCACATCACAATTGTGTTATTGTTGCAATTATTGTGGCAAAACATGTGACCTCCTAATATATATATTTTTGTTCTTTACATGACTAGCTGTACAGTGTATGTAGATTTGCTTTTGCAGCAGGCAAGCTTCTACACTTGTTGCATCTCCATTTCCAATTACTGTTGATTGCCCATGTAGGAATTGTCACACATGTTGGCTGATACCAGTGGCTTACACTGGCAACACTCCACATATAGACTTTTAGATTGTCACTGCTTTGCTTTTGGTGATTGCATGATATGGTACCCGTCTTGACGTTCTTGGGAAAGGAACCATATCATGCAAGTCCAGGCAGTTGATGTAGTGTTTGCGCATTTTGTCTTGGTCATATGACTGCGTGAACAAGGAGGAGGTTGTTGGATGGATCACCTATACTTATTTTAATTACATCAGTGCTGTCTTCTTCCTTCAGTGACTGTGGTTGTTGATAGGACTCACTATCACTTGTAAGGCAGTAAGGCCTGAAAAAGGAATTATCATCTGGGCTTTCTTCTTTCCACTTCTTGATTTTTAAGTCAAGGTTTTCTTGATCAATTTGTGAATGTCTGCACACCACTGTGGCACGATACATGTGGTTCCTGACATCCATGGTTGTTGGGAAGAACCATCTGTTGGTTAGATCTGGAGGCTGTTGGCCTGTGAAAAGTTCCTTCTTTACATAATGATGCAGGTGCCGTTGCATTTCAGAAACACAATTAACACTACTTCCAACAAGCTCATGAATTTTTTTAACCAGTGTCTCATCAATAGGCTGAAGTAGCCCAGCAGTCTGATTACACAACAAGAAAGAAAGAATAATTGCTTTATTATTTATTCATTTAAAAAATTACACAACCTCATCCCCAAGTTTTCTTGGTCAACGGTTCAATAACCTGGAGCCGGCTGCTTTTGATGTCATTGGTTCAATATGAGAAAATTTTTTCCAAATTTGGTCAACAGCAGCTGGTTATGATGAAATATGTGAGTGGTTTTAACCTTTCAGAAACAGGGAAATATTTTGAATGAATAATAATGTAAATTATACCAACATTACTATCGGCAGTCCTCTGGTAGGGCTTTTCAGTGATAGTTACAGAATGTTATAATTACAGATTACTGAACACTGTATTTTTTAAGAAAAACCATTTAAAAAGTCCATGACAGCATTCCATTAAAACAGTGCCAGTGGAAATCCCTCTCCGATAAAATTGTGATATTAGAGTCTTGACATTGAGTTTGAGGAATAACTGCTAGTATAGCTAAAAGAAGCTGTACATGTAGTACATTTGATTGGTCTTTTGTTGTGATGTACAATCTTTATTCATTCTTTATATATATTCCACATGACAGTGGAAGCAGCACAGTCTACAGAAGACTGATGATCTGTGTTAAGTTAAGTCACCTTAAATCCCCCACCAAACTTCAGTTTCCTGATTCCAAAAAAAATTTAATTGATGGCCAAGTACTTACCCTCTCCATGGGGTGAAATAAGTGATCCGTAGGTTTAGGAAGTAATATGTAAATACGCTCCTCTGTAGCTATTGTTTGCTTCTTTTCTGACTCTAGGGATGTTCTCAGAAATTTTGACATTGTCTCCCTACTACTCTTTGTGTTCTCTGAAATCTAATGATACAATGTTTTAATTAAAATAATATTTGAAAAATTGGTTTCTAAAATATTCAAACTGTTTCCATTACAGGTAAATTTGTTTCAATTCTGCACATCGAAATGTCCAGGTTGTCTTATCATATGTCCACTTCACCTACATGTAACACAAGGCCCATTGGGATTAAGCACCCTTTATTAGGCTAGTGATCATTCATGTTAATGGTAGTGCCCCCTGAACCCTTATTCAATAATTAAAATAAACTGGCCTTATTTTCAGGATACTTGATTATTTTCCTTAGGTGGATCTTTGCTGGACAGTCACATTTCTTCGTATCCTGTACTATAAAGCGCTGTTTGGTGTTGTTATAGCAGTGATCAGCATTCTCCTTCTGAAACCAAATAAATTTATTGGATTGTTAGATAGAGCAGTCGTATGGGAATAGTCAAGTTATCAATAAACTTAGAAGTAATGAAAAGTATCCTTTAAAATAGTACTTGATTCCTACCTTGTAAACTGCAGTCACAGTGGTCCTTTTTTGCAACTTTGCTTATTTTAACAAATAAAATGTGATATGTCCTTTTACTTGCAAGTGGTAAAAAAGAAAACATTATTGCATGCTATTAGCCCTGAGGGAGAGGTGAGTGCTCACCAACTTGCTTAGAAAAATCAGTTGGGACTTACCACCTTGTTAGCTTAAGAGCAAATAGGTGAAGGTAAATCAATAACTATGTAATGTCCTATATATGATATCCTCTTTGGGAGTCCTTAAGTAATAATATCATCTTGTTTACATTCTTATTTAGTTAATTATTATGCATGCTTACATCTTTTTGTAGTCTCTTTTGAGCCTCCTTCCTTTTGAGTGCCTTATTTCTGTCTGGCCCATTTTGGCATTCTAAAACTTTGACCCCCACAATTTGGAATGGGATGCCATCAAAACTTAGTCTGCATCCTGTCATCTCCTGTGAGTCAGCCCATTGTATACGGTGGTTCTTAGCATTTTTATCTGCATTTTCTTTTACTCCTATGTTTTTATGTGAGAAGAGGAACCAAGCTAAGTTAGCATTACGATACATGTACACAAACACATACTTACCTATGTACACATGGGTGCTTAAAATGGAGGGCCTGAAAATCAAGCCTGCCCCACCCAGATGTAGCCCAAGGACTGGTGTAATGGATGGGGATGCTGGCAGCTGTGTGTCAACAGCACTGAGTAGGGTTTTGACACTTTAAGCTTGATCTTAATTAATTAAGAATTTCTTGCCAACTCTTGCTGCAGGCTCACAGTAAATTGACACTTGAAGCTAAGTTGAATTTTAATTACATTTTAATTTTGAAAGTCTAACTGATCAGTGTAAACCGAAGAATAATGATGTGTACATGTATTCTTAAGATATCAATAATTATTGGAAAAAAGTTAAATCCCTTTTTTTATTTTGATTTATCTATATTTCATGTTAATAAGACGATCTCACACGCCCCTGGCTTTAAATACCTATAGTGTCTAAATAAAGTTATACTTCACTTTACTTTACGGTCAGTATGGTTTGTTTTGTAAATCTTTACATGTGAGCTTACTTACCCAGCCTACTGCAATTTGAAAATCCTCCTGTTTGTTTAAATACAGTGAAGCGTGTCGTCGTAGCATGTGAGCTTACTTACCCAGCCTACTGCAATTTGAAAATCCTCCTGTTTGTTTAAATACAGTGAAGCGTGTCGTCGTAGCTATCTCGTACTGTTTTATGAGTTCGTCAGCGCTGCTTTCATCGTTAACATACCCGGAATAAGGGTCAAACTGTACGGTCCATCTTGAAGCCCAAGGTGTACTGTCATCAGCCATGTTTGTTCTTCTACCAAACATTTAGATTTCCCGCCAATATTTACCCGCTAGCCGCATAAACGCATGAGTGTTAAATATTAACTGGACCACCCCTTAGCAAATATATTTATTAGTAGCAAATAAGATGTTGAACAAAAACCAAGAGATCGTGGTCAAATAAAACGTAAAGATAATTTATTACAAACAGAAAAGAACTGTATGTTTGTTCCAATCGAAAGATTTTACAGTGCAAAGTTATGCAAATGATCTTTGACCTGAATCTGCTTTTGGTCGATGATAGCGAGGTCAGAGGATAACATCGACCGAAACTATTAGGCCGGTCATATTTAAGTGTCGATCCTCCTTTTAACGCCTTTATAACAGGCTAGATTTTTTCTTAAATATGTGATCTAGACAGAAATTAGTTTGTACAAGTTATGGGAAGAATACTTTCGCAATAAAATATTGAAGAACACGACGCTTTATCGTCAGTCACACAGGTCACGGTCTCTTGATTCGCCGGAAACGAGCAGAAAAATAGGAGACTCTCGCTACGATTCCGCTGACGTGTCATGGGCTCATCTGGTTTGGGACGATGATATGTATTGCCCTAGGGGTGTTGTCAATCAATCAGATCGACCGAAAGCAGGTCGACAACTTACGAACCAGCCAAACATTTCGTTAACAGCGCCATCGATCAAAATGTCATTACACTCCAACAAAAGACCCGCTTTTCAGTTCAAATCTGGCAGAAACTGGCTCAGACGCACTACGCGAACTTCCTAACACTCGAGTACACTGTGAGTACGCGTCAACAAGAAAAAGCGGAAGTCACGTTGTAAACTGCGGATACTCATACAAGATGCCGCTGATATGTCGTGGGCTCATCTGGTTTAGGACGATGATATATATTGCTCTCAGGATATTGGATTAGGCGGACTTGGCTTTCCACGGTCAAGTTGCTTTCTTAACGGGCGTAAATTCAAGTGTTCACACAGTTGTAAAGCTGATGTTTTTTTTACTATGAAGTGACCGATGTAACTCTCACCAAAATCCTGAAAAGAACGTCTCACTTTAAACTACATCTTCGGAGCCTTGAGGGATCCTGGAAGATCGTTCTCCACCATTGCACTCTCAAGATGGCAACAACTGAAAATAAACAGTTATCGTATGGCTGGCTTAGATTTCGTCCGTCATGGCTTCAGTTTCTCAACACTCCAAAATGGTTTCTGTTTTTCTTGAGTCAGTATTTTTTTACTCAGAGTATCATCATTAATGGCGTCTATCCGGGCTCGATCAGCACAATTCAGAGGCAGTTTGGCTACTCCAGGTCAGTTCGATTAATTGTATCTTAGAAAGAAAAGAAACGAAACGATACGAAATGAAAATCTCTAATTTGCCAAATAGAAATATGCTAATGGTTTGCAAAATAGAAATTTCTAGAAATTACAGAAAAAATTACAGACAAATTATTATTTTCTAATAACACTTTTCATGTGCATTTCTGGTCTGGTAAGTGTCTTGTCACGCATTCGAATTATTCATCGACAACGTACATAGATTACACCTTATAGACAGTACAGTTACAGCGTCAACTAAAATTTCGAATTACTTTTGCGCTCTATGGCCTAAACGACGCATTGAGTTATTCACGAATGTAGTGGAGATTTTGCAAAGTTCACCACGCAGCGTCACAATTCACCTCGACATCAATTCACCTTTTGGGCTTTAGGTTTCACGTGTAGTGTCACGCGACTTTTAATGTAAACAAAACTTCGAAAGTTCGGACACTGAGTCGAGCTCGCAGCACATGTGTCCAAATTTCGGCTTTGGAAATTTTTCTTAAATAACTGCCCACTTTCAAGAAACGTTTCTTCACTCAAAATTGGCATCTTTCTTTTATTATTTATTTGATCGTGTGTCAAGCAAGTTGTCATTCTGCTGCCGTTGAAGCAGATGCGAAGAATGTTACAGGAAGCGGTGCGGCATGGAAAAATCGAACTAGTTCTGCGTACAGTGATGTATCTGATCAGATATTTTCGGGGTGTTGAGTGCGTAGATTGTTAAATAAAATCACTTCTGTTAGGAAATTAGTGCCCACGAATCGCTGTAGGACGTAAGGAAGCCTGAATTCCCACACGCAATTACGTATTTAACGTTAAGTAACGCAGGTGGGAAATTCTGCGAGACTCATAACAACCTCAAAAAGAGTTAAATTTAAGAATGGCAGATCACAAAAATAAAGCTGATTTCAACGCAATGAGTGTGACCTTAAAAAATATCTACAAGAACGGGGGATTTCAGCGAGCGGAAACTTGAAAACCTCGTTAGTGGAAATCACTTCCGCAGTCGAAAAATTGGTTCTGCCAGTGGATCCAAATTTCGAAAAGGCGACACCACTGCTTTCGACGAATACGTAGACACACGATTAAAGTATTACTAACTTTCTGTAATTTGTGACGCCCGATCTTGGCTTGATTCAAGCATTCGTCACTTATGATCTCTGACGTCCGTTTCAACAATAGTCAAATGGATAGAATTCACTAACCTTTCGTTTTCTGCCTGTGCTGTCACAAATGACATATGATGGGACAGGTTCGTGATCTTTTCGTGATCGTTTGTTTTGAAACAAGAGAGATTTGGCCAAAATTGGTAGAGAGGATGTGATATACTTGTCTTGGGATAACAGACAGCATAAGCGGGTTTACAAAATTGTTTACCAGCCGGAGGTGCGAAATAGCGAGCTTTACAAAACATTTTTCTAACTCGGAATGACTTTGGTTTTGCTTTACCTCTCTCTGTGATTAGTCTGAAAAATTTTGCGCAACCCTATTAACCTTTTTAAAAACAAAGACAAACAAAAAGAAGCCACGACTGGGTTCTTGAGTTCTCATCGCGAAGGTTTTCTTTCGTCCTGTCCGGTAGTTGTGATTCCATAGCTTTTGGTCCTGAGACACTCTCTTGCAATTTGCAGTCGTCTTAAAGTACAGTTAAAGATAGATAAAACGACCTTAAATAACTAACAAGAAGATGGTATATCTGCCATTAATTGTCATTGTCTCTTTAACGCTGAAATATCTGCCTTGACTATCCCAGTTATATGATTGGTATGATGACAAGCAGTTACGACATAGCAGCCATGATCATAACCCCTCTGATCAGCTACATCGGGGGCTCAAGGAAGAAGCCGCTGTTCTGTGCCTGGGGTTTGTTTACTATGGGGGTTGGATTCTTTATCTTCATGTTGCCTCATTTTGTTTCACCTCCATACCAAGCCACAGGTAGGTGAATAAGACTGACATTCACGCAGTTTGCAACCAAGAATTGAACTTTACTCCGTAGTTGCCCTTTCCCTTCTTTTTCAATACCTTGTTGCTTCTTTGCGCTTTTCCTATTGTGCAAGACGTCTCTTGATATGTTACCTGCCTTTTTTGCGGCCTCCTCTTCTCCCTTTTTATCTGAGGCGCTGTGCAGAACCTGTGCACCCCATCCCTGCCGAAAAACGATTACACAATTATGAGACCCATTTGTCTCCACGACTTCGGAAAAAACTCGGCCAGATTGTATCTTTCTCCTTAATTTGACTTGGATTTTTCTTCTTTTTCTGTATCAGCCATTATTACAAATTTTAACACGAGTATTACTGACTTAAGCGTCACTGACACCGGACTTTGCTGGGCAAATCGCACCGATCAACTTGGAAAAAACCAATGTAAAGAAGAAACCAAAGGCGGAAACACTCTCTACTATGCGTTGTTCGTGCTGGGAATGGTTGTTGCTGGAGCAGGTTGTACTCCAATGTATGCGTTGGGAATCCCATATATGGATGAAAATGTCAAAGATAAGGTGACGTCAATGTACGTTGGCATATTTGTGGCAAGTGGGATTCTTGGTAAGTTACCATCATACTGGTAACTGATGATACATCATTCTTACAGAGGCGGAACTGAAATAAATCATTTTAGCATAATTGGTTATTCTTTTTTTTCTCAGGCGCTGCTGTCGGATTTGTATTGATCTCCAGGTTTCTTGTGATGTTCGTTGAACCTGGTGTTCAGACCTCGCTGACCATACAGGATAAACGTTGGGTGGGGAACTGGTGGATAGGCTTTGCCATATTTGGTGCGATCTGCGTATTCTGGAGCATTTGGTTACTAGGATTCCCAAAGGAGTTTCCTCTGACAAACAAACGACGAGAATTAGAAGTATCTGCCACAAACACTGCGATCAGCACGGTAGGTGAATTTTAAAGATCTTTCCACTGGTGGTGATGCTGAAGTGAGAAGTCACGCTCGAACAATGGCGCACTCCGCCCGTTCTCTGCGTTGTGGAGAGTTCTGATACCCCTCTCCCCCTCACCCTCCCCCACCCCCCGTCCGCCTAACGGTCTCCGTATGTGGAGGCTGCTTTGCATAGATGATATTGATATTTATGATTGTTTAACGCACAAAATAAATGCACCAAAACTTGACGCAATTCCAGTGCAAAGAGAAAACGCACTTGTAGGGAATTGTACCCCTTTTTACAACTGGTTATCGAAGCATCAGTCATAGCCCCCGATAAATTTTTTTTCTCCTTGATTATCTATACTCGCGCCAACATTTTCTACAACAATTCAACCCAATTCATCAATTTTCCTTCGGTTGAGAATCTGATATTTTTTGTTTCCTCTCAGACCAACAAAGAAGATAGAGACAGTAATCATGAATCTATTCCAAAAGATGATATTGGATTCTCCAGACTGAAAGATCTTCCTAAAGCTACAAAACTGGTATTTTCTAGTCTCCCGTTCCTTTTCGTAACTGTGGGGGCATGCCTGGAAAATTTCCTTGTTGCAGTTATCGGAGCGTTTCTACCAAAAGTGATTCAAACACAGTTTTATCAACCCCCAGCGAGAGCAGCTCTGCTCTATGGCTTGGTAGCAGTACCATCTGCATTTTGTGGAAACATGTTGGGTAAGTCAAAAGCTGATTCTATCACATGTTACTGATATGGAAAGGGGGGGGAGGGGATCAGATGCTGTAAATCGAGTCCCTGATGCTCCGCCTCTTTGCAAATCCTGCAAGGTGTCTAGATGACGGTCTACACTATCGTGCTTTGACATGCGCCCCTGACCGTTTAATATGCGATCTCCTTACTTTTTTTTAACTTTTACAGGATAAATTTACTGCATTTTTAGGTTTGGTAGCTTTGAATTAAGATTCAGAAAGCTTACAACCAACTTTCCTCTTGTTGCAGGAGCTTACATCAACAAACGTCTGAAACTTAACCTGACTGATTCCGCCAGAATGTGTTTTATTGTCGCTTTGTTGGGACTCGTTAGTTCCAGTGCAATCGTCCTCAAATGTGACACACCAAGTATAGCGGGTGTTAATGCCCCATATCCCAACAGGTGAAAACAACAACAACAAAAATAACACAGGGCTCCTGTATCCTTTCTATGAGTTTCCGCATGTCTTAACTGCGGGCATGCTTCATCCGATCATGATGCGCGAATCAAATTTTGAACTCACAATCAGCGACATTAGCTTTGAAGTCGCAATATTCTTACAAAAGCAAACCAATTTTCTCCTTAATGTCATTCTTCTAACCCCTCTCCCCCCGGGGGCCCTATACCATGTTACACTTTGTTTTCTGAGATTGTGCAACTATCGGTAGGGGAAAAGGAGTACGGTAACGAGCTGCACTAATTTCTAATTTCTTAAAAGTGGCCACATGGGTGTTCTGTGTCAACTTATGTTGTCGCCATGTTGGTTATATTCCTCTCAAAAACCGTGCTTCTTAATACCATAAAACATCACATTTCATACGCACACCAAGTCGCATCATATTGGTTACTTCTTGGAAGAAATGAATGTTCATAATGGGCGGTAAATATCATTTTTGATCATACTCTTGATCCTTAGTAGTTCCGATCCTCATCAGCTCTCAGCGCCATGTAACCAAGCCTGTAACTGCAGTCAAGTGGCTTATACTCCAGTTTGCGATGGACTGCTGAACTATTTTTCACCGTGTCACGCGGGCTGCCATAGAATGAATACAACAGAAAAGGTACGATATACAATGTACCATGCAGTCAAAGACAAGTTTTTACAAACATTTTGCTTACATTACGTATAGAAGAACGCTTTTCATCACATGAAAGAAGCACCACTGAATGCAGATTTAAATGAAGAGGTCTGTTTCTTATGTCATGCAGTAATCTTCATTACTGACTGCCGCGTTCTTTCCTTCCCGGCTAGATCAATCCTTTTATGAGGAGAATTCCGTTGTTTATCAAAACTGTCCGGGCAAATCAGTTTATTCCCATGTGGTTTTGTTCATTTTGATATTGTTTCAATAAAAATTAAAGTGAAACTCTCAATGAGAAATGGCCTACTTTTTGTGAAATGCATGCTCTCACTAAGTAATTTTGATTTACGATCAATTCCCTTAATAGTGTAATTTTGCTGTTTGTTCTTGTTAAAGGGTTCTACTTCTTACTCCAACTGCGCTTGCGCTGCAAAATCTGGCGAGAGCGCTGGACAAATGAAGAAAGGCAACTGCTATATCGATTGCGGGCTCAAGTTTCTACTGTTCATGGCTGCCGTAGTTTTAACCCCTTTATTTACGCTTATGAGCAATACTCCAGCGTTGGTAGTCACCTTGAGGTACGCAAGCAACCTTCCGAAGTACTACTTGGATTTGCATGCGATTTCAAAGGACGTTACTGATTGTATGTTATAGGGGAACATTGACAAAGAGTTAGCAAAAGGCGTCCTTGGTAGATCTTACCGCCTATGGAGTCAGAATTCAATTACCACAGGCAGCATATTTCGAAGAAAAGATGTTAGATTCATTTGTGACGAGAGTGTAACATATGTATTTGAGTTTGTAATGAGTACTCAACCCCGAGAGCTTTCGCTCGAGGGTCAGATTTTCTAATCAAGGCGCATCAGGGAACTGTTCATGCAAGTTGGGTCATCTGTGTACTGTGTGCTTGTATCTAAAACGCTCAGTGTATACCGCTATCTGATGGTTTTTTAAGCCCACAGTGGGTGTCTAGTGCAGTAGAAAGGAAAGGAAGATGTTAAATTCCGATTCCTTTGGTCCAACGAAGAAAATCATTTTCATTTCAGGAGTGTACCACCTGGTCAGCAGTCATACGCGTTAGGACTCCAGATGGACCTTGTGAGGATCCTTGGGGCCATACCGGGGCCAATAATATTTGGGGCCCTCTTGGACAAGACATGCATACTCTGGAGCTCAAGGTACTCTAATGTTATGTCCCATTGTATATAATCGATCGCGGGGCAAATATTTATTTTGATGTTTAGCACTAGTTATCAGGGCCATTGTTTAGGGGTGACTAGTGTTAACTCGTTTTCGTCTGATACTATTCAGTGGTAACCGGTCGTTTCGCCTGCGAGTCGTTTCGCTAAAGCAATAAACCAAAGTGCACCTAAAAAGTGCCGGAACTAAGTGAATCTTACGCAAATTATGCAAATGCGAATGCAGAAGAGACGTCAGTGAAATAACTTAGAAGGCTAAAACGTTAGCGAAATATATGATCAATGAGACTTTAGCGCACTGACCTGAGACGTAAGCGAAACGACGTCAGGCGTTGGCGAACTGGTATAGCACCTTCGCCGTTCCTCAACCTATTCTCTAAAAGTGTTACGCTATTGTTCTTGAACCCAAAAATTCCTTTACATTTTTCTGTATGGAAAATTTCTTTTCTAGTTTTAGCTTAAGGGTCCAGCCACTTTCAGAAAACGATCAAGAAGTAATGGGAGGTACCGGATACTTCTCGGTACCTCCTGTAAACGTGACACCAACTCCGACGATTTGTGGTCGTCGATTACCTAGATGTGGTTTAAAAAATTGCATGTATCATTATTTTTTCTGTTATTCCTAAAGGTGCGGTGACCAGGGGTTTTGCCAAGAGTACGACCATGATGGGCTTGCACGAGTTCTGGTCGCAGTAATGGCTGTCTGCAAATTTATCGCCACCACAAGCTTTTTTCTGTGTTGGTTCTTTTGTCGACAAGGAAAAAGCACGGACAAAAATACTACGAAGGAGAATGACGGAGAAAGTTTTGTTTGGCCCGAAACATCTATGTAAGGACTTTATTTTGCTTTCGAGCAGCCTCGAAACTCAGGTGGATCATGCACCTCATCTGTACATGATCACATGCATTTGAAACTAAAATTACATTGGTAGCCTTTTTGAGGAGCTGACCAGTAAAAAGACATTAAAGCTTGGATTTCACATTTTTTTTCTTCTTATTCAATCAAGTCAGCTTCTTTCTTCATTAAAATGATCCTAATAAACCATATGCGACTGATCCGCCATATTTACTGATATCATATTTGTATTTTTCTTTGGTTCTTTTTGTTTTCAATTCAGTTTTCAACCTTAGGCTATTCTATCTGCGTTTCAAATCGTCGTCGTTCCTTTTTACTTTGTCAGTGTTTTATTTGATTCGATAGTTTCACATAATCACTGTATCCCGTCTGTATAGCAAAATGAGGGGCGTGGTTGGCAGAGATTCCTTAAACAAATAGTCCGACTTCTCTTCTGAGAAGAGTTTGGAAGTAAGAATAATTTTTTGTAGAGTAGGAATAAAGGAGATCTGAGAGAAGTGAATTTTACGAGGTAGTTCTAAACCTGTTGAAAATAGACCCTGTTGGACCATTGGGAAATTTTCCACCGCTGTCATATGATTCTGACCACTGATAAACGAAAAACGCTTTACTGTACTTGTCACTTCATGGAGAATCCGTTGAGTTACAACAGAAAAGATGAACACTTACTATCAAAAGCCACTAGTGTGCTCATACTCGTCTTTGACGACACAACTGAGCAACGGAAAATGTTTTTCTTTAGATGTACGAATCATGAAACCTTACCTGATTTGTTTTCAATATTTGAAGTTTACTTTCACTTATGTCTTAGACCATTGTTAATGAAAAGTAGTTTATTATTTAGGGGCGACGCAACTTTTTGTCGAATTAGAGACACCCCGCTATAAAAACCGCATTACTCACATGTAGAACGTGGAAAAATAAACATGATTACAGTATGAAGAAATATCCTCTATTGATTGACGTTTTTATTGGTCATTTTCTGCCCAAAATAAATGCCCTTCTCGTGATGTTTCAGTCCCAACGTTTTATTTCCTTACGTTTTTTGTGTTTTCGCGCAGAAATATTGTTCACGCAAAAGATGTCACGTTCCTCACGCTCGCGCAGAAGAACTGGAAACGAAAAAAATTAAAAGAAAATGGCGGCGGAGCTGTTACTTACTTTGACGCCTCGCACAAAAATGGCATCATTGGTATCTTTAAACCTGTATGTTACCCATTGTTTGGTAACATATTTTGCGAGGAAAATGGAAAACAGCGACTCTTTGACACAAAAATTTTAATTTTAAAGTTGGGGAGCGTTTTCAGCAACATCAAAAACATTGTAATTCTTATGACACAAACAGTTCTTCTGACGTAAGGTAAGCCTCAAAAAGTGCTTGTTAGAGAGATAATATATTATTTTTTTATTGAACCAGACAAGGACACTTATTATCTGATGGCATTTTGTATTACACAAGGAATCTATCTGAACAGTGTACTTTTAATTATGCTAAAATATTTATCTTGAAGAATAAATTGCAATATTAAGTACATAAACCCCTTAGGGGCGGGTAGAATGTCAGCTCATAGTATCCTGGGCTGATAATGTGCTCAGCTGAGACATTGTCTGAAAAACGAATATTCAGCCAAGAAAGCAAAGCTTAGAGGACTAATATGAAATTTTGAGGACATTATCTCTCAGCCATGGAAATCATCACCCAACATAATGGCAAGCCATAAGGGGGTTTATTTATTTTTAACCCTCTCGCAAATTGTAAAAGTTGTCATTTTCTCCCTTGCTTTAATGTGAATGTACTACCTTAAATTAATTGGTAATGCATTGATCAATTGTAAACTTCAACATCCCCCACACTGCAATCCCCCCCCCTCTCCAGCATTTGAGCTTTTGAGGATTAGTTACTTCAAATTTCCACCTCTCCCTGGAACAAAATTGAGTTCAAATTCTCTTCCCAAGTGCTGGAGTTGCCAGTCAAAAACCCTATTCTGAAAAAAAATGTTTGAATAGGGAGGAAAAAAGGCATGGTGTATGGCCTTTCATCAAAACTGTCACGTTCCATGACACTGCAGTTGCCTCCCATACTGATGGGTTTTTGGAAGTGTGAGAGCAAATTGATTTTTTTTATCTTCTCTATAAAATGCAGATTTCAAACTTCTGTTAAACCAGAAATAACTGTTAGGATCATAGCAACATGTTTCTTGTCCTTCTTTTATGGTCTTGATTTATCTTATTACCTTTTTAGATGCATATAGCCACTGAATACAATACCTTTGGATGAACTACTTTAATGTTGTTTGAGAGGTGGTACATTTTACAGCATGTATTCATTCATTATTCAATAGCAGTTCATGATCTGCAGACAACAACTATTTTATGAAAAAGGCAAGATCAGAACCTTGACTTTCCTCTCATCTACCAGCAAGCTATATGATCATTCAAGCTTTGCAGAAGAAAAACACATAACTCAAATGTGCATTTTGATATTCAAATTCCCTACTCCTTGGGCATGGATGATAGTCAAATGCACATGGGTTTCCTCGGGGACGCATGTTAAAGCTTAAAATTGATTGGTGCATAAATGTAATTACTTGCAGAAGAACTTAAAATATTTGTTTAAGTTAGTTTTTTGTTACATGATTTAAATAATTTTATATATCTTATTTTTTTTTCTTGTTTGGCTTTCTAACCAGCAGTGAGTCAGGGTTGACCTGTATTCTATTGGGGAAATGATTTCTCATTTGTCCTTTAACTAGATTGGTTTAGCAACTGTTACTGAAAATGTTAAATGTATCTTTGTTGAGAGGCTAAAGATATGGGAATAGTGTTATGATAAATACACCTTACATGTATTCAATGGTTAAATGTTCAATAGGCTTAGATAATAACCAAGCTCCTTGTTGTTCTGCTTTCCATCAGTATTTCTCCCTGTTGCACAATGTAAGACAGGGGCATAACATACAAACTATTAATCTTAGAATTATCACCTCCTCTCAAATAAGCTCTCTGATAAGCATCCCTCCTATCAGCCCAAATTTACAGGCGGCATCCCACCTTCAATAGGCTCTCCCCTCCCTTTCTTCCATGTTTGCAGAAGAATAATGACACTACAAAGTTGGTTTCTATCTATACTCATATTTTCAAATGTGACATGAATGATAAAAATCACTTGTGCCTACACACACTAGCACCAGTAATTGCTTAGGGTTAGGGTTTAGGGCTAGGGTTTGGGTTAGGGTTAGGTTTAGGGCTTAGATAAGAAGATAGAGTCAAAGATAAGAAATGTTTAACCCTTTAACTCCTGTGAGTGACCAAGACAAAAGGTGAGATCTGTTGCAGTTGTTAATTTATTGTTTCTTTTATTTTCTAGCAGATTGATTGATGCATGAATCAAACAAAAATGGTTGTAATCCAAGTGAAAGACAAGATGTCTTCAGAGGTATAAAACAGGTGTAGCGCCTTTCTTTCAAGAATACGGCAAATTAGAGCCAAGAATCATTCACAAAAAACTGACGACTTGAACCAAAAGTAAGCAACTGTAATTTCGCAGTTTAGTTGGACTTAATTTTTTTTGTTGGCTAATTATTCATGGCATGGGCTGTTCACAAGTTAAAAATTTTCCTGCCAAAAAAAAATACGGCGCTTATACTGCGCATGCTTCAATTTTTGTTTTTTTTTTGTTTTTTTTTGTTAGTTATTCTGTTAGTCACATCTGTTCAAATGTGCTCCATTTTCCCGCCAAAAAAAAACGGCGCCCAAAATACGCATGCGCCAATTTTTTTTTGTTGTTGTTGTTATTAGATATACTACCCACTGCTAATAAACTTCATCTTTATTTCCTTGTTGTCTTCTTGTATTGTTATTGGTAACAAGTAAAGAGCCAATCAGTTTTATCGTCTTTTAGTGTTCACTCAATAAAGCAGAAAAGTTTCATATTCAACGAAGTATTTTATTTGTCTAAAATGCTCTATAATCACAAGTTAGTTTATTATACATCGAGTAACGTTCTAGTCATTAGTGTGGTTTAAATGTCGGCATTGTTCAGAAGTGCGCTTCTTTAAATACATAAACCAGGCAAAATTTGAATCTTAGATTTTGTTTTGTCTTTGTCCAAGATCTTTTGTTCGAGTGCCACCTTAACAAACATCAACTTTGTGCTACATTAACTAGGGATATAATTATGAAACAAACTGTTCTCCAAACCAAAAGGGTGATTAGTGCTTCGGAATCAAAGATTTCTAGTTTCAGCTTTCTGTAGCCAGGTTTAAATCAATTTCCAGCTATTACTTTGGTTAATTCGATGGAATGAGATCATCTGAGGTAAATTGTACCAAATTATAGCTTGTAGTTCAAATAAATCTTCCGATCGCTCAAGGCTTGTATAACAATTCCCATCATAACGAACTATTCCAAAAATGATGGCGAATTGAAAAGTTTTCACTCACCAGGTAACAGGTTTATCCATTTAAATACACTTGGCAAGGAAGAGGACTTCGTAAAAAGATTCTACATATAATGAGCCACCATTTTTGCTACTGTTACTCAATAATTTCAAAACTCTTCTCTTTGTAATATCCATCAACTATTCAGTCATTCCAGTGAATCCTCTTTACCAGAATCTCTGTCTTTCAATCCGTCTGACAACTTTGCTTCTCCTGAAAATAGAAGTTAAGAACTTGATCAGGGACCAGAAAAGCGCAATTAAAGCCGGAAGAAAGGGAAAACACCATTAAGTTATTTGTAGAAGAATCGTCGCATATCCCGTGGCCATATTCAACAACAAAAATCTTTGAAAGTTTCATTTTATTGATTCACCGAAAGATAGCTATGTATTTCTCTTCAAATACATTACAATCATGGGTTCTGGTTTCCTCGAAGCCAATACGGCTAAACTGCAGAATACCCGGCCACTTTGGTCCGTCTCACTTACATGTGTCGGGAGGCTTTGAAGATCGAGGCATAACACGGTAGACGCTATTCTTATTCAATGACATGTAAATGAGTGGCCGGGTGTCCTGCAGTTGCTCCGCCAACACCCTAATTCAATCAAACTTCGAGTTAATTAGCCGCTTAGACAAAGCAACCGAATCGAGTTTGGTCGTTCAACCGAGATGATAAGATTAATTTAGCTCTATGACGGAATGTCAAACAAAATTGTTCTGAAGGAATACTCAGCCTGCGTTGTTAGTAACATCAGAGAGCTCATGTTACTCCTCTGAATGGTCCAACGTCTTCTTTCCAGAGTGCAACTTCATTTTCAGCGCTTCGAAAGGCACGTCTTCACTCCTCGACGGAGAGCATGGTTTGCTAAAACCTCCACGATTACTCATGAATATGGATCAGCAGCTACAGCCAATAATTGACTGACACGTCACTGATTTGGAGCAGAGTTTAGTTTGCACGTTTTTGAGCCAATTTAGAATTGAGGGGAAAGAGATACATCTTGTAAGATGAATTGTCACGTGAGAAGAGAAAAAAATCATCAATAACTGGACTGTAGACTATTTTGTAGCAAGGAAAACCGATTTCGACAAGACTTCCGTATAACTCCATACTACATCATGCGTACATTTTATGAAAAAAATAAAACACTGGAACTGAAGTCACGTCTTAGAATACTATGGGGTTATACGGAAATCTTTCACTCATTTCAAAAGCATATAAAGACATCAAAGACTTATCGTAAGCAAGGAAAAAAATGTGATAAGAAACGAAAAAAAGAAACTTAGATTATGTATTCAGATTATTTAACTGTTTCCACCGAGAAGTATCTGTCTTCTTTTATTATCTAAAAGAAAACGTGTTCCACTGTATAACCTCAATTTTGCTTCTTGAGCAAAAGCAAGCAATCAAATATGTGTGTCAACATATAAGGACATCAAAGACTTATTATCAGCAAGGAGTAAAATATGATGAGAAAAACCGAAAAAGAAGCAAAAATGACAAGATTCCCCGCGCCAGGTTTTGAACCCTGACCACGGACCGCAACATGGTGCAGTCAAATGCTCTACCCACTGAGCTGCGGGGAACTTGTCAACTTTTGAGGCTGAATTTCAAACTCATATGTTAGGTGTCCTCCGCACTGCAAAAATCAAGCCTACAAGCATAGGCGTTATCACAGAGGACGACAAGAATCTCCTTTTCAATGGTTTGCAATTGACTCGATTAGTAAGAAGAAACTCTCTTCATCAAGATTTTCTGTCTCTTTAGGAGGATAACCTATTTTCCTTTAGTTGAGGGTCTCGATAGGGATAACTGAGAGCCGTTAAACGGCTAAAAACTTAGCTGTTAGGCGTAAAAATTGACAAATTTTAACCCTTGGTCGTAAAACAAGTTAAAGGTAAAAAAATTGGTGACCACAGTGGAAAGATTTAATATTAACCGTTAGCCGTAAGTTAGCCAAAATTTTAACCGTTAGCCGAAAAAGCCATCACCCTGTTGAGACCCAGTTCATATCTAATTAATTTTTGTTTTAATGCAATACCTCAAGTGTACACTATGAGCAAAAGTATACAGTCAATTCGATGATAAGTGATATGTGCATCAGTATATGAGGACGTGAACAACGTGTTATCAGCAAGGATAAAAATATGATGAGGAAAATGAAAAAGAAACAAAAATGACAAGCTTCCCCAGGCTTCGCCAGGGTTTGAACCCTGACCACGGACCGCAACATGGTGCGGTCAGATGCTCTACCCACTGAGCTGCGGGGAACTTGTCAATATTTACGAGTAAATTTTAAACTCGTATGTTAGGTGTCCTACACAATGCAAAGATCAAGCCCACAAGCATAGGAGCTATTCCATAGGACGACAAGAATCTCTTGAAATTAGGTCGTGTGGCGATGCATCAGTTTTAGGGCATAGGAAAAAAAACTAAACTTCCATTATAAAATAATTCAAAGAGTACGCGCGCTCTGATTGGCCATAAAACCATTTTACATGAGCGTATGTAAACACGGTTCTCGTTCCTCTTTCATTAGTTATTTACTCGATAAGATGGAAACCACTCTGCTTCGCGTCGTGGTTTCCCACGCTTACCTCGTGTTCTCCCAACCTCACGCGTGTTTACATCAGGCTATGTAAACACGGAAACCATTTTACATTTCTTCAATCACATGGATAGAAACGAAGTATAAAATGGACTGTAAAAACACAAAATAAAATAGAATAAAGAAGAAATGCCCATAAAAAGAATCCGAAGACAAGTCCTCCAAGCTAAGAATCCCCTGACTGGGCCGGCACTCATGGTTCAATGCTCTCCCCACTGAGCTGCGAGGAACCAAACTTTCAGTATATCCATCTGTCATATGAACCAAGCACTTCCTAGACCAACTTCAGAAGCATGTTGAGTGAGAATATTTTTTATTCAAATACATATGTTATATAAACCAGTCTTCAGGAACTTTGAAATTTTAAAAATATATATAGATACTTTTTCTTTTCTCATCAAAGTGTCTCTTTAACAAATAGATTCCAAGTTGCCGTGCGTCTGTTCAGTAATAGATCACAGATGACGTCAAAACGTGGTAAGAACAAAAAAGTGGCACACGAGGCGCAGCCGAGTGTGTCACTGATGTTCTTACCGTATTTTGACGTCCTCTGTGATCTATTACTGAACAGACGCACGGCAACTTGGAATCTATTTGTTTTATATAATAAAGAATTAAAATATACGGAAAAAAAAGTTTTAATGATGACGTCATCTATACGTCTGTCCTCCAATAGATCATAAGTGAGAACCAATCAGAATGCGTGCATAACTGAGCTTATTATATAATTTAATATACATATTTCATATGTATTTTCAAATTTGCAAGCTTTTGAAAACGGGTTTGAAGATATATGTTATTACAGTGGGAAGTCAGTTTTGGAAAAAAAACTGATCTCTAACTTTCAAGTTTAAAAATATGTCCACTCATGGAAAAAAAAAACCGCAACAACAACAAAAAACAGATATACTAGCGTATAAAGACATTTGGTAATTTTTGTTGGCAAAAATTAAAACTTATAATTTTTTTTATTTGAAAATTCCGTCGATCACAAGATTTTAATTAAAATATGTACTTTTTGTCAATGGTTTATATAGTATTCCTTTGAATTAAAACACGCTTATCTACTTCGTGTAGGCCCTCTAGTAAGCTTGAACACCGTCAAATGTGCATAGGCAAATACAGTATGTCAACATTTTTTTGGTTCATTATATCATATAGACAGTGTGCCTTAAACGAAAACGATCCAAGACTTCTACACAATCCTGGGCCGTTTACGCCCGTTTTCATCTAATACTAAGGCAAGATTCGTAAGACTAGCGGCATCCACATTGCTGAACAACCATATCATCATGGTAGAGCATTTGAAATTCGCCATTTCGGTACTCGATGGCGCTTATGCCCCGTAACTTAACAGGAACACAGCAGGGCTTCCCAGTTCCTTTGTCTTTTCCGGCTGAAAACAAAGTTGCCCGAATGATGGCGTGGTCAGTTGGGTTCACCTGATGGTAAATGTGTAAGTTCATCATCAGACACCATGAGAGACAGATTTGTAATGTCACTGAAGCCTAGCAACACTTGCGTTTGGGTTAAAGTAAACTAAGATTCTACGACCAATTGAATTTTACACTTGAGAGTGACGTCAAAGCAAAATTGTTCTGTTCCTGAACGTTGGGAAAGTACGTTCTAGAAAAAGTTTGTCACTAATAAAAGAACTTTTCCTCAGGAGTTCGAAAAAACCGCCGTTTCGTACAGTTTACCTTGTAATTGCGACAAGAGCGCTTTGAAGTTGTCATTATTTATAACTTTCGCGGCTAGAAGTACGCCATCTTTGATATGACGTCAGCCATAATGTAGCAATAGTCAACGCATTGTCCTTGTTGACCTGTTTGACCTTTGTGTCAAGAATTTCGAATAGTCGAACTATGGTGAACTGTCTTATGGTTGAATCTCAAAATACATATTAAAATAAAACAAGATAAGATGTAAGCTTCCACAAGCTAACGGAAAGTGAAATACCAAAGAAAATATGGCGAACAAAAATTACGTGCGAGGGCGGCTTGCCAACCCCTGCAAACCCAAAGAAAGTATGATTTTAGTGCGGCGGCAATTTTTAATGTAAACATTGTTAGACAGAGGAGACTATTTGGCGCGCATCGTAAATAATGAAGCTTTGCTTCACACAAGTCATAACATTTAAGGGCCTGTTTACATGGAGGTGGGGGACCCCGGGTTGGTGAGGTATCCCGCCTAGGTGGGGTAGCCCGCCTGTCCATATAATTTCTTATTTTATCCTGATCACGTTTACATGATAGGTGGGGTAACCCGGTTTCCCGGTCCGCCAGGTGAGTAACCCTGTCAGCCGGGGTGACAAAACGTCTCAAGGTGAGGTCATTCAGTGAAATGAATCCGTTGTAGGCACTGCGGTCTTCTTTAATAAAATAACAATCACTCGAGAGTTAGGGTTTTTTCGGGGAAAAGCATATTTCTCTTGACAGTTATCGCAAGAGCACCACTAGCGTTTTCCACGACGTGAGTGACTAAGCGGGTCTACGTTTCTACTTGAAACTGGTTTTCCTGACCTTCTTCGTTGGCAGAGGTTTCTTCTGCGTTTGAAATTTAAATGAATTCATTACCCCCTCCGGATTAAAATCCAAAAGGGCTCTCCTCGCCGCTGTTTTCTTTGTTTACATCCATCTCAGCAGGGGTTGAAGACAGCATGCTTGACTATTGCTACGTAACCGTTACGTCATAACAAAGATGGCGATTTTCCATTTGAAAATGTCGATTTTTGGAACGGAATTAATCGCAACAAAATGTTTTTCCCCAAATGAAAGGCCAGTAACGACAATGCAATTTAGGAATTTTTTTATTTCGGTAAACTTTTTTAACTATACTTTCCCTTTAACCTGATTTGCACACTGTTGAATATTTCCACCATATTATTCCGAGTTGTCCACGTGCAGACCTTGTAAAAGGTAAGGTAGGAGCTACAATTATGGACGTTTGTCATCAAACTAATTTTCCTTTTCTGTTTAATATTGTATAAAATAGATTTTAACGAGGGCACAGTGAAGACTCGTTGATGATTTATAGCTGTACCATACTGTACAGAATTATCTGTATATCTTGCAAGACTCATGAATATCCTCTCAGAGAAGTCCTTTGTTGAACCTCAGATTATAGATTTTACTTTCCATAATATCAAATGCAATTAGATCACAAATGTGTCTGGGAGCTCCCTCAAGCATTTCACACAGGCTAATTTTGCACTGGAGTGGTGAGGAGAGAAGTGAGATTCTTCTAAACAAATCACAGAGTGTAGTTGAGTAAAAGCAGAGCTGATCCCAGCTTACTTTCAACACTGAAATAAAACTTTCCCTCTGACTCCACTTAAGTCTTGAAGGCATGGAAAGCCATGATAGATTTAATTTATTCCCAGGATATTAAGATCAAGAACTCACAATAGAGCAGAAGCATATTTTCTACCTACTGAGAGAAGGAAACTTACGTTTGTGCCCAGTGGAAATCTGCAAGCTCCTGCACATCTGTAAGCCTCATAGAACTGGGGAATGACAACATGTTTCCACCTCAGAGTCTTACGAAGCTCAACCCGCATAGGATGCCGGGAGCAAGGTAATTGGTCTTGGATGGAGCGGGGAGGTCTTGGCTTTGGTGACATGAGACTCTTTTTACCCTGACTGTCAAATCATAATGCATATGTGAGTTAAGGGGGGGTAGCTTGTGTTAAGCTAGCTTGTGTATCATTGGACACTTTGAAATTGCATAAACATTCCAGAGCAACAATAGAAAATACCAAGCCTACAATAGATTACGGGTTTTAGACTGCATCTGAGAGTAATCATGCACAGTATTACCTGTGTATCTCAGAGTTCCAGCTATACCCATCCCCTCTCCCCCTTTCTAAGCAGTCATTCTATGGGAAATATGGGAATAAAATAGAAGTCACAACGATAAATTTAGCAAATGTTAACAACCGTTTCTGAGAAAATGAAGTGTCCTCTTCTTCTGTCTTGGACTGCGTTCGCACCAGTAACAGTGGTCTACCATACTCTCCTGTACTAGTATCATTAAATATCACTCTGAAGGAAGCTTCATCCATAGCTTGGTCTCCCTGTAAACTGATGTAGACTCCATGATTCAGATGAGGGGAGCTAATCCATCGCTTCACCAAGGAGTGGGCAGGGAACGAAATAGACTTCAAACCTCCCCCCTGAATCTTGACTGAATACACAGGTTTGCAGTCAAACTGATCGAACATAACAAGGTGACTACTCCAGAAGAGGGGTGGGATAGGACCAATGCGTAGTTCAACTGTCACTAGAATCTCGGCTGATTGAACTACTTTGTTGGTATGAATTTGAGAGGAACTCAGATTGAAGAAAATTCCTTTGTTTCCAGGGAGGCCTGTGTACAAAAATTAAAAGAAGTGTTAAGGAGACATTGGAAACTGAATAAAAAATTCGTTTGACGCTGAAGAAGATTCTCCTAAATAATTTGAAACATCTTCATCTGAAGTTAATTAGTTGGTCACGTTAGTGATACACTTTTTTAAACTTTCTTAGATAACAATTTGATAGCGCATATCACGGACAAAACTGAAAAAAACAAATATTTTTGGACTGAGGACTCACTGATTTCCAATGAGGGTTAAATTTATCTTTTACGCGTTACAATTAAAATTTCAATCAAACCTTGTCTTTCACGTCTGTATTTGTGGCATATTTCCCAATGTTTTCGTTTCGACTTTCTCACCCGCCATTTTGAATACTTATGCGAAATGCCGCTGTACGTTTCTTCCCAGACTCCATTCCCGTGCATTACACTGACCTCTCACTTTTACAAAAAAACATCACAGTGGGGTCGGTCACGAAACTGTGTTTTTCCAACATTAAATAAACCTTGCGCCGGAGTCAGGGAGTAGGGCAAAATATTTCCGGCGTATTCCGTAAATCCTTTTAACACCTGCCTTCTGTTCAGCTGCTTGGACGGAACTGAAGATTCCAGTTGAAACGTTCCATTTGGAAGGTGTTGCGTGTATTTCAAAAAATAGATGGGTTAATAGCTTTTTGTACCCTTTCGGGTCTATTCCGGAAGTCTGGGTAATGATGTTTCGTGGCAGTAGCCTAAGCAATGAAACAGAATGACACGCAACGAACACGAGCCTTACACGATGGCATGTGATATTATCGTAAAATTTTTCCAAACCGGAAATTGTGAAGAAAGTTGAGCCCAGCTAGACGAAAACAGGAACTGGATAGAGATCAGTGAATCTTTTTTTGGCGGCGATAAAAACAAAGATATAGGCTGTATCACTGACTGACTGAGGATCGGACAATAGGTTTGATTAATAGGCACTTTCGTAAACAATAAGGTTAATTAAACTGATTGCTTCGAAAATATTACTAGAACAAAGTACTCAAAAAAGGCGTGTTACTCTATACCGTAGTTCCGTTTTTTTTTCTTCTTCCTTTTTTTTTAGATACGGGAGGGTCAGAGTTAAATTCCCCTCATGCTGACCTTTTGCGAGCTAATTCTTTCTTAAAAAACAGACGAGGTACTCTGTGCTCCGGTGTTTTATTTTTGTTTCTGTAAATGGTGACAACTATTAGTTCTTCCTTCCTATCGTCATCCATTGCATTATCAATGGGAATCGGCGCAAAAATTACTCCATAGTTCACGGCGCGTCGGAATCATAATTTTTTATCAATTTCAGTTCCTTTGCGCGACGAATTACGCAACGAATCAAGGACTACTCGACGTCCATTTTAAATGCTGAACGATGCGCGAAAATTAGTTCGTGACTGAAAACACTGAGGTGATCTGCTGCTTTTTTAGTAGGATCTGATTTCGTGGGATTAGTATTTCTTATTTACTCGTGGGATAATGTTTATGTCTCTGAAATAAGGTAACTAACGAGGGGTAATAATTGTTTAGTTTTAGGCGAGTATCGAGACCAGATACTCCAAGTGCGATGCAAGCATAGGAACGTGCTTTACTCGAGAGCTGAAAACTGCTACGCCAAACTTAAGTCCTAATAAACTATAAAAGTGTTAAAGTGTTAAAGCGAAATGAACGGAAAGAGGAGGGTACTCTAGGCGAGCTTAGGCGAGCTCTTTCTTTGCGGATCTGGGACTCTCACCCAACGCTAAAGTATTGAACAAAATCTTTGCAACAGTCTTCACTAGACACAAGTGTGCAAGGTGACGACTTACACTCACTAACAGTGTTACGAAGAAGACATATGACACTGAAAAACTTCAAGAACGAGTTTAGCTGTTATGTAATTATTATTCTTCAAGGTATTGTCCGCGCTTCCGTAGTGCAAGTTTCATCGAACGACGTAGAGAAGAAATGTGTGTCGTAAACTTCTCTGAGTACAGTTAATATAGAATTCCTTTTCCTTCTAACCAACGCGAATTCCGATGGCATATAAATCGAATTTGCGATATGGGGGAAAACAGAAGAGAGAAACAGGGAAGTGGAGGCGGCTTCAAACGTCGTTCAGTTTATTTCGCGAACCTAAATTTTAAAGCAAAGTTGGATTTGGATGGTCAAACTGGAAGACTGCTAAAATTTTATCATCTTACCCAAGGTTTTTTTCGGATTCTAAACGCAAGAGAAGCTTTACTAAACATGCTAATTACGTTGAACGTATGTTAAACTGACTATTTGAAATTAGATTACAAACACTTACCTTTCCCGACGTAACAATAGAATGTATCAGGCCTCTCGGAATTTCTTCCAACATGCTGATTTTGTTTGGCATACTTGCGGTACAACCTCATCAAAGCTGCTGGGACATCCATTGAAGTCAAAGTCTTTTTGCTTTGGGAATGGCTACGAGGAGCATTCTGGAATATTTCACTAAATCCAATGCCCGTTGAAACGTTGTTTCCTAGAGAAAATAGAGGAGCCGTTGTGAAGATAAACACCGCCATGAAAAGACAGCAAGCAAACATGATGCTCGGAGGAGAGAAAACAGTGAGATGTTGCCTTGAACGGAAACTACTTCAAACGAATACGAAATGTTCAGTATAGTTCACCGAACACGAGCTGTTTCGTCAGTTTACAGGTCACCCGATTTCCATGCCAATCTACATGTCAACATTATTACAACTGCCATTTTTCAGGCACTCATATCAGAATGAAACCTCCCTTTGACGTGACTTTTGGGTGTAAACACCCTACATATCTGATGTTACTTGATGACGGGGCGAGAGTCCCCGGATTTGAAATAGTCATTAACTTCTTGTATGAAACTTATCAAACGAGAAAACAAATCTCTTAACATTCAGGTAAAACAGAACATTAATTTTGGCTACTCAGCCGAAAATCACTTATTTCAGCCAATCAGCTGATCAAAACAATGAACTTTTGAATTGACAAAAGTTTGTTTTGGTATTTAAAATGCAAGTGTTATTGTAAAATGTCATGTTGCTTCGATAGTAAGCACATAATTTCACATACATCACTTATCAACTTTATGGTCTTTCCGAAGCAAATTAAAAAAAAAGACCCCAACGACGCTCATAAAGAAAAACTAACTTGAAAAAAAATTAGTGGAGAAACACTTCCTAATGTCAGAATCCCAAGAGAAACATAAGCGAATGGTGAAGCGCATGAAATACATCTTAACCGAGTTTGAGGTCCGTACTTGAGTTGCGGACTGAGTTTTTCCCCTCGTAATTATGGCCCAAACGAGAAGCGCGGGCCATAAATCCGAAAAAACGAGGTTTCGTACCTTACTGTACGGACCTGAAAATGAGGTGAATAAGATATTTATTATTTTTCTGCGTTCAAATAGGTGAGGGAAGGGGGGGGGGGGTTCAATTCAATCAAACTTAAAAATTAAGCGGGCCGTAATGTGAAATACGGCACGTTAAATCGACCAATCATGGCGCACGTACTAAACGAGAGATGAAATAATATATTATAACATAGCGTGCGTGCTTGCCCCATATAAGTCTTATTGAGCCGCTACGAACAAAACCTTTATTTACGCACGCCTGTACGTAAATAAGATAACGCGAGCATTTTTTTTTACCTGGCTGGTGCGTATTTCGAGTTATGGATGCACTTGGGAAGTTAGGAGAGCACTCAAAAAGCTAGAATTGCTCGCGGCTGCGCCTTGAGCTACTCTTACGCATTTTTCGTGCCCTCCAAACTTCCCGCGTGCATCCCTAACTCGATATACCCACGCTAAGCATGAACAAATTTTTAATTACACCGCAGCATATAACCTGGAACTGGGCCATAAGCTGCTGATTATGACTATTGTGTAAGGTTACAATTAAGTCGAGAATTATCACGGTTTTAAAGTCTTTTATTTACATTCGCTAACGCTACTTCAAATAAATAATACATTTAAATATATATGTATATATATATATTACGTCATATTTCAAATAAATTCTTTATAATAATTAAAAATACATCAAATCTTTCTTATCGTACATATTAATAGAAAACTTAATAAATTAATTGTTAAACTTGATTCATATTTAAGCGAAAATGAATCTGTCCATTTTAAAAAAGAATTTTTCGACGTTCACAGTAGTTTGTGTCTTGAACTCGGACAAAATTTCTTGATTACAAACTTTAACTAGTGAACGCATGTTAATTGAGTGAGTTATCCGTTGTAAAATCAAATGTATGAAAACTTAGTTTCTCTTTTTTTTCTAAAGAACTGTAAATGTTACTAGACATTTTCAATTTCTTCCTTACATCTTATTTCCCATGTAAAATCTGCAAGCAACGCAGATCGTGCCTCTCTCTGATTGCATTAAGTACACATAGTTAAAATCTCCACGATGGGTCACCACTCTTTGCAGACAACGAAATGTAAAAAATAACGAAAGACTCTATGCAGAAAAAATTCTGGTATGTAATCCCCATTCCTCTCCAATTCGTCATGAGTATCCGGGACTTTGCACCGCACTCAAGACATCTGGGATCCATTGAGACTTCGGTAGGTCACTGGATGAGTGTTTGTTTTCTCTGCACACATTCCACCATGGCATCCTTTATAAGCTGTTCGTTGATTGCCGTGTTAAACTCAACTAAGCCACTGAGCCGATCAAAGATGTCGTGCGAATACTTTAAGTTAAAGGTACTGAACCGTTTGTTGGGATCGTTGAATATTGGAAAATCACCAGCTTTCTGTTCCTCCTTAGTAGTTCGAGGGACTCCTTTGAAAGGAGATTATAATAAAATGATATTGAGGGTTTTTTCTTCAAAATAAAAAATATCACTTCGTTGTAATTACGCTAATAAAGTTAAATAAGTAGAGATGTACTGAGGGCCTTTTTTTTCTAAGAAATTCCGGAGCCTTCTGTATCTCAGGAAGATTTACCCCTACTCATCAAATTCTAGAGCGCATTTTTATTGAGAGTAGTAAGACCAAAACCAAAGTTATCACAATGACCAATCAGAAGGCGGAGAAAATCATTAAAGGAAGCCGATGAAGGCGCAAAATAAAATCAAGCAAACTGCCTTCAGCACGGGAAAAAAAGTGACCTAGTAACGACTTATTTGAGTTTCTCACCTGGTCTCACAAAGTCTCTGTAAGTCTTGTTTACAAGGACGAAGTGAAGTATAATTGGACACTCGGGGTTTGTAGGATCTTTGAACACGTAACATTCCTTCCATCCGTCTCTGTCAAACTGTTCGTCTGCGTCAATTGGCGGGAAAAGGAGCCCGTTTCGTTTAGCCCAGTCTTCCGCTAATTTGATATTCTGAGGAAATGAAGGAAATGCTTAAATTTAGTAGAAATTCAAGAGAGCTACAAAAGCCATTACGCATAAGATATTCGTCTTTTGGCCAAGTACGAAGCAGGACACATTTTTAACTAAGCTAAGAGGTTTGCAACTACGATTCAAAACAGATTTTCTAATGACAGGCAAGTTCGAACAGTATGCACTGAGAATGCAGTTCTTAATCGGTAATATGACGATCCCAGTGGAGATGGCCAATATCTATGACTGGACACACGCACCTTAAGTACAAAGAGAGACATTTTTTTCTTTACCTTAAATGGCCTTTCCTCGTCAGACTCTCTGGCGCTGAAATCAAATGACAGAATAAGATCAACGGACCTCTGTTTCCTCAGAAGGGGTGGGTAGGGTGAATTAAACATCAGTCCTGCATCGATGAGTTCCATTCGTTTTCTCTTCAAGTTATCTTTTCCAAAGAGACACTGTGTTGCTGCTCCGTCTGCGTACTCTGGAAAAACAAACGCATTTGTGTTGGGCTTTTCTTAGAAACTTAACAAAACTAAGGACTAAAATGAAGTTTTTTTAATCAGGTCAAAGCGGTCATAGAACATTACAAGTTCAACATTGGAAATGCGCACTGAAACCAAGCTTCCAAGAAATAGACAACAATAGCTTTTCTACAGACAACAGTTGCGCATATGAGAAATCAAAATGTGTCTCATTTCGTTTGAAGCACAACTGAAGTACGGGTAGTATGCATTTCATTGTATTAAAAGTGCGGTTGATATGAGCGTTTCTGCGTTTCTCAGCGTTCTACTTTTCTTTTCATTTTAATTAATCAACCCTAAATTAATTGATTAACCATAATAATGATGAAGCTTTTTACAGTACAGATAAATACCTTTAGTTCCATTAAGCCCCAGGCCTCGAAGAAAGTTATGGACCAGCCCTGCTCTTTTTGACCGAGTTTGGAGACCTGGTAACTTCTCAAGTACATAATCTATCACTTTTCTACGGAACTCTTTCTTCTCCTTTTTCTGGTTTTTTGTCGCTTTGCCTTCCAACTTGTGGAGTTCTTCATCTGCTTCAACGTCTTTTTGTAGTTTGGCAATCAGAGAACTTCCAACATCAATTTTGTTTCTTTTCCCCCCAACGTCACCGACGCCTTTATCGACATCATCATCACTATGGTCATCATCATCATCGTTTTTGTTGTTCTTTTCAGAAAGAAACTGTCGCTCTGTCAAAAACAAACAAAGTGTTACTCTCCGTACGGATATCACTCCCTGTAGCTAACCTTTTCTTACTCTAAAAAAGACTTAAAAAATGCTACTTGATCTTATACATGCCTGGGTTCAGCTTATCAAAGGGTGGATAACGCTATGCAATGGATAAATCGTTATCAAGAGGATAAGTATTCACAAAACACATTGTGCAATCCACCGCAATGGTAAAGCGTAAAACCGGATAAGAGGCGGTTAAGTGGTATTCTTTTGAGGGCCGTGAAGTCAGTCATCCATAATTTACCTAATAGATGTTTCTCGTTATCTTGTTCCGTATTTATCTGCTTTTCTTGGTTCAGAACTCTCTGCAGCAGGATTGCGTAAAAACTTCCCCAGATTCCTAAACACAATAAACAACTTTAAATAAAATCACTGCATGTTGAAATCAATTAATACACCTAAAGCTTCATTTCCTTGTTTCATTCCATCTTCTAACTTATTTCTCTCCGAACTTACGCCTCGCACATTGTGTTTTACATTCCGCGGACAACACAGTAACATGCTGTCTATGTGAGGTCTTCGTAGGGTGTGGCCTTTTGTGATTGGCATGATTGTCAATCAATGACCGGTTCACGAAATGCTGAGTTAACTTTTAACCCAAAAACTGTCAGAGAATGTGTTCCTCCACCCGCCATACCTTGCAAATAATAAAGCGGAGATTCAGGGAACTTCTCGATGAGTTTCCCACAAAAGAATTTACTTCCAAAAAGTTCTGTCTTCATAAAGGTGCCATACTTGTCCATTCCAATCTCGTAAGGGGTAAACTCCACCCATTCTAAGAAAAAAGAAACAAAAACTTATAAACAAAAAATCTAGAGTACATCCGAGGTTGATAAATGTCTTATTGCATGGTAAAATATCACACCTGCATATGACTGTGCTGATACATCTCTTTTCGAGTTAAGAGCAGTATATATTGGCATGGGAACTGCTCCATTTACAACCTTCTCTTGTTGATCACTTAGTTTTACAGAGTTCTTTTTCTGTGGAACAATTAAACAAATATATTTACTTGAATATCACAGATAAAGACGCATCTTAAAATAGCAAGGAAGTGAAGGTTACCATATCATCAATGGAAATAACAAGTAGAAGTGCCATTTAAGACAATTTAACTTCGACAAACGCTTTCCAAAAAGTTAATCATAGCTCTTAATGTTAAAGTTAATCGTAGCTCTTAACGTGATAAAATTTGTTTCTTTTTTCGGGTTCCCGTTTGCTTTTCAAACCCATCGAGTAGATCATCTACCCTTCAAGAAGAACTGCTCAAACACAACACACAATCAATTAAGTAACCGTTGCTCAATTTGAACTTACAGGTCCTAAAAGGCTTTCTCCGACACAATGGCCATAAAAGTCTGTGAGACTAACAGGCTGTCCTTTCTTCCATTTTTCGGTGATATCTCCTACATATTGCATCACCCTCCGGGGAGTAAGTAACCACATGGGTCCCCACTGTAGTTGTTCTCTGACATTCTTCTGGGTCTCCATGGAGTCAATTTTCTCTCCCGCTGTTTGAGAGTATAACAACGATAAACCCCTGAAAATTCGGGGAAAAAAATTTTAATCAGACCTTTCAAATATTCCTTATGATTTGAATGGAAAAACTCGCTTACTTACCAAGCTGAACCGGATAAACCGGTTAAATAAGTGATGGAATCTAAAAGATCCATTTCATCAAGGGCGCGACAAGCCGCGCTGAAGCCTGTCGTGGCTCGGAAACCACCCCCTGAGCCAAGGACGGCTATTGTAGGAACCTGGTAAGGAATTGAGATGATCAGAACAAGGAAACCCTCTACAGTTTCCTAATTTTTGCCAAAATATGGTGACATTTCTAGTGAATTAGCAAAGGTAATGAAGAACGATTTCTACTTATAGACTGCAATACTGTCCTATAACGTCTCTTTTAATTTGGATGTGTACAGCTACTTCCGGTTGGATGGGGAAATATCATCAGGCAAAATGATAATTATATGTCCTGTTGAAGTCATATTATTCTCCCATTTTCACGCACACCCGGTAATATGGCTACTAATTTTCTTTATACATAAAAAATGATTGCTAATAACTCAGTTTTTCTCCTACCTCATCCATGTTTTGTGGCCCTTGTTCTCCCAACAATCTTTTCATGGCCTCAAATACGATAGCTTTTCTCTTTTCTCTGAATTCTTTCTCTTCATCGCAAAGTTCTGAACTGTAACGAAGATCGGCATACTCTCCAGATCTGAAACGAAATTATTAGGAAAGGGTTTTTATAAGAAAAAGGTAAGTGTGTGACTGATCAAATGAGACGCGGCAGATCTACAAAATAAATTCTGACTTGTAACTATAGATTTTCAATACTTACACTGTGGATGCCTCCAGGATAATGTCGACTTCAGAATACTACAAAGACGAAAATATGCGGAAATATTATTTGATGAAGAAAACGTTCAAAGCTCTTGACGTGTCTTCAAATGTCGATTAAGAAGGTAACTTTTACATTAGAACAGAGTCTGCTACAAATTCTCCATGGGGAAATAGATTCAGTTTAAACAAATTCTTACCTCTCCAAATTTTAGAGTTCTTTGCTCCGGTTTTCCCAGCTGTAAACTATTAAGCGGCAAGCAGACTGCACTACCTATTTGATCATCAGCATTGTAATCTTCATCCCATAAGGTAAGCTCTGAAATGAAGAAAAAAAAAATAGAATGCTACAGAGCAGTTTAGATTAAGATCGAGTTGGAATCAGAAACCTGTCGGTGAAGGAGTAATTGGGCCAAGAAAAGTGATGACACTTTTGCAACCGAATACAAGAAGAGCCATTGACAATAATTTTCTTTTGATTGTCTAGTTAAATACTTATATTTATCTATTTATCTATTTATCTATCTATTTATTCTATTCACAAACCTAGAACATTGTTTTCTTCAGGATCAATATGAAAGACAAATGGTTCCTCTTTCCACTCAGGGTTCTTGTTGTTTGAAACGCATTTTGTTCTTTTGACAATTTCAGCTGACGAAGGGATTCTCATCATCAAATACGGATCTGGTGTATCGACTGTAATGCAAAGCAAAAAAAGAGCGATAAGTAAATAAAACGAAAAAAATTTAGCAGGTATAACCAGCGAGGTAACAAGTACACTTTGGTTTGCACAGGCTCATAAGCCCAGTGCCGATTGCCGTTTGCATAAACTTGATAAAAATATCTCAAAAAAGAGAACTTACAAAGAAGACCAATAATTATTTTGTTAACACTCCTTTTTTTGTTTTTAGTTTAGTTTTTTGTCTGTCTTTCGTGATATTTTTGCTGTAGAGCTGTGTTTTAATGAGTAAAGTTATACTCACTCCAGTCGTACCATCCTTGAGTTACGTTTCTGGCTCTTAAAACATCGATTTTCACTGCTATACATGATCTTGGAGAGGCCTAGTGAAATGAATGAAAATTTAGTGAGTCTGTTGCTTTGAAAAATAACCTGTCTTCATTTCTCCAATTCTAAGTAGGTTAAGAGTTCAAACGATCTGCACTCTTTTTTCTTGGTGGGCACATTCTTCAGTAATTACAATGCACACAAGACCCTATTTTAAAGTGGGCAAAAATCAATGCATTTTGTTTTCAAAGGTGAATTTACGCAGTAGTCTTGCATAACAATACCAGTCACGGAATCTACTCTAAAAATACGATCACAAAAAAAAATACAAAAAACAAAACAAGTCAAGAACAAAACCATAAGTAACCTTTGAAAAAAGTAATTGTAATTGTAATCCACTGACATCATTTCCCATGACATTTCCCATGACACGTTGTACATAATCAAATCAATTTACCTGCAAACTTTGAACTAACGCTGCAGTTTCTTGCACTTTATTACCCTGTATTTCATTCTTGAGAATCATTTTTTTACGCTGAAAGTCAAAAAATGTTCCAATGAGCACTTTATAGTTTGAGTCTACAAAAATTTATACGTTTCCATCGCAGAAAACAATACAGAAAAGAAAATCTCGCGTGGATCACGTAAACTTGTTCGTTTTTCGCGTGGAAAATCCGCCCACGCGTAACGCTCACACTGTTAGGTGGAGCAAAGCGGATATGACTCATCAATCGCCAGTTTGAAAACTTCCACGTCCCTGACTTTAACTGTTTACATCAGCAGCCTAACAACCATGAAATTCTGTCTTAAAGATACTGCTCAAAGATAACAGTCTTCAAACTTATCAAATCTACGTACCCAATTAACACCTTCCTGGAGGCTTCTTTCAAAACCATTTCTTACGTTACTGACTTCGCCTTTCGTTACTACCTTTGTATAAAATTCTCATTGCAATCGTTACGAAGACTTGATCAATAGTTTTACTATTGTTTCAATATTCCGACATAACTTTACGCTAAAAGGTTGGGCTCATAAATAGATATCAAAATTTCATCCCCGGACAAAGACGACTCAATTCGTTTAAAATTAAACTTTACACTAAATAGCAAACAAGTTAGCATATTTCGTTACCTTACCTCACTTTTTTACTTTAATCCAAGCGTACCTTACTGTTTTTCCAATCTATGGATGCATCGATTGTGAACTTGAAGAGCTGAAGGTTCCTTTATATACGTTCTGAGCGCGAAGAACTTTAATAATATCTCTTTGACGTCATTCAGCAGAAGGCACGTAATTTTAAACAATGCCCTCAAACTCAGTGTGCGTGATTAATTACCCCTAAATGGCCTGGCTTTAGTCACACAAAACCACCTATCTTGAGTTTTGTCAGCTAGCGCGGAAATTCTGTGACGAAATTTAAGTCAAATAGTTATGAAATGTAGCTTGTTGCGGTGGCAACAGGTTAATTGAAAATATTTCCTTAACTTTGTGGTCTTAAAATTTTCGCTTCAAAGCTCAGTTGTAACCTTAGTTGACCCCTCACTTAAATTCAAATTGTTCGATCACGCGCAATTTTTTCTCGATACAGCCAATATCGTCGTGCTCAGAGTCGACGTTCTTGAGATAAGAAAGTATAAGGAGCGGTTTGGTGTCTGTATCTTTGTTTCCAAAAACAATTCGCGGCATTTCAAAATACAAAACAGCACAAATATTGAGTCTCTTTTGAAATCAGAGCGATACCAGTGCAGTTGTCTGTTCTAAACTTATAATTTTAGATAGAACTTCCAGTATAAGCATTTGAACTATACTCAACAAACCTTTTGCTTAATTCCTTGTAAATTGAACAGCATTACGCTGAAACTTGTGTTGAATACTAAGTCCTATTACAATTTCCTCTGGTATTGGCCTCACGAACAGGAAAGAAAACATCTCTTACTAAACCTTAATGAATCACGCAAGCGGAAGGCACTGAGGCCACCGAAGCATTCCAGTGGTCGTCCATACTGAAAGATTGCAATAAACGATACCTTTGTCCTTAGATCCCATAAAGGAAACGGGGGAGGGACAGGAAATGTTAGAAGCTTGAGTTTATTTTTCAGGCTTGAATTATCCGTGTCGGTTTCAGACAATTCACTATAAATTTAGCTTTACAAAAAAGTCATTCGGCGAGAAGATTTTCATCAGCTTTAAGAGGCAAGCGAGGAGAAAAACAATCCATCAGTACTGTTTCCGCTCCTTGAAGTAAATGCATAAAACTCGAATAATACCGAATACAGCGAAGGAATAAACCGATACGATGAAAATGCACACAAACTGGAAAACTTCATTGATAATGGCCCTGTGACGAAAACACCTCTGTCGAAAATATGCAAAGAATACGAAAGAGCCCCGTATTGAATGCATTCACTTTAATACCAGTAACTACGAGAATTATCGGCATAAAATAAACGTAACTTTAATAAATCGATGACGGTGCAATTTCGATGAGCATTTAATTAATCTGTATGTTTACAGACAGAGATCAATAACGTGTCATTTGCTTAATTGAAGTAAAATGTCGGCAAAGATGTACGTACCACTGTACCGAAAAATACAAAATATCTTTTAAATAATCTAACGTAGTACGCATAAAAACGATCAGCCAGCCAGTGATAAAATAATTTTTTTTTTTTACAAAAGCTTTGATTGCCATCCGTTCTTTCTGGATTAAAAAGATTTTAAAAAATGCTAGTAAAAGCGACGGGTGGACAAGAATGGATACCATATTTCATTTGGTCTCTTCAACCCCAAGACAACTCGCAGTAATATGCTTTGGTTGTTTTACCTTTTTTTAAAGAAACACTCAAAGAATTGCTCGGCGTAGAAAGATTGAAACATAAGACATAACAAAGCAGACTAAGAAAGAATCAAGACAGTCTTAGAAAAATAATCAATCCAAAACGCTATAACTCTCTTTCCTTCTTGTAAAATTTTGCCGTTCATAAAGATTTTTGTCTTAGATCGGAAATCGAAGAAAACAGGATGTACTTCCAGACGGTCTTTCACGGGTAATCATGATTTCCGTTCTTTGATAAATGGCACGGAATAACATTAGGAAAGGGTTCATCCAGAGCCGATCACATTTTAGTTAATAGAAAGCAAAACTGTGAGCTCGATATATACAGTTCATAACTTTGACAAGTAATAAAGTCAGCTACTTGACCGCGGGGGCCCTGGCAATGGGTGACGAAGGAGCTGAGGAAAAATTGGACTTAAATTAACAGAGAAAGGAAATGCCAGTAACTAAAACACTGTGACACAGAGTCTTCGACACACAAAAAACGAGGTATCAATTACCACCAGTATAGTCAGTGTTCATAAAGTATGATTAAGTACTAAGACTTGATCAGTCCTCCTCAAAAAGTAGTCGTATTTAGAAAGTTCAGTAACAAGTATTGCTTTACTGCTGGTTTTTAACTACCTATACGTCATTGTATCAGGGTTAATAACCCACAAATTAAATCATATTTCAGTGGATGCATCATTTACTAAAATAGCTGTTGTCGCTTTTGATAAAGAACGGAACCTATTAGAGATCCTACTCAGCCTAATTTCACAGCAGGCATTCACACATGAAATAGCCTGTTTCGCTAGTTTCTCACTTTGTCAAACCCTTTGCTTTCAACCATCGCAATTCTAGGAGACTTCAGTGACTTAAGATTAAACAGCCGATAACATTGTCTACTTTCCCGTAGTGGAGTGATTCAAAGTCTCATTAATTGAAGAAACCCACATAACAATGGGCAGCACAGAAAAATGCAAAAACATAGCTGAAAAGACAAAAAAAATTAGCCAAAAAATAGAAAAAAGGGGGAAAGGTAGAGAAGGGAACGAACTGTGAAATGAAGCATAAAATTTGTCGGTTTGGGTGCTACAAACAAACCGCATCTTAGGTTATTCAAAGCCCGTTTTAAAACTAAGTACATTTCATCGTCATCGAAAAAGAACGAGGAAGTATTCGTGTTATTGCGGCTTTACTGATAATGACTCATTGCCAAAAAATATCCATAAGTCGTAATAGAAGTAAACAAGTCACGGGATGCGGAATACGTATCTGCTGACTTTGAAGAAAAAAGGACAAGGGGTTTTTGTCTTTATTACTTCTGCTAGTTTATAGCACGTCTCATCAATACTTCACATTCCCCCCCCCTACTGTTCGTGGAAGAGCGTCCGAGCGTTTTCCAGCCGAGGTATTTTTTTTTTTATCCTACGCTATAGAAAATTTAGTTAACAATTTTCAATAGTTCTTCCTTCTTTGATACACTCGTAACAGTTGCGAGTGTTACCAAACCATTCCGCGCGAGTCTTCTCGTTCACGCGTGGACGTGAAGCTTCGCGCTCCCCGTACACGCGGAATCATCTGGATTGGTTATCAAGCATATCATAACTGAGGAGAGCAACAATAATATATGGAAATTTCTTGATTTTTCTAGAATGCCTAGTCATGCAAAACCTTGTCATGCCGTAAAGCTTTTTACGACAATCTGGTGCATTACGCAATTATGCATTAAAGCTTCCAGAATCTATGGCTTTGAAGCTTCAAGAATGTTGTAGACTTGTTTTAAAATTGTACAAAAGGACTCAAATACCAGGCAGTAGATTCATTATTGCTGTTATGACTTGCTGTCTGCAGATAACAATTTTCTTGAGAATTAAGTCTTTGAGAACTCTAAAGAGCTAATTTGGTGCATGTCCCATGGAATTAATTCTAAGTGACTGACATAAAACAGATATTTCAGTGGTGACACCAAGCGTATGCTGTAAGTTTGAAACAATAGTGGAATCACGCCAGACTACAGTAGATTACACTGTCCATGCGTCGTTCCCTTGTATCCACAATCTTGCGGCCTATCGTTCAGTGAGTTGGATTTTGAGGGGTATATATGAGGAAGAGTAAAGTTTCTGTTGATTAACTCATATAGTTACACGTCGCGCACCGCCGTATAAATTTATCACGACGTTTTTGCATGTTTTGTCTTTGTTTTCATCAGTCGTCCCTTTAAGTGCTGTCCAACGACACAAAATTGAAGATTAAATGATTCACTGTTCCTCTCTTACTGCACCACTTTCACGGTAGAATCAAGAAATGCTGAACGTTAAATTCACGTCATACAACCTTTACTTGTAAATTTGAAAAGTAATAAACTCGTTTTAAATTTCTTGTGACACAACTTACACATCTTAATTGCGGTCTCGGCGGAAGCAGAGCGAACAACTTTTAGGATATATTGATATTCTGAAATAAAACGCTTATGAGTTTCAATCACTCGTGAAGACTAGGAGCTGGAAGTGTAATCAACTATGGGAAAGTTTCAACATTCCATCGAATCCTTCTCCTTTCTTTCCCAGTTTTTATTGGTTTGCCGCGCCTGAACCTTTGAATCCATCTCTTCGGTTTTCTTTCAATTAAAGAGGGTGTTACCACTTATCTGCGCTATATCCGGTTTACATTCTTACCCGAATTAATACTTATCATTTTTTGCATCCAATTCTTTAAAACTGCTCTTGAAATCAACTTTAAATCGTTGTCTTATTACCACGCTCACTAGAAGTGATAATTTCAGCTGCTTGGTGATAAAACGAGTCAAAAATTCAGAAAAAATAATGTGCGTGTGATTTATTTCAAAGTCCTTACCCTTATAGAGATACCGATATCGTGTGAGACGTGTTGTATTGAACAAAATTCTTTCATCGATAAGGCAAAATGTTCCTTTACAAAGTCCAGTAGCAATAAGGAGAGAGGTTCTGTTCAGCTTTCACGCAAGCGCAGTACTGCATGCCTTTTATTGGCTTTCTGGTCAGTGCCTTTGCGATTTCCAAGTTGCTTTGTTCTACACGCGTTAATTTTCGGCACTGAATTGGTTCACTTCGGTACGTGTTTTGAATACCCAGTCGAGGATGACTTCTGATTTACTGTGTCCTCAACCTCAGCGCTATAGAGAGAGTTAGATAATGACCTTTCATTTAAATTTTTCCAAACCTGAATAACTGCTTTGAGATAGAACAAATTTTACAACGTTACGAAAAGCTCTCTTCTATCATGGCTGTAACCGATCAACCAATGACGCGTTTTCATCTAATTTAGAGAAACTCCGAACAACGTCAACAGCGATTAGCTAAACACAGTTTGCGGCTCTCTGAAAGCTTCCCAGTTTACAGGCTATGCAATATTAAAAAAAAAAAAAAAAGGAAGTTGCATGGCTTCATGATGTTTACCTGTACTTCGCTACAGCTGTATATTTTCGAGTCACTTTATAGCTACTTAGAAAACTACTTTTGCTAACAGTTCAAGTGAAATAAAAGCACAAACCTACCTTCCAGCGACATTTTGAACCCATTCCACAACACTTTGTATGAGATTAACAGCTAGGTTGATCGCTATGACAACGTACTCCTGGATGACAGCTAACACATCTGGTAACTTCTCCACAATCTTTTCGCCAAGTTTTGCAAACCAAGTCGCGACAGAGGAAAAGAAATCTGGAGCGAGTTCGTAAATCTTGTGTGCTAAGTTAGTTGCAAGTTCCTGCACCTTGGCGAGTAGGACTGGGACGTGTTCTGATAAGAAATCCCAGATTTTTATCAGGTATTTGTGAACCACAGGCCACCAAGTGTCCCAGAAGTGCTTTAGGTGATCGCGAACTATACCCAGATAAACTGGACCTTCCGTTTCAATCTGCACAAAAAACAAGGAAAGGAAAAGGACAAATACACAAAAATTTTAGTTCACAATGCAGAATGACAACAAGCGCTACCTTTTTTAGACAAATGCTTAAAATAAAGATTTTCATACTTTGGCGTTGTACAAAATCCTAGAATTTCATTGACTAACGTGTGTGATAAAGGGGAAAAACGCACAATATTCATTCAATACTTATTTCCCTCCCCTTCCTCTGGATTTTATAAACTTGAAAGAACAGTTATTATTTTGACTTTACTTTACATTTAAATGAAAGACTGGTGATGAAAAAAGATAACTTGGTTATACTTGCGCGCCAGTCTAAAACTAAATAATTCAGTTCAATTATTTGCTGGTTTACATTTTTCTTCCGTAGCTCGAGACAGTAACAAGGATTATGTTGGCTGACACCCACCGAACACCTCATTTGTCTCACCTTTTCTAAAAGCTGTGGTATTTTAACGTTTAGATAATCTCTAGCTGGTTTGGTTGTTTCTGCCATAAATGTTCCGATAATGGTCAGTTTTTCCCAAACAAATGCAGCAGCTGGATCTGCGTGTTCTCTAAACTTGCTGTAGTATGTAGGATAGTTCGTTTGAACCCAACTAAAAGGAAATCAGACATAGTAAATAGAAAGTTTGAACATTACTCTATTCCAACTTCAGTGCGCAAATTACAACCTTTATAATCAGAATGGCAAGTCAGAACAAAGAAAAATATTGCAAGGAGCCAATGAGAACTTAGTTTGGCATCTGATTGGTCTAGAGAATGGTGCGAGTTTTTCTGGACCAATCACAGAGCAAAAGCAATGCAATCCCGGATTAAATTCGAACCTGATTTAAAACTTGCTCTCACTTTACAAGTGAGTAACAGACAGACAAAAAGATTATCAGTAATAGCAGGTACAAGACACTAAATCGACAGCTGTACCTATTCGCCACATCAATTCCCTTCTTTGCGTGTCCGTATCCTGAAACAGCAGCCTGCTCTAAACCATAATCCCTTGCGATCCGGGCCGTTCTACTCGCTTCATACATGAAAAGATAAAAGAGATCAACAACTTTCAAATTCATAATTGAGTTAACATATACAGCCTCTTCTAAAAAGGACATATACTGCCCATGGAAGGATCGATTATAGGCAAATGGTAAGTACTAAGGGACTTGTCAGAAATTAGCAGGGGGGGAGGGGAGGGTGGGAATTTTAAATTTGGGTTCGGAAATTAGGTGACCCATCCCTGCAATGGGAGTGAAATTTGCTAACTCTCCCCTTGAGCTTGGCCTAAAATATCATGACCCTGCCCCTCTTGTATAAATGATAAAATCTAGTTCTTGCAATACACTAGGGTGCGTCAGTATTATGAAAACTCAAAATATATTTCTAATCTGTTCTTTGTCATACTACATACATACATTTTCGATGACAGCATTAAGAGTCCGACTGATCACTCGACTCTCCTATTTCTCCCAATACAAAGTCTTCATCACTAGAACAAGTGGGTAATGCCTCATCCCCTTCATCTACCTCACATTCATCATGATCATCCACCTCTTCCACACTGAGGGAGCATTGTTTGTTTGTTTTTGTGCCAAATAAAGAACTTCCTTTTTCTTCTGTGGGTGAACCTCTACATGATCACGGGCATATATTTGCATGACCCTCCCCCTTTTAACTGCCCATTTCATGACCCCTCCCTTTTCTGAGGCTCAAAAAGTTGTGACCCCCCCTCTGTTTCCACCCCCCCCCCCTGCCAATTTCTGACAAGTCCCTAAACATGGTCAATACCGGTCAAATCATCAGACAAACGACTGTCAGTAGTCATTCCTGTTTGGGCATTTGTATCAGCGGATGCCGCATAAATTCGCAGCTATACAAATGGCTGTATTTTTGTATGCAAAACTTCTTTTGCTGAGCTGAAACAACACCTAGCTAGACCAAAGGGTGCCTTTTAAGATACTGTTATAAATTTGCTGTGGTGGTCTTTATTTGAAGCTCTTATCTTGATGAAGAATATCGCCAGGGAAAGCAAAATAAGGGAAATCACAGTAAGCATTAGTTACCTTGGTAACCTTTGTGTTTGTAAACGTCAATGGAAATCACTGCGACTAATAACAACAAAACAAGTTTGAAGAGTTTTCCGCACCAAAAGAAGGACTTTTTCTTGGTCTTCTTCTTCTCCTTTATGGCCTAAATAGACAAAGGACAAGTAGTAAGAGACTAATGCCTCGCCTCCATGCGGTGCACCTTTTCGCGAACGAACGCGCGAACATCACTTAACATCCAAAATTTTCTGGCTTTGTAGGATACCGTGTTTTCGCGGTGTGGCGCATCTCACGCGCGAACCGCTATAAGGGTTGACAGCCCAGAGAAAGCTTTTTACTAGGGCCTTAAGTGCATGCTGACGTTTGAAAATATATAAGTTGCTGCTGCTGCTAAACCAAATGACGATTGCTCATCAGGACTTCGAAATCTTAGTTCACAAACATTGGGCTGACAGTAAATACGTAAATCTAAATTTTGCCTAAAGTCAGTGCAACTCCTCTTTCAAAGAGAAGACCTCGAGAGGACTCACAGGAAAAAGCAGTACATGTTTTAAATTTAGGCGAAAACTAACATGAAAGACATCAAAGTTCGCCTTGAACAGGTGAACCACATGAATAAGCCTCCTTTACGCTTATAAAATGCAAGCACGTTCGAAACTGGTGTTCGACACAATGCTGGTTTCAACCATTTCCTAGAAAAAAATACGTATGCAACATTTATTCGATGAAACTTGAGTGACTAATTGAAATAAAGCCTATTATTTCACTACAAGCTACATTATTGTTTCATGCAAGGAGAGTTGTGAATTTAACTGCTTCTAAAATAATTAACAATTGTCATAAGCCTTTTTTTTAATTAAATTTGCGGAGGACAAAACTATGTGATGTAGGGATTTCCTCTTACTTCGCCTTTTTTTTTTCATTCACTGCTTCAATAAAAGTTAGATTTCACTAAAAACTAAGTTTTATGTACGTTAGCAGGTGGGAAAACCTGCACAGGTTGTTACCGGGTGAGGCAGAGTAATTTTAATCGATAAACACCTGTCGGCAAATTCTCACCCTAGATAAGCTGAGTGATGGTATAAATCCGTCATTTCTGGATTGAAAGCGTAAATATCATAAAAGTAGGATAGAAAATAGGAAGAGAAAATAAGTGAAATGATAATGATCAGTTCGTCATCACTAGGTCCTAATGGACAAACATAACCTAAGGGTTGCAAGGTGGGAAACTGTCAACATGGGATTCATATATGGCCTAGCCCACCAGCGAATTCTTTGTAACTCAGTTTGATGAGTATCAGACCGTGAAATTGGAAGCTCTGAAACTCAAATCCTCATTCATATTTCTTTTTTCCTTAGCTCGTGACAAGATGCTTGACATCTATCTTCTCTACGATCGAGTTAAAAAATCTACCATCAGTGACTTAACACCAGTCATAAAACATTAACAACATAATCAAACAATAATTACTAACTAAATATAAGCCAAATTATTCTCGTTGTTAAAATCTGAAATGGAAACCTCCTCCTTCAGTGATTAACGACTGAAAGGCGTTAGAACCAAAGACGCGTAATAAAATTCAAGGACAACTCACCGCTTTGTCTATTTCAGTCATTATTGCGCACAAAACTTGAACAGTTCAGTCCCGTAATAACCAATCACTCCTAGTTGTACTATTTTAAAAACCTGTCCACGGTCCAGTTACAGAAATTTGGCAGAAGAACAAGACGATTCAGGGAAAACTCAGAGCAGCAAAACTAATCGACCTGCTAACTGCATGAGAATCATACACAAAACACTATCATGTGAACATCACGCTGCATGAGTGCAACGACCAATCAGAGAACACTGTGGGCTGGTGGACTGTGATGCAGCAAAACTAACCCACTAACCCAATCACGAAGGGCTGACGCTCGAAACGTCAGCCTTTAAACTCTTTACGGCGGCCTATTTACGTTTTCAACTCAGTTGACAACACTTAACTACCCTGTTATACTCTCCCACCGACGCAGCACCACAGTTTCCTTAGAAACTAACCCCCTTTAACCCACCAGCTTGCTGCATGAGAATCATACCCAAATTACCACGTGAACATCACGTTACATGAATACGTCAACCAATCACAGAACACTACCTGACCATTGTCATTGACATGACTACTAAGAAAAGCGTTGACATAAACAACGTCCCTCAACTGATCCTAGAAAACGAACTGACACATAAGAAAGACAGGGCGCTCCTGTTCTGACGAAGTTTAGGGTGGATTTCGGCCGAATTACGGAGTCGAATATAAACAGATCTCTGTCTTTAAGGCTATCAAAATTTTCAAATGTTAACGTAGGTAAAATTGGGGTTCTATTCTAAACAAACCAAACAAACGACCCAAACTGGACGTTTTCCTACGCTCTGAGGTGCGAATTCCTACAAAGAAAAGTTTGAAAACTCCCTCAACAAGTTCACCTTGTGGGAGATCTGGTGCCTTTAGTTATGAGAAGCACACTGAGCTTATCCAGGCGATTCAAAAGAAATACGGTATAAGTTATTTTTTCGTCCACACGACAATGGATACCCGTCTAAACCCTGGCTAGAAAATTCATCTGTTGATTAATTTGCTAATTTATTCATTTACTCATTCATTTGTTAAGAAAATGAGGTTTTCTCCTACCTCACAAGCTTTCACACAGCTGTCCAGACCAGGCTGTTAACCAATAAAATTCAGACAGTCTGTATGTTAGTTATCAATAATTCAGCGCATTCAAAACACCGGTAACAAAGACAAGATAAGATCCTGGCTATACGCCCCACCCCCTTCCCACCGACGGAGACTGGAGGGAAAATCCTTTAAAAAAAGGTATTTTACTGACTGATTCCAGCTCACAGGCATATTCACAGAACTATTAGAAAAAGAGGAGATCGGAACAGAGCAATCATTTCTTGCAGCCTAATCAAGTGCTGTCGGAGAAAATTCGTCTGATGAAGCCGTTCGGACGGCCACCCAGAAAATTCATTGAAAAATACAAATCGATTCACTTTTTCCGTTTAAAATAAATCAATGTAGGGAAGAATGCCGTATAAATCCCTAACGAAGCCAAGAAGAAGTTAGAGAATTCTCTAAAAAAATACTGACTTTCAAAGTTAGGCGAGTTTTAAAAAAATAAGTAGTAAAACCTTAGCCCAGTGGTTAGCAGGCCGGACTCCGGGTCAAACGGTGAGGACTCGAGGCCTGGTTGAGTGATTGTGTTGTTGCCTCACACTTAAATCTCACAGTGCCTCTCCCACCCAGGCGTATAAATGGTTCCAATAAACTGTACTTACGTTAGACCAGCATCCCCTTGAGGAGGGTATTATTAGGCACACTGAGTTCAGAAGACTGAATTTATTACATAAGAACTCACCTTGGTTTTGTTATTTTCCAGAAGTGGTCGGTTCTTTGCTTGGAATACGTCCACAATGGCGAACAGCTTGCTTTGAAGACCCTGTACAATGACAAACAAAAAACATGATTTGTAAGTTAAACTTTTACTATTTGCTAAGATAAACCAAACACGAAGCGGAAGAGGGGCACTTGGTCAAATTTGAACAAAAGATTAGCATAAAAAGTTTCGTATCAACCAGTCATTGACTAAATCTGTGGGATTTGAGGTTGAACGAATTTAGAAGCAATCTTAAATCGTCGCGAATCGCGGGTCACACTTAGGCTTGACTACAAGGTTGGACCAGTAAGTGATGCATTTGCTGTGATCAGCCAGACTGAACACATGTCACTGACTTCCTAGTTTTTGGCCTCAGTTGTACAAAATATGTTTAAATCGCTACGTTTTGTGCCAAGAAGTTAACTTTGTGCAAGGAAAAGCTTTTGGATCTGTCTAAGAATAGGGCAATCGATATTCACCAATATCTAGTCTAATTTTATCTCCCCCACACTTGCACACTTCTTTTTCAGTGTAGTGCGGAAATCAACTTACCGTACTTTGGGAATTCCAAGTATTTATCAAATGATTTAGAAACAGACTGAAATGCAACAAAACAGATCAAGTTGAAGCACATATTTTAGAGAACAGTTTAAGGAGCTAACAAAATCGGTTTGAACGATACAATCATTTCGACTCTACATTTCCACCCTAAAATTCTTAATTTATTGTGGAATTTATCATACCCTGATTGCTGTAATGTCGCTAGATAGCTGCTTTCCCATTTTGTAAAGCAATCCTGATCTTTTTCTAAGCACATCACGAGACAGCTCAGAACCTGCATCACAGAATGAAATAATAGTGAACGTTTTAAATTACTACATATCCATCAGGGGAGACAACAAATCAGCGATGTATTTACCAGCAATATGATAGGTCTATTCAATGGAATTTCAAAACTCTGGACCACATGAAATCTATTTGCTTTAAGAAAACAAAAACTGGTGATACAACGACGAGAAACACACCCCCAGGACCAAACATAATTTGCACCTACCTCTATTTGGTATTCTAATGGAAGCTCACTGTCCAGACGGCTTAGCAAAGTGCCAAAGTACAATCTGCTGACTGGTCTTGTTTCTGAACCTAGAGAAAGCCTCTGAGATAAAATAAAAGACATGGTAAATATAAAAAAAGGCCATTTTACTTTCAATGACTAGTTCTGCCTACTGCATTTCGCCAAAACATACAAATTGTCATTCACTTTTCAAATACATTATTGATTGCATTTTCTCAGCTAAAGTTTTCAAAATTTGGTGTTATAAATTACATAAATAGTTTCATATTGAGTGTGTTTTCACTTTAAGCCACCACTGTGTAGAGGGTTCTGATAGATAGCAGATAAAAAAGTTTATGGGCTACTTATACAATGTTTTATTTATTACATGGCATGTATCTCAAGATCCTCATTGCCATGTCCACAAACAGTAACATACCTTTATTTTGGGGTAGAGAGACAACAGCTTTCGCTGCAAGCTACAGAAAACAAACAAAAGAAAACTCTGTGTCTTAACCTTCTCTGACCAAGTTCAATGAATCATTTGATATAATAGTCAAACACTCCTGGGTTCAACCTCAAGTTTCTGAATATTCATGTTAAAATGACTCCTTTATGAAACCTCCAAAGACAAGAAAAACCAATTATCCTACCTAAGGATTAAACAATGGCTGGACAAGTCACAATAATTTAGTGTCATATTAACCAGTGTGCTATCATAAATAATTTTCTTAATTCTCCATGGCTGTTTGCTTGACAGTCTACTAATCAAACTTTATTGTTAAAAAGAAGTCAAATGTCAATCACTACTGGAAAAGTAAAGGGTTTGGTTGACAAATGTCAAGGCAACAACTCTCTAAATACATTTAATAATACTTTATCAAATCCTGGTAAAAAAGTGTATGTAGTGCCTAAGCATATATGTTTGCCACAAGTTATGACTTAGCAAAAAGGCAATGTACCTTGTGTTACCAGCCAGAGGAGAGGCAGGAGAAAATGCCACCTCCATTACTGTGAAAAATTCCTTTGGCTCGACAAGGGCCCCTTGGTTACCAACAGGTTTGCATGTACTGAAAAACAACCACACAACACTGATTATATAAACGTATATTTCATTCTGCAAACAAATACAGGCTGATTGTGCCTTATCAGCTAATACTATCTCCAAGCATTTCCCAACCCAGCCACAGCACTGTGACAGAAAGAAAAAACAAGGATAACAGGAAACCCACACCCTACTGTTTGCAAAGAGTGAGAGGGTTCTTCAATATCCCCTGAGCACCATGTGGCATTGAAGCAGGGGAGGGAGACAAGGCCCACCAGCTATAAGCTTCTTCGGAAAAGAGATATTTTGGCAGAAATCACCTTTTAGAGACTGGTTTCAGGAACATCAGGCACAAAGCTTGCTGCATTGTGTTACCTGGCCTTTACAGTCCTTATCTCATAAAACTATTACCCATTTACAAATGATATTGCCAAAGCAGCACATTCTTCCCAATCATTTCAAGACCATTTGTGTTCATCAAGCCTGGGGGCTTGCACCCTGACCCTCTGCCAAAGCAGTCTATCCCTTTCCTAAGTGAACCAAGCAAACACCCCCCACTTTTACCTTAACTGCAAAATAAGGTACTAATCAATGGTACCAAATATCATTACCTGAGGAGATTTTCCAAGTAAGAAACAGAATATTTTGTCAGATGTTTCACAGTTAACTGAGGTAACATGACTTCCATCCACACTGCAACAAACACAAAAAAAAACCTGAATCATTACTCAGAGTATAAAAAATTGCCAGTGTTTAATGCCTGTTACTTATTTTAGATGGCTTAATCAGCATTGGCAGGTACCTGGTGGCCCTTCATCCTTCAAATATCATACTTTGTGTGAAAAAAAAACTCCAGAATATGAAAACATTATTGTCATTGGATTGCTGGATGAAGAGTTTCAGGAAAAACTTCCACGAACAACTTCCTATATGTAATTTTCTTGTCTTTTAAAAATCAAATTCACAGATTCATTGTATGATGCGTGTACTGTAACTCTACAGCAAATGTCACCTAGGAACACCCATCCCTTCTGGTTGTGAATTTATGTACAAAGCTATCACAATGATTTACATGAAAAATGAGTTAAGTTTATTGGCATCAAATAAAAACATATATCAAGGATCAAACCAGATTTCCAAAGACTTCATGTTCTTACACAAGAAGTGAAATCTTCTGAATGCCTTATGATTTCAGGCGAAGAGTTATGCATGCCACTGATTGTTGAACTGATGAAGCCTGATACATGTACGTTGAAAAATAGCTGTAATTTCAGTGTTTACTGATACCCTCACAGTGGTTATCAAACACCAAAATTACAGCCATGAAGAAAACTACAATCACATTCCCAAGATCACACAACACATGATCCACAACTTGCCCACCCAAGCTAATAATAAAATCTAAGAATCATTTAATATATGCACAAGAGCATAGAATTTGAAAACCCTCATTTCTTTCTTTGTTATTTTGTGGTAAGCTTCTCCCTTACATAAACCTTCACCCTGTCACAGGCTGATGGGTTACAAACCTGTTAAACCCTGAGCTAAGTCCTTTTCTGGCAACTGTCCAACACACCACATCAATGTTAATGCCTCGCGTGTACGAGTCCTCCGTTGCATGAGCATCTCTTGCACCTGTGCACAACAAAAATTCCAAACATTATTTGTTTATTTTTCATCTGGAGGCAGGAACATGTAAAGTACAAGTCAACAGAAACACATGGGAGACCATTACAAAGGCTCCAGACCTGTTAAAAGGGAATTTAGTACACATGTACCTCTTACCTCTTTTAATTCTTCCAAAGTGATCTGTGGCTGATGGTGTACAATAAACTGCAGCATAATTTGGTCACCATAGGCAGAATAACCTACCATGAAGATCATAAAGTAGCAATTCAAAGTCATCTTGCATAGAAAAATCAAAGATACAAATTTTCCCTCAGCTGGTAGATTAGAGAAGGCACTCTTTTTTTACAACTTTCATTGGAAAAAACCTTCCTAAATTGCAAAGCACTGTAAAAATATGAAACCAATGTTGCTGATCTGTTTTTGCAAAATCATAATCATGGGAGAGATATGCATGAAAAGCAGTTAGAATATGTCCAAAATGATTTTTTAAGGTTAGCAGGAATAGTAAGAAAATTTTACTGAAAGGGTGTTCATGTTGTGCAAGTTACAATACCTTTACTGAGGTCTTGCACCATGTTTTCAACCGACCGCTGATACACAAGTTTCAAGGTTGGCTTCGTACATTTCTTCATGAGGTTGAGGAAAAATTTCTTGAGTGCAGACGACATTACGCACATTGGATAGTCTGTTATGTAAATAATCACAGAGTCACAATGAAACAATGTCAGGTGCTCAACCTGATCCAGTGTAAATTATTAAGAGAGGGTTTATTTTCATTTCAGGGGGATACACAAATAGTTTCTTGATTCTGGTGTCAAGGAATCATGTTCAATTTCAGGCCTTTCATTTGACCCCTGATCCATCCAGGTGATCACTGCATGATATCATATGATTGCATTTTCATAAGTTCTTTAATAGCAGAGCTCGCAGAGCTTGCAGAGCATAGCCCCATAATTATACAAAAGAGTAGCAACCCATCAAGCTGAAAAAATTTGGATGTATGACCATATGACTGTACAGGGTGCTACTTATAACATGCATGGTCAACTGTACTGCAGGCACACCAATGCCACAGCTTTGTTCAGTAGTCCAGTGGTCAGTGCACTGGGCTCTGAGTCGGATGACCCAGGTTCTAGGCCTGGCTGGGGCAAGGCGTTGTGCCCTTGAGACATGCAGGGAAAAAAAAATGCAAGCTCAGCTAAATCTATATATTACTGTTTCCTACACATTGAAAATTGTGCTGCAGCCTTTTTGTTTCAAATGAAAGTTTTCAAATACTCCTTCAATTCAACATTTGACATGTTTCACAGCTCAGAGTATAAACTTGTGTAAATCTGATTACTTTAAACCACAATGTCTTGGTAGTGAAAGGTTTTCCATGATATTGTGAACATTTAGATAATTCTGAAAAAATTGTTTTAATTAAGTTAGGTAAATTGCTGAGCTCCCCCAGCAATTAATGCTTGCTGACACTTGACAAATCTCCCTTCCAGGGCATGAGCATTATTTTCCATGCCCTTCCAGATATTGAAAACCAGTTTGTACATGACAACACTCTTCCAAGATGTACCATCCTTGAACAGTATGTGACTTGTGGACCATTGGTCACACAATCAACAACTAAATTTTGTTCAACTAGCCACAATTTCTAGTGCTCATTAAAACAGAGTATAAGACTTTTTGAAACAGTTATCACTGTGGTCTTAACTTTGTACAAACCTGCTGGTTTGCCTTCAAATGTTGGGTCTTTCTGTGGAACACCTTTCAGCTTAAGCTGAAGATGTGCACCAATGTCAGTCAACCAAATCTGCATAAGGAAAACAGAAACAGGTAAGGATTGAAAACACTGCATCAGTACAGGGAAAAAAAATTAAGTTACAAGTCTGCATTAGTATTTGGAAGGAATCTGTTTCTGAAGATGAAAAGTTAATTTCTATGTAATCAGTTTACAAATGTCAGCTCAGACAGTTTCTATAACCTGTGCATAAAGTCCATCACATGCCAGCCTAATTTTTTCAGGTCCTGTCTCAACAATAGGAAAAGGCCTTATTCAAATTCAGTTCTGTAACATGGTTTCTCTTCCTTACAACTGTATAATATAAATCTGAAAGCAATATTATGGGATTTATTGTTTGTACAATATATTTTTGTGTCCCTCAACTCCTAGAGGTGATTGAGTTGAACTTATTTGTTTGTCTTGTGGACAAGTTAACAGGTAATGAGCTATCTTTTTATTGTAAAAAAATATCTTAGCCAATTTACCAAAAGGGACATGTCTAGCAGCTAAATTATAAAGGCAATACAGTGGAACCTCGATTTAACAAAGTGCCGAGGGATTGGGGAAATTAGTTCATTATAATGAGGGTTCATTACACAAAAACCTTGATTTAAGGAATTTACAAAAAGACAATTATACAATTTGCTATAGCGAGGGATGGATAATAGTTGCTGTTCTCTTTTTCTTTTGTTTTTTTTTTCTTTGTGGTGTGATGTCGTACTACCGAACAATATGGGATAGGAACAATTACTATAAGTAACATTTGTGCTTTAATGTCTATATGAAGCTACAGTACACTGTACAGGTCTGTATATAGCTACAGCACCTTGTTTTTAAAGCACAGAGGACAAATTTTAGTGGAAGTCACAGGCAAATGGAGAAACAATGTCATTGGACCAGAAATTCCTGCATTTTATGCCATTTACCACAAAAAGCCTTAAAAAATAAAGAAGTTACTTCACCTAAGAAGAGAGAAAGAGGATAAAGCAGATCTGTGGATATGTTGATAGTGTCAGTGCCAGCATTCATAATAAGCTTTTGAACACGAAGTTGTTCTATTGTTACAGGATTGAAGGATTTTGATTCTTATTGGTCTGTTTTGCATTTGTCTTTTGTCAAGTGTTGACATTTGTTTGTTATATTGGGGTATGTTATACATTTGGGCTTCTGGATTTGTTTGTTATAACCAGGATTTTGTTATACCAAGGACTTCATTACATGGATGTTTGTTAGAGCGAGGTTCCACTGTAGTCAGATCTTGGGAGAAAATGGTTGGTCTACTCTCTACTCTCTATACTTACTGATGGATTGTTTGGAAATGATGATTCCAAGTTTGTTAGGATTGCTGTGAGCTCATCAACATCCACCTCAAATAGGTGAAATAAATAAAAACAATGAATAACCAGATAGTAATAGTGTCTGTACCATTGTCAGCCTAAACAATAAGATCATCATTCAAATAGTCTTTACAAATACCAGTATATAATATATAGAGAAATTAGTAACTGGAGATATCTGACTTAAACAGGAGAGCATTCAGTTCTAACCCACCATGCATATGATATAAAGTATTTAATCTGTTTAAGGCTTTTTTTCTACAAGTTTCATCCTTTTAATATAATAGAGGTCTGCTGTCTAAACCTCTTCGACAAATCTGTGTTTTGTGCAATAAATATATCTTATTAGACATTTTGGTGTGCAGTGTTGCTGAGTGTTGTGCAATATTTTGACTTACCCTACAGGCTTGTCAAAATACAAACAACAACTAAAAATACTCAGCAATAGTACACACCAAATTGTGTTATTTGTGATCCAATTGTTTTATTTTGTATGCATTTCTTATAAGAAGGGAAAAAAGAAGAGGATAAAGAAGTGTAGTATACACAGCCAACTGGTTAAACAGGCTTTTTTCCAATACAAAATAACCACCTCGACAATATTGCTGGCCATTGTACTCTACTTAGTGCAGTTGGGTGATAATTACATTAACACATGTCATGTTGTATATTGTGCTAGATTTTATCCCAACTGCCTGACCCTGAATTAAATACTATTGTAGCTAAACCTTTGGAATTTTGTTGGAAGACTAAGGGTACTGGGTACTTGTTGTGTTTACAGAATTTCTATGTAACTCATAAGTACCTTTAACAAAGCCTCTTGGAGTAATTCTTCCTCAGTCTTCTGGGGTTTAGTTGATACTGCTTTCTTCTTCCCACCGATAAAACCACCACTAAGTTTCTTTATTTCTGGGGCTTGTTCGGGTACTCTTTCTGCTAGAACTGCTGGCAGCTCTTCATAGACATCAGATGTGTGTTTCACATGTCCATTACCAATATGTGAAGCATGTGCTTTAGGGCCTTTGAGTGCTTGGTAAATTGTTTTGGATTCTGCCAAGGGATCTGGAAAATTGTAGACAAATAAAATTTGAAAGATTAATTTTTGTATCCAGAAGTACTAATCAAATTACTCTGGCTAGCCGGTTATCATAAAGTTATAAGTCAACAAAATTAGTCGACTAGTTGACATTGATTGGTATTGATTGATATCGATTATCATCGATCGTTGATTTCATCTATTGGAAGACACAGTCTGAGGGAACCTTTATGAGGCTAAAGAAACCAAAAACCATCTTTTTTCTTTATTAAAAAACGATACAAATAAGCCATTGGTTACTTGGCCAAATGCATCTCTCACACTATTGCTTAAACAAAGTTCTTGAAAATTAGCTTTTCGCTTTGCGACTGTCCTCAGATTTAAGCTTCGTGAAGTTTTCAACAAGCACAACTTGCATACGTGGCGAATTGGCACGCGAAGTTGTTTTCGTTCCGTGAGGCTTTAAGAAAGTCGTCAATTTCTACTCACTGACTATTTCTGCTTTAGGCATATCTGACGCCTTGACTCTGTTCTTCTTGCCTTCATTTGGAGTCCTTTTCTTTCCCCCTTTGCCAACTACCTCCCACTTCTCGTTGGACGCCATCTTGAATTTAAAGTATACTGCAGGGGAATCAGGGGAATCATGGGAAGACATTGCAACGTGATTCCTCGAACAGATGTTAAATTTCCCGCCACTTATTTCCCAATGACATGGACTAGAGTTACAAAATCCGCAAGCTAATTTCAACACAACGCAAAAAAGGTGCATAGGTGCATTATAAGGAACTTATGAGCAGGTAATCTTCAGTCAGTTTATGTAACCCGTAGCGAAGTCTAATGCAGGTGCATCAATTGTGTTTTAAGTTACGCAAGGGGGGAAGAAAAAATCCAAATAAATTAAATTTTAGTGCTTCAGGGCTGGTATTTATTTCTTGCTTTCAATTTAAAACAAAAACCGACCACGCGCAATTTAAAATGCAGCTTATTGTGGAATTTACATCAGGTTAATCAGTCAAAGACGCAAGATATTATGGTGCCCTCAAGCAAAACTTGAAGAATATATCAAATCCGTATTACCTTTACCATTGTAATAAAATCAATGCTACTGACGTTATCGAAACCCGTTGAACCATATTTGTGACATACTCCAAAAAAAGTCGTTTATCTATGAAATTGTATCACAACTCCTACATCTTAATTCGTATTTCTGTAAGAACTGGATGAAGAAAGTTATCGCGAATTGACAGAAATAAGAAGACTGAATCTTAAATCTTCCAACTTTTTTGTAACTTCCACCCAATACAGTTCATTTTTATCTCCAGAATAATATGAAGAGAAATTCGGGGATTGATCACTCGATCAGCCGTTAAACATATGTGCAGTAAGTGAGTTACCGAGTTATCACACCAAGGAGAGTCACCTGCAGCGTTCATGAACCAGATTGTACGACAAATGAGGACTTCCTTCAGTGCATCCATAAATTTTTAGGACTGTACACATCATCTCCAGAACAAGAAATGAATAAATTAAACATCAACATATCATTTCATAATCATCTCGTTCTGACAGACTTCAGTTCTGAACATCATTGAATCCAAGTGCAGTTCTTCACCTGTAACAGGGCATTGCTATTTCACCTGCAGGAAAATTATAGTGGAGTTGTTTACTGGCAAGTGGAAAATGGAACAATTTTCTGAACATCTGTAAGAAATACTTGTTATAGTAGGGCAGAGATATTGGTAAACAAGCGCAAAAGAGTTGATTTCGTTTATTGTCAAATACTGAACATTTTAGTATCACAACACTAACAAAGTTCTTCCGCGATACCAAATAGGGACTTCCATATTCACTGGGTGGTTATTCCTCAAATGAAAATTTAATTAATAATTCAATATGGGATTGAAAATTTGAAAGAAATTGATAACAAAACAACAGCTGGTATTCTACTATTTTGCAAATTTGGGAAAATTCTATCAATTCTAATCAATAGGCGATTTTGTCCCAATCCGTGGCAGCCGGGCCACGAAATGGCTCCTGGTCGTCGTCTTACATTTATCACGGCTATGATTGCATGCTATGAATGCACGCACTGTAGGGTCACAAAGAGTTTGAAAATAAAAGCTCTGTGAATTACCAACAATATAAAGATGTTTTCAAAGCGGATCACTTTCCGTCATATTAAAGGAGCCTCTTTATAATGATTCACTTCGCGTTTTTGCGCCGGTTCGCAATGCTATCGTCAAACCAAAGAAAGCCGTAAAATTCAATCATTTAAGATATAAAGATCACGGAGTGACCACTCTGAATGAATTAAAACGAAGATGTATCAGGATGGGGGAGACTAACACAATCCGTAAACAGAACATTTCAACGTTATAAGATTCACAAACCATGGTGTATAATTCCCCATGGCAAAAGTGCTAAGTTTATCGACGCATTCGTCAATTTACATCTACAGAAAGCAATTTTTCCCTAAACATCCTAGTATTTCTTTCATTGTTTCAAAACAACGTCCATTTTCATAGCATGATTGAATATTTTACAGCTTAAGTGGAAGAAACGGTCGGAAGTGGAGTTGAAATGTCCCTTTTTAAGTTTGACACTTTTTTTATTATTAAACGTTTATTATATATAAAAATTTCACGAAATAATAGAGATAATAGATATTCCGTGAGACAAAATAGAGTCGGCTTAGATCTTTCATTTCACTCCTGTCAAAAAGAAAAAAAAATGAAAAATAAAAAACCAAAATATTTGCATATGGGGCAAAATAAGAAGTTTTTCTTGACGAAAGGTCATCTTTTGGTTGTGGGCGTGTTTACTAAAAGCTTCTACAAAAATTGATATTGTCAGAGAAAATAATTTAAATATGGCAAAAAGGCCTTCATAAAATTGAACAAAAGTGTCCTTTTTTAAAAAGAAAAGATAGTTTTTTTGCGCCTCTATGGACGCGGCTACAGAAACGTGGTTAGGTTAGTCTCCGAGAGATTCAACTCAAAGGCAGGAGGAAATAGTTTCGATGATGGTTTTGCTTACTTGAGTCAATCCAAATTTTTTGTTACAGAAAACAAACGATAAATCGCTGTTATATTCAAACAGTTTTAAAGAATTTTAAGGTTTAAGATGAGATTTACGAGAATCGGAGTCCGTGAATTAAAATCTCGTATTAATCAGGTCGACCAAGAGCTACCGCCACGTTATTATTTCATTTAAGCTTTTCCTTTTCGCAGCAGTCGTTTCTCGTCTGGAAATGTAGTCAAAACGTCTTAATTGATCGTTTAATTACTATCTATATTTAAGAATTGCTGTGCCCGTTTGCGCTGTGAGATTTCACTTTCTTCCTACGTGGCAAAGTGTTATCTTGTTTAATAGTCCTCCTTGACTTTTGGAGCCGATGGACTTGCGAACTGAAACAATGTTTTTTTAATATCAGCAATGCAAAATTCTAACGAACATAACCTGTAAAACTTTTAAAGAAAAATTGGAAACTTTCTCTTTCTAATTATTTAAGACACAGATTTAATATGTTCTTTTCCATACTAAGAAATCAACGTGGAAATGGTTTAGCATGGTGCGAGCGGATTTTATTCATTTGACAAAGAAGTGGTTTCGTTTTCATCAAAGTTTTATCTAATTGCTTGACATAGAATGTATCTTTGGGTAGAATAAAATAAATATTTAAGCGCTGAACCTCAAGCAATAGGCCACTGAAATAGAATAGCAAAGTGTCGGATTACGCTGTAGTAAACTGATTATGCAAAGCAACTTTTTTTCCTAATAGACCCCAAAAAAGATCGACTAACACAATATGCTAATATAATTCGCTTCTGCACAGGTTACGTCTTTTGTCACGATCGTTACAAAATTATAGGTTTGTTCTCGAACAAGCCCAACGTGCTTTTACTTTTCCTCACCGAAACTAAACAAAAAAATCCAACAAAATACAGAGGGATTGAAGAAAAGTCCCGCCATTGAATATATTTTTTTTTCGCGTGACCAATTCCGTCGAGTCTTTTGTTTTGACTATAATATTGACGTGTCCGAAATGCGTCAATTTATTCCAAGCTTTTTGTGCGCAATTGAAGCTACTCATAAAATACCCATTTCGTATCTGAACTGATTGAAAAAACTGCTTGAGTTACAGAGCTAAATTCGGCTAAAAATACTCCAAGAGAAAGGAACACCCAACACTTCTTGCCGCCGTAGGCGAAAATCTTATAACTTATTGTTATTCAACACAAGCTTTTAGCGTGCGAATAGTATTAGACTTGGTATTTAAAATATTTAAGCTATACGAGCAAATGATTCTCATGTAGTTTTTAAATTACCTTTTTCTTACACATTACATTTGTAATATTTACCTATCGATTGAGTCAAAATGGTTTTCGCAAACAAGGCTTACTCTATTATTTACATTTCTCCCTATAAATTTCACTTGAAAATGTGAAATTCAAATACAGAGCATTATGATGAAAATGGGATGTTTTGAGTTGTAAACCGGCCTAAATTGCATATTCTCTGCCTCGCAAATGGTTTCAGAGAAATGATGTTCGGTATTTAACATTCATATTTCCGGCCTTCATCCGGTTTTCGCGGCTATCGACTGAATTCACTTTATTCAGGTTTCTGAACAAAATATTCTCTTCTCCTTTTAGATCATGATAATCTTTAAAACGTATTCACCCGAAACAAATATATTCCGTGATTTTAATGATTGCGTGTTCTTCGTGGTTCCAAAGTGTCGTGACAGCGTCCTGCGAGTTTAGACTAATTGCCCACTTTCGCTCAGGACAATTCCGTAGACAGTACACTTAGCCTGAAAATACACGACTTACTTCAATAGGTGTTCTAAAACCCAACAGGGCCTCATCGAAAAATTCAAAGTACTATCTCATTAGCTGTCATTTAACTCATCCCGTCAACAAAGACAGCACAACATCCTTCACTCAATTATCTCAAATTATGCGTTGATCCTGTCAATATTGTTCGATTTCGGGACATCTGCTACCATGCGACAGGATTGGGCGTTCAACAGCAAAGCCCTTTAAATGCAACAAATTTCGTCCAATAGGAAGTGAGACGGTCACAGGCAATTTGCTTCCATGGGCCACCAAACGAACCCATCCCTCACAATATTCATTCAGCGAATATTCTGGCTGGCTCAGCTTCGGGCGTATTCTTTTCAAAGATGTCGTTCGAAAGGTCCTCATTCCGGCGAAATTTCCAGGGATGGGTTGAATTAAACTACGGTGAAAACAGTCGTACAAAGACAATCACGCGAAAAAAGTTCAACAAAATCTGCAGATATCTGCTGGGAGAGCCCCAGATCGAAACTGATGCAAAATTTCGCTTCTGGGTAAAGTCGAAAGGATTTCGAATCGCACAAGCCGAGGATAGTCCAGATTATGGCGTTTTGTACGTTCCAGTGAAAGTTCCTCATACTCGAGTAAGTCCGATAATCGCACAAAGGTTTCACACTCAAAATATTTGACTTAGCACGTTTTTGTTTGCTTTCATCTCTGACTGCGTTCTGTGGGATGTCTTGTGCATTTAGAGCGTAGAGATGTTGTACCCATACGAAGACAAGATCGGACAATCAGCTCGCTCTCAAGTCGTCGAATATCGGAGAGTTGCAGTAGCAGATGACTTTTTCGA